CATGGCGCCCTGAATAGACTTATATAGGCATATAGACTTCAGAATAATATCTAATTTCAGGCGCTGATCATTTTTGTAATACTTTGCGAAGCACGAAAATGACCGGAACATAGGAATATCGCGTAGTCAAAACAGTTTTTCCGGGTTTTCGTCAAGATGGAAAGTTTGCTGTAAGCAGAAAGTCATATCAAAAGATGCGCAAAAATTTTAATAATTTAAATTAAACCTTTTTCATAATTATTATCAGTTTGAGGGTTTCTGACCACGACAATCTGAAGAGAGCTAAGCTCTAGCTCCTTTCCCCTTCGAGTTGAATCCGGGGCCACACACACACACAGACGGACATCACTACTGATTTATTACTTTCCACAAAGGGGCATTTTTTCGTAACATTAAAATTCAACCGACTCGGATAAGTGGCGGTGACGGTGAGCGGATTCTCCGTATCCGGATTCCCACTTGAGGGCATCGACTCATTGTCGTAGCGGGCGAAAATGCCGAATAGAATGAAGAATACAATCTGTAACACAAGGAACTCTAGAAATCTTAAAAATTCCACGATTTTAGGCATTAAATTTTTGTGTTTCACGAAATTGTTGATATATTTGATGCGTGGCTGCGACCCTTGAATCTAGACTGTACGTTTCTTTCACCGCCGCATTTTAACAGAGGGACAAGATTTTTTTACTAATAAAAATAGTTTTAAATATAGGTTTTCAGGCTATAAAAAGCTCTCACGCATATTTTTCGGCTCTCTTTCGACTGGCCTATACAAAGTATCGAAAGTGTTCCAAATAGGGCCCCCGTTATCCTATGTGTTGCCCATAATTTTGCAGCAATAGTGTTGATGCTGTAAAACATTTCTGAGATACATTTTTTTTGTGCTGCAAATAATTCTATTTTTATATTTTTTTACGCTCAAGCGATTGACGTTTTGAAAATTTAAAAAATGAAAATTTTTGCTTAAAAAACTTCTTCTTTGTCTATTCGGTGTTACGGAAAATTGTCGCCGGAAAACAATGTTGCAGAATTGGAGGGAGCTTGGTGACGAAAAATAACGTGAATCCAGGTATCGGTCCTCTAAAATAAATTGCGCGCTGTTGCTGTAAATTTCGCCAGTAAATACTTGGAGATCTCTTCAGAGAGAGATAAAGAGAGAGGGAGAGAGAGAGCGAGAGAGAGAAAGAGAGAGAGAGAGAGAGAGAGAGAGAGAGAGCAACAGAGAGACAGCGTGCGAGAGAATTCTTACTATTTCTTTTATTTTGGGCAAGAATTATCTTAAAATTACAGTAATTACGCAAAAAATGAAGGAAATGTAAGAAGACATTCAATGAAAGAATCTGGAACAGTACCAGCTATTTTTACAGCCAGTTGGATGAAACATGTCGGTATTTTACACCCGCCAACCGGCCCGCAACTCTTGCATCTTGGCTCTCTGTTCATCTACAGGTGTGTTAAGCATACCAAAATGTTCGTGTTGATCTGGGTAGTATTTTGGTATATTTTTACAGCCCAGTGGGACTAAGGGGAACAAAACATCTTTAGAGAAATCCGCCTGGCCATCGGTTTGCAACCCATTTTTTCCAGCTTTTCCATGTATTGGGCCCCGCCCCCAAATATCATCATCGGAAAAGTGATATGATCAGTGGCGGGGGGAGGGGTATTTACTTTGCCAAGGGTGGTACTGTAGCAGAGATCACACAAAACAGGGCGTGCTGTTTTTAGTAACTGACGGGAACGCATCAGACCAGTAAAGGCATATGTGGCGACTCAAAAGTAGTTTCCCCCTCCAGACCCCTCCCCCCCCCGCTAACGCACTTGCCTTTTTAAGATCTTTCGAATTGTGTAAAAATCATCCCATTCCGGGCATCCTCCAGACCGCTAGATCGGGCTCGACTCTTTTTGGATCACCCTGCCACATCTAACTTGTTCCGAAATAAGGTAACGACTGGAATACATGGCAAGGTCTCATTATCACTGTGCTGCATTCATGATAGTGGCAGTTTGGTGAAACACCTTTTGCTGCGATTCAACGCCTCAAACTTCCTTTTCAAAACCATGTGTTTCGACTCCGCAACACTTGATCTTTCTCTGATCAACACATAACAAGAATCTATGCATAACCGGTTTAACATGTAAAATCGATTAAGTCGGACTAATTCGGTAATTCGGCTGTGCTTATTCCGATTCCGTCGAGAAATGGGAGGAAAATTTAGCTAAAAAACCCTAAAATAAGCTCAAAACCGTAATTATGTACGTCGAAAGAAAAAGACACATTCGTCCGTAAGCTTGTGTTTTCGCTGCCTACAGTTAATTCACCGTATCCATAATTTATTTTAGATTATTTACATGACATCACATCACAATTTTAACCAGTCGGAGTTCAAAATGCCGAAACCTCAAAAGCTCGAGATTTAATAATGTCGAGATTCAGAATGCCGAAAATCCTAATGATACGTCATTAGGTGCGTAATGGTCCCGAGATGGCTGCCGGCACATCAGATTTTGCGAATTACTCTATTTTCTATATTAGAATTAAGTTTTTGTTGAGAAAAAGCGGGGACCCTCTTTGTTCCTCCTTGGACCCTTGAATCCTTGGACCCTCCATCCCAAATGGTCTCTGCTAGCTGGCCCTCTCTCCATCCCAAATGGTCGCTGCTAGCTGGCCCTCTCTCCCTCCCAAATGGTCTCTGCTAGCTGGCCCTCTCTCCCTCCCAAATGGTCTCTGCTAGCTGGCCCTCTCTCCCTCCCAAATGGTCGCTGCTAGCTGGCCCTCTCTCCCTCCCAAATGGTCTCTGCTAGCTGGCCCTCTCTCCCTCCCAAATGGTCTCTGCTAGCTGGCCCTCTCTCCCTCCCAAATGGTCTCTGCTAGCTGACCCTCTCTCCTTCCGAAATGGTCTCTGCTAGCTGGCCCTCTCTCCTTCCGAAATGGTCTCTGCTAGCTGGCCCTCTCTCCCTCCCAAATGGTCTCTGCTAGCTGGCCCTCTCTCCTTCCGAAATGGTCTCTGCTAGCTGACCCTCTCTCCTTCCGAAATGGTCTCTGCTAGCTGGCCCTCTCTCCCTCCCAAATGGTCTCTGCTAGCTGGCCCTCTCTCCATCCCAAATGGTCTCTGCTAGCTGACCCTCTCTCCTTCCGAAATGGTCTCTGCTAGCTGGCCCTCTCTCCCTCCCAAATGGTCTCTGCTAGCTGACCCTCTCCTTCCGAAATGGTCTCTGCTAGCTGGCCCTCTCTCCTTCCGAAATGGTCTCTGCTAGCTGACCCTCTCTACATCCCAAATGGTCTCTGCTAGCTGACCCTCTCTCCTTCCGAAATGGTCTCTGCTAGCTGGCCCTCTCTCCTTCCCGAAATGGTCTCTGCTAGCTGGCCCTCTCTACATCCCAAATGGTCTCTGCTAGCTGACCCTCTCTCCTTCCGAAATGGTCTCTGCTAGCTGGCCCTCTCTCCCTCCCAAATGGTCGCTGCTAGCTGGCCCTCTCTCCCTCCCAAATGGTCTCTGCTAGCTGGCCCTCTCTCCCTCCCAAATGGTCTCTGCTAGCTGGCCCTCTCTCCCTCCCAAATGGTCTCTGCTAGCTGACCCTCTCTCCTTCCGAAATGGTCTCTGCTAGCTGGCCCTCTCTCCTTCCGAAATGGTCTCTGCTAGCTGGCCCTCTCTCCTTCCGAAATGGTCTCTGCTAGCTGGCCCTCTCCCCAAATGGTCTCTGCTAGCTGGCCCTCTCTCCCTCCCAAATGGTCGCTGCTAGCTGGCCCTCTCTCCCTCCCAAATGGTCTCTGCTAGCTGGCCCTCTCTCCCTCCCAAATGGTCTCTGCTAGCTGGCCCTCTCTCCCTCCCAAATGGTCTCTGCTAGCTGGCCCTCTCTCCTTCCGAAATGGTCTCTGCTAGCTGACCCTCTCCCCTTCCGAAATGGTCTCTGCTAGCTGGCCCTCTCTCCCTCCCAAATGGTCTCTGCTAGCTGACCCTCTCTCCTTCCGAAATGGTCTCTGCTAGCTGGCCCTCTCTCCTTCCGAAATGGTCTCTGCTAGCTGACCCTCTCTACATCCCAAATGGTCTCCGCTAGCTGGCCCTCTCTCCATCCCAAATGGTCTCTGCTAGCTGGCCCTCTCTCCATCCCAAATGGTCTCTGCTAGCTGGCCCTCTCTCCCTCCCAAATGGTCTCTGCTAGCTGGCCCTCTCTCCCTCCCAAATGGTCTCTGCTAGCTGGCCCTCTCTCCTTCCGAAATGGTCTCTGCTAGCTGACCCTCTCCCCTTCCCAAATGGTCTCTGCTAGCTGGCCCTCTCTCCCTCCCAAATGGTCTCTGCTAGCTGGCCCTCTCTCCTTCCGAAATGGTCTCTGCTAGCTGGCCCTCTCTCCCTCCCAAATGGTCTCTGCTAGCTGGCCCTCTCTCCATCCCAAATGGTCTCTGCTAGCTGGCCCTCTCTCCCTCCCAAATGGTCTCTGCTAGCTGGCCCTCTCTCCATCCCAAATGGTCTCTGCTAGCTGGCCCTCTCTCCTTCCGAAATGGTCTCTGCTAGCTGGCCCTCTCTCCATCCCAAATGGTCTCTGCTAGCTGACCCTCTCTCCTTCCCAAATGGTCTCTGCTAGCTGGCCCACTCTCGATCCCAAATGGTCTCTGCTAGCTGGCCCTCTCTCCATCCCAAATGGTCTCTGCTAGCTGGCCCTCTCTCCATCCCAAATGGTCTCTGCTAGCTGGCCCTCTCTCCCCTCCCAAATGGTCTCTGCTAGCTGGCCCTCTCTCCATCCCAAATGGTCTCTGCTAGCTGGCCCTCTCTCCATCCCAAATGGTCTCTGCTAGCTGGCCCTCTCTCCATCCCAAATGGTCTCTGCTAGCTGGCCCTCTCTCCATCCCATCTTGTTTATGGGGATATTACAATTACTTTATTCGAGAATGCCAGTCGCGGATTCAACTCAGTAAAAATCAATAAAATCACAATGTAATTCAGTTTAGTAAGTTCAAATATCCGTCAATTGTCGGCAAGGGTTCGGTTAGTGGTGGTCGATTAGGCGGCCGGCGGGACTTTTTCTTTGAAGCCTTTTGCGATCCATTCCTGGTAGACGCACCAGTTGCAGCGCCCTGGAAAGTGTTTTCATGAGCCGGGGAACATTCCACGACCGATACCCAATTATTTTACCGTTTATAAAACTTTTTACCTAGCTTGTCCCTTGACAAATAAAACCCACTACGTTCGGTGCAGTATGCAAGACTGCAACCCGGCGATTCCTTGGCCCTCGCGGCCAACTGGCTGTAAAACAGAGGTTCGGGAATGTTTCGAAAAATCAGCATTTCGAAAATCCGAATTTCGAAAAATCTCCAGTTCGAAAAGACCTTGTCGATGTGGGTATAAGACTTCTAATCTCGAAAAAATTACTATTTTTAGCGGCGTTGTCAGATGACTAGGGATGTAATAGAAAATCTTTTAGTGGTGTCTATAATGAAAATAACTGTATCTCCAGTGGCAAAATAGGCTCTCGTACCTCGAACCAGCCAAATAAAACCAGATTTTTCCTGCGACTGGGATATGGGCTACTGTTAAATGGTGACTTTTCGGAATGGTGACTTTCGATCCCTCATCCCCCCCCTTAAGCAACCTTTACCGATTTATCGATCGGGTGACCGAAAATCTGGAACGATCAGTCACAAACCTGAACGTTTTGGCGCAGTCGGCGCACGCGGGAACGGCGTACAACGCGCTGGACACCGGCTTGATGCCGTCCTCTCGAGGGCACCCAGTGCACCACCCCTCCTAGATGAACTTGAGGGCGTTTCTATGTAAAGACAGGGTGTCCCAAAAACCGCGAAAAATTAACGATCCCAAATTTGACCGAGTTCCGACCCAAATTTTGACGACTCTGATCTCCCCTGAGGAATTTTTTCAGGCTAACCTTTACCATCTACACTGTTTATCGGCTGTATATTGAAAGTAACGAAAAAGTCGATCAATTTTAGCCCTCTCTTTCTAGCCCTGTAAACCCCTATTAAATTCTATAAAATTTTTGTGAAGACCTTTTGCGCCCCCGTTTGGACGTGCAAAAAGGCTAGAGTTCAAAAATTCCGACGTCCAAGAATTCCCTGGCCTAAACCTCGGCGTCGGTTTTGTTTCGGGACACCTTGCGTCTTCTTTCACTGACCGTGTAGACCTTGGGACGTCCACGCTTCTTGGAGGGCGTCTGAAAAGGACGATTGGTAAGCGTTTACGGGGATACGGGGTGGACAAAAAAGTCCCTGGTTTGCACTGAAGTATCTGGCGAACGGAAACGAATCGGACCATGGTTGCCTTGTCAGAATGCTTGAATCTACTGGGCATGAAGAATGGACACAAGTTGTTTTTTTAGATTTTTGACGAGCAGTTGGGTCGTTAAAAATTTTTTACCATTGTTAAAAAAGTAGAAACCTTGAAGATGAAAATCATGGCACTTTTGATGCTTTTGATGCCGTCCATAGGAGCGTTCCGTAATGCTGACTTTTTGGCGAAAAAAACCCGAGCAAAGTTTTCGTGCTATCCGATCTTTCTGATTTTTTTTGCAGTTAGTAATAAATAGATAACTACTAATTTTTGGCATCAAGAATTTCAAAATCCCGATCAAAAAATTTTTGGCATCCTGCCAAGTCGGCAGAAACTACAGGATTTACGTTGATTGGGTTAAAATTGTAACATGCTCATCTTTGGCAACATCTTTCAGCAACTCATCTTTTTTGGACACCCTGTAGTTATACAAATTTAAAATATAATTTCACTTGCTTCAATTTAAATATACTATACTATTCAAAGGTTTTTTTAATTGCTAGGCATTTCGAGACTTAAAGGACCCTGGGACGATGGGGTACCCAGCGGCTGGCTGCAGCGCGCGGACATCGTGGCTGCGTACATAGGAGCGCCGCGTGGCGAAAAGGGGGTGCTCGGACAGGTCATCCCTCTCCGCCGTCCCCTCTGGCGCGTGTGGTATAGTGGATAGCGCGCTGGGCTGTCATTCTCACGGTGCGGGTTCGACCCCGCCCGGTGCAAACGTCTTTTGCTTTTCGCGAAATCCATCGTTCTAGGGGCCTTTAAGGTAGACAAAAAAATTTCGCCCCCCGGATAAGGCGAAAGAACCGAAAAGTTTGCTCCCCCCTCCCGGTAACATGAAGGGACCCCTTTGTCCTCTCATACTTGCTTATTTATTCAAAACAAGACGATATAGATAATGTGGCAGTTCTGAGGGACACGGATTCAAACAGGTATAATCTTGGTCTCGATGTTAGGGCATCAATTTTTGGCGACCTCATCGGGGCGGGCCGGGGCGGCTCCAGCATCATCGTCAGCCTGGTTGATGTTGACGACGCGCGTGATGACCAATTCGCGCTGAAACGAAAGCATTGATAAGTCAATTGGCAAACGTCGCATAGCAGAAACTCTAGTTTAATTGGGTTTTTCGGTTCTTTCGCATTTTCGTGGGGGTCCTAACTTTTTCTTAGAATCTAATTTTCTTTGAATATAAATAGTGAAACAAATGAAAAACAAATAAAATAGTGTAACGTGAAATATTTACAATTTTTTTTCTTATTAATAAAACCTCAAAAAGATCGATTTTTCGAGAAAAAAAGATTTTTAACCAAAATTTCGCCGTTTTTCTAAACATTTTTTTAAAGTTTTTTGGAAAGTTGGTTTTTGCTAGTTGAATGTATTCCTAAAACACGTTTAAAAGACCGTCTACTAACTTAGTAGGCGTTTTTAGACCTAATATATGAAAAGGTTTACCCCCGGAAATGCGAAAGAACCCTATTTTGCTTTATTTTGGTGCTTCTCTGTTAACGAGGGAGGAGGGGATTTTTAACGGGGCAAACCAATTTCTACTTTTACGCCTATTGTCATCAGTTGAGAATAAATCGACTATTCCTACAAGGTTTTTAGTAGTTTCTGATCGCTAAAAAGTAATAAAAATTATTGAAAAAATGCTTGAAACATCCGAAATTTTTCACCTATTTTGGCTATTTTTCATACATTTTCGACGACAAAGCCAACAATTTTTCGAAACTTTTTTATACTTTTTGTCTATGTAAAAATTGTGGAAAAACTGGAAAGCGGCTTATATTTCTTTACAGGGCCTTACGGAATTATGGGAGCAAGAGTGATTTCCGCTTCCCCCCCCCCCCCGTTAATAGCATAGCCCCGTTTTTTGCCACTTTAAACAGGTTAAATCTTAATAACAAACATATTAAAGTAGTTACTCATAAATTTTACGCATTTCTGGACTCCTAGGAAAAAAAATTCGAAGCGTACCTGCGGCGCGTGCTTCTCGGCGTTGAGGTATTCGACGAGTTCCTCGCTGGTCATTTGGACATGGGCCTGCGCTTGTGTGACTCGGGTGACGTAGTGCACCTGGTGCTTCTCACTCTCGAGGTGGGCCGTCATCAGCTGAATGTTGGTTCAACTTTGGCTTTTTTAAATTTTGCGCCTACATCCATTGGTTACTAATTTTTAATAGCCCGAAAACACGCTCTTGCAAGACATTTTTATTAAAAAAAACTTTAAGGGCAGTATTTCCAAATCGAAATTTTCTATTCCGAAACGCGAAAAATTTTTCGAAAATTTTTAGCTGATTTTTATGGTTTAAATTTGGCTATATACTGCTTAAAAAAACGATAAAAACACTGTCTATTAGCTTACTAGGCAAGACTACGAAAGACTACAATTTGCGAAAATCGCGGAAACTCTACAATTTCCTCCACTTTCGCCTCGAGCCGTTCCCTCTCAAGCTTGGCGGCCTCGTACGACTCGTTGAGGAGCTTCTTTTCGCTACGGAAGTAGCTGGTGATCATCTGCAAAGATTTGGTTGATCTGGGGTCAGTGCGGCTAAAAAGGGCGGCGGGGGCATTAAACTCCGTAAACATTTTCAGAATATTGTAAAAGTTCGAAAAGGTTTATAGTTTTTTGCGCGGGCTATCCATAAAAACTGTTCTACAGGGTGTCCCAAAAAAAACCACCCCTCCGGCATTTCGCCGTATCATATCCGATCGGTCCGAAAATTGGAGCAGAGGTGTATTGGACCCTAAATAACCACAATCCTGACTTATAGCCCGATCGCCCCAGTAATTTTGGAGTTATCGCAAAAATACTATTGTTTACGCGGTTCTTAACAGTTTTTCGGCTATCTTTTTGGACTTTGCATCGATTTGCATCGACTTCCGCCTGCGAATCCCTAATTTCGCTTAATATCGGGGGCGACTTTGGTTACAAAAATTGCTGAAATCCACGGTTATTTGATGAATTTTTATCAGGAAAAAATTTCTGAGGGTAAAGAAGGCTGGCCGCTTTATTTTCACTTAATATTCGAAAGGTCGATTCCGACGAAAACCCTATGAAAAACACATTATAAAGTTTATTTTTGTTGTATCTCGAAAACTACTGGAGCGATCGGGCTATAACTCAGGATTGTGGTTATTTAGGGTCTGATACACCCCTCGTCCAATTTTGGGACCAATCGGATGCAATACGGCAAAATGCTGGAGGGGTGCTTTTTTTGGGACACGCGAACGCCGACGTCGACGACGCTAAGCTCTTGGTATATTTTTGGATGTTCGATGAAAACGCAAAGAGAAACCCCCTCGAAAAAAATAGCGTGACTATTGAAAGATCCCCTGCTGTTTTCGCCCAGATTTTGACCTCCGGCCAAATAGAACAGTACCAAGCGGCGTAACAACCATATCACTGCTGTGTTAGCTGATTATTGGGACCGGAGTGATGAGCAAAAATTAGCCCCCCCGCTAACAGTCCGGTACCCCAAGGATCTGGTTCTATTCTGAAATTATCACATACCCTGTCAATCTTCGCGGGCTCGTTCTGTTTGGCAAATTCCTCCTCGGCGCGGAGAATATTCTCCTTCTCCCCCTCAGGTAGCTTGTAGAGATCGAGGTTCCCGAGCGTCAGAGGCTGGAAGAGCATTAATTAGCTGGAAACGACCTCTAATTAGCATGAATAAATTGATTTTTGGGTACTCATAAGATAACGGGGGAGGGGGGGACAAATTTTCGGAGTTTTGAATATTTCCGATATTTTGAAAATGCCATTCGATAGAGGGCCGAAAAATATACTACGAGCTTTTTTATTGCTCGAAAAAAGCATATTTAAAAATACTTTTATCATAAAAAAACCTAGCGGGTAAGGCCTTACCGGAAAAGATGGCGCTGGAGTATTCGGAAGGCGGCCGGTCACAAAAAATTGGAGGTCATCCTGCTTCTTGACGAGCTCGAGTAGCTTCGCTTCACTGTGGCTGGTTGACCGGTAACGGCTTTTCAAAGCCAAGCCGATGATCTGCTCCTGCAAAATCGGAGATTTTTTAGTTTTTTTCCATGCCCTTTGTGGAAGCCACATTCAATACTTGTCTTGCCATAACTTTGTTATATGACATAATTTTAAACGAACATTAAAACTTTCGGTATATTTTCCGGCGTTACATATCGAATCGCGTCTCAACAAGTTTAAAATTGGTTAAAACAGGCGCAGGATCTTTCGCATTAACGGGGGGGGGAGGGCGACCTTTTGTATAGGTCTAAAAATGTCTAGTAAATTAGTAGGCCGTGTTTGAATGAAGTTTTGAGCAATAAAAACTATAATTCATCTAAAAACTATCTAAAAAAAATTAAGAAAAATGTTGAAAAAGTCGAGATTTTGGACAAAAATCGGCCTTTTCTGGTCGAAAAATCGATTGTTTCGACCTTTTTTAATAATTTTGTAAAGCTTTCACGTTTAGGAATAGTGAAAAACCATCTAGAAACACTTCAGCTATTTATATTTGAGAAGTTAGATTGGAAAACAGACCTTGAGCCGCTTCTCCTGCAGCGCGAGCGACTCCTTTTCGCGTGCCGCCCCGATGCGACGTTCCGTTTGCTCGAGGCGTGCCATCAGCTCGCCAAAATTCTGAAAGTGCCGGTAATATTTCAAATCTGGTTCTGGACTGTTAGCGGGGGAGGGGGCATTGTTAGCAGGGGGGAAACTTTCCGTTTTTTCAGCTATACCCCTTGCTGATATATGTTTCTTATAGTGTTTTTACTAGTTTCTGATTGCGAGAAAGTTCTCAAGAATATTTTTTAAAATTTTGTAAATTCGAAAATTGTATCTTTTTTGATTTTCATACATTTTTTTACCAAAAAGTTTTCATACATTCGCAAAGTTGTTTATTTTTTATCATGTTTTTATATCTAAAAATCACGTAAACTGCCATAAAAATGGTTTATATTTTGTTATAGGGCCGTAGAGGACCGCGGGGCAAATTTGGGGTTTTCGTTTCGGGCAAAATTGTGGTCCAAAAGGTGCGAAAAATGGTCAAAAAAAAGCAAAAAAAAAAATTCGGATTGTGAAAAATTTGTAAACGAACGATCCTAGCAATCAAAACTGAAAAACTACTAAAAACACTATAAAAATCCACAATATATCAGCAACAGGCATAGGCCGAAAAACAGAAAGTGTTTTCCCCCTGCTAAACCACCCCCTCACCCCCCCCCCCGCTAAAAGTCCAAAACCAATTTTTTGACAAAAATTACGGATGTGATGGTGCCAAAAACGAGCACAAACTTATAATGGTCCGATTCGATTCGAGTACCCGATACCAAACACAACAAGACTGTTTAAGAGACCCACAATCTCGAAATTGGGGGTGGTGAAGGCCGGCATGAATAAATATTTCGAAATAGACAGAGAGGTCGGGAATAGTATGAATGTGATTTCTGCACGCAAAAAAAGAATTTTATACCTGAGGACTCAGGGTAATTAGGCCGAAAAGGAGGGCTATTCAAGCTATCGGTATGCAAATCGTGGCAACACAATATGGGTATTCGGTTCCCCCTCAATATATTTGTCTCGCTCTCTCTCTCTCTCTCTCTCTCTCTCTCTCTCTCTCTATTTCCTGTTTGGCTCTTCCTCAGCGCGCACGGGCTAGCAGCGACCATTTGGGGATGAGTGAGGGCCAGCTAGCAGAGACCATTTGGGATAGAGAGACGGCCAGCTAGCAGAGACCATTTGGGAAGGGGAGATGGCCAGCTAGCAGCGACCATTTGGGAGGGAGAGAGGGCCAGCTAGCAGAGACCATTTGGGATGGAGAGACGGCCAGCTAGCAGAGACCATTTGGGAAGGGGAGATGGCCAGCTAGCAGCGACCATTTGGGAGGGAGGTGGGGCCAAACCAGAAGGATAGGCACGGCATAAATATGCCTTTCCTAAAACAACAATCGCATTCCAAACTTTATCACCGCAATTTGTGCAGAGGCGGGTACACAGAAATACACATGACATGTATAGCAAAAAAAAGAGAGCGGCGTGGTTTTTGGAGCCTGGGGCGAAGGTTTTGCGAGGCTCCAAAACGGTCGTATAGTGGCGTAGCGTAGTGGCCTGCCCCCGTCGGCTAGGCCGTCTTCCGGTTCGCGGCGCCTGGCTGTTGCGGCTGCTGAAAAAGGCATGTTTCTTAAAAGTTTTTTTCTGGCAAGTTTAACACTTTCCGAAACTTTCTGGCTGTGGAATCTCTCCGAGCGAACTTTTTGTTATTCCGTCTGTATCTACCTGTTGACGACATATTAAGTATTTTTATGGTGTTTTTAATAGTTTCTGGTCGCTGGAAAGTTGATTTTAAATTTTTAAATTTATGAATTTAAAAATCTAAGCTATTAAAATGCTATAAAAATTGTTTATTTTTGTGGTTCTTTAGGATTTCCGGGGGGGAGGGGGGGAAACCAAATTTTTTCCTGGTTTTCCCGGTCGACCTAGTAATCAAATAGAAAGTGTTTTCACATTGTTTTTAGTAAATTTTAACTATATTTAAAGTAGAAAAACCTTTCAGGAAAGTTAGAAAAATGTTTGAAAAAGTCGAAAATTGGTCATTTTGGGTCTCTCCCCCCCGCTAATCCTAAAGGTTCTATAGGATTTTTCGACCTAAAATTAAATTTTTTAATTAAAATGTGAGTAATTTTTATGCTCAGGAATAGTTAAAAAACATTTAGAAACGCATGCGCTATTTAGAAAAAAATTTAGGCTTGGGCCGAAAAAATTTGGTTTCCCCCGGAAATCCTAAAGAACCATTTTTGTTATTGTTTGTTTGTGGGGCGTACAAAATCACAAGATAAATTTTCATTCCCCCCCCCGCTAATAGTCCAGAACCACGCAAGAATCAGCAAAAATTTTTACATTGAAAATCATCATTTTTGTGTGATATTTCTGACACGCCGTTGAGCTAGTTTTCCTCTTTTTGCCCCAAATAAAATAGTCCCACGTCGTGCTCGCTGGACATCTCGGGACTGGGCTGCTCCGGGTAACCCTGGAAAGGGAAGGGTACTGTAGTATTATCGTAATTATTGTAATTTTTTATAATTTTATAATTTTGGCATTTGATAAAATGATGATAATTAAAATTACGGGCCAAAATGAATAAAATAAACATACAGCCTTGGCGAGGCGCTCGTCGCTCTCGCCGTCGCTTTGCTGCTGCTCGGCGAGCAGGCCTTGGCGGCGCTGAACAAAAAATTGGATCTCCGGGTACGGTAGGCATAAAAATACGATAGCTACTGTAGCAATTTTAATTTTAAGAAGCTTTTGCTAAACAGCGGTGCTTGTGCATTATCGGAGGTGGGATCATGGATTAATTGTAGCTTCATGAAAATGAGCGGGACTGCGGTAGCTCGGCACACGGTAGATGCTATCCGTGTAATCGTTTCCGAAAATGCTGAGAAAAGCGAGCTCAACTACCGTACCCGGCGGGCGTACAGCTCGCGCCCGCTGCGCCTCCTCCGCCACCAGTCGATGATCTGGGGCACGTGGCGCACAAAGTAGATGATCACGAAGAACGCCACCGCCAGCCCGTACACTAGGGTCATCGGTTCTGGACTGTTAGCGGGGGTGGGGCGGGTGAAGCAAAATTTTCCCTCGATTTTAATTTAAGGATATTTTATACCATTTTTTTAGCATTTAACATAATTTTTAAAGATAAGTTTCTAAAAAAATTATAGAATGATTATCAATCTAAAAAAATTATTAGATATTGTATTATTTTATTTTATAACTAATTATCAAAAATCAATTTTTTTCAAAAACCGGTTTTTCATTTCTTAAATGGATGGATAAAAAACTACCAACAAAAAGCAAAATTTTCAAAAATTCATAAATGCTAAAATTATTTTTGTAGCTTCCGGCAATCAAAAACTACTAAAAACTCTATACAAATAGGCTCATTATTATTAAAATGTGCCGTGCAGACAAAAAAAAATTGGTTTCTGCCCCCCCGCCTACAGTCCAGTACCGTTTTGTAGAGCTTTAAAAATATAAAAAACTGATTTCACACATTGATAACGACCCATGTCGCCCACTACGTCGTTGCTTGCAGAAACCATCCGTTTTTGGGGGAACCTGAAAAAAATGCGTTTTGTTGCTAACTTTAAGCGACAATTTTATGAAACTATTCAAAGGTAAAGCTCAATACTACAACTGTATTGTACAGTGCCCCTTACAGTGCATCCAATGGCCGTCGGCCGATGGTGTATTCGGCAAATCTGACGGCCGAGTACCAATCATCCTCATAGTAGACCGGGTGCCCAAAGAACCGGTCGCAGCCGGATTCCTGAAAAAATGAAAAGGATTATTTTAGACCGAAAAATCCAATAAAAAAATGGCGGAAGTGTAGTTCCCCCCAGCCGTCCCCCAACTACCGTATCTCGGCTCCCTGTTCATCTACATGTGTGTAGAGTATACCAAAATACTCGTCAGAGCAGGACGAACATTTTGGTATACTTTACACACCTGTAGATGAACAGGGAGTCGAGATACAGAAGTCGGGCGCCGGCTGTGGGGGGGACCGCCCGACTCTCCCTTAAAAGAATTTCGATTTCACGTTTCACTTTTTTGTCAAAAATGCATGAAAAATGTTTATCAAATTACACAAAACAATAATTTGAGCGTATTATTATTGGTGAGTAAATGATGAAAATTAGTGTTTAATATACATTAAAAATGCTTGTTGTTTTGAAAACCCGCACCATTCGCTGGAGAATGACGGTCCCGTCGTAGATGGCGGCGAACTCGTGGGTGAGGGCGATGGCGCTGTAGTAGGCCGGCACCGGCTGCACATTCACGCTGAAAAAACAACAACAAATAAAAAACCAAAGGAAACGTGTTGCCTTCCATTTTTAATCTATAAAATCTACTTTACATTTTTGTGCGATTGGCGTCCATCAGCAGCTCGTACAGGTCGATGACGCGCACACTGTTCGCCGACCACGCCACGTCATCACGGTTCGACGCGTACAGGTAGGTACGCTGCAGGAATGCGTATTATTATGCGTTACTAAGATTTACGACGGGAAAGAGAACGAGAGAGGGAGAGAGAGAGAAAGAGAGAGAGAGAGAGAGAGAGAGAGAGAGAGAGAGAGAGAGAGGGAGGGGGGAGAGAGAGCGGGAGACAGAGAGCCAGAGAGAGAGAGAGAGAGAGAGAGAGAGAGAGAGAGAGGGGGGGAGAGGGAGAGAGAGGGGGAGGGAGAGCGAGAGAGAACGAGAGTGTAAGAGAGGGAGCGAAAGAGAGTGTGAGATCGGGAATTATGTAGAGAGAGAGAGGGGGAGAGAGAGTGAAGCAGATATAGGCACAGTGAGAAAGCGAGAGAGGGAGCGAACGAGAGTGAGAGAGACAGAGAGATAGGCAGAGAGCGAGTGAGAGCGTGTGAGTGCGTGAAAGTGCCAGTGAGAGAGAGATAGATAGAGATAGCACGAGAGAGAGAGCGTGTGAGTGCGAGAGATAGACACAAACCCACCCCATGTTTAACTAATAAATTAGCCTTGGCGCGATACTTGTTCGGGAACAGCTCGTCCGGCATTTGGAGCATGTAGTAAAACTGCAAAGAAAAAGATATTTTTACGAACAGAGAGCGAGAAAGAGAAAGAGAGAGCGAGAGAGAGAGAGAGCGAGAAAGAGAGAGAGAGAGATAGAGAGAGGCTCTACATCGACGTTGGGCACAGTTTTCCCTGGCCTGACGGACACGCGCATCTGATAGAGATGGATGTGGCCCTTGTCTCGCCCGAGCACCAGCACCGCATCCTCCACCTACAAAAAGTTGCAGCTTCGAGAAATACCGCGTTTCATCAATTTTCATACTACCCACAAAAATTTTGAGCGCCGTTCACTCAATAAATGAACAGAATCTGTTTTAATCATTTTTCTCCTTCTTTCAATTTGCATATTTTGTATGTATTAATTCGTGAATTGAAACTAAACACTATCGATATATTTTCGCATAGAAAACCTGGAACACGTCGGTGATGTCGATACTGGGGTGGCGGCAGCGTTTCTCCTCGATTGCTTCCTAAAAACGAGGGTTATCCGGGTTTTTCTTTGTCAGTATCATAGCTGTCGATGTTTTTGCGTGTCGGGATTGTGGCTGGCGGGATTATCGCTGTCGGCATTTTGGCTGTCGCGGCTTTAGCTATCGGGATTTTGTCTGCCCGTCGGCATTATGGATTCTGTGATTTTCGTTGTCGATATTTTAGCATGTAGGAATGTCCGGATTTGTGCTTGTCGGGATTATCGCTGTCGCAATTTTTTGTCTGGGCTGTCGGCATTTTGCTTGACTGAATTATGGCTTTCGGAATTTGGGTTTTCCCAATTTGGACTGTCGGTATTATAGCTGTCGGGATTATGGATTCTGCGATTTTGGTTGTAGATATTTTGGCATCTATGGATATTGGCTGTCGGGATTTTGGCTGTCAGCATTTTGAAATGGCCTGCTAGAAGTCTGAGAAAATCCATCGAGATTCCATAACTAACGAAATCCAGAGCCATGCCTTGCCGGTCCCTCTAAAACCACCCACCCTTGAGCAGTCGGCGACGACAAACCCGGGCGGATACGGTAGATAGGAGGTGGCGACGCTGCGGTGGCTCTTCAGCGCGATTTGCACGTAGTTGATGCCCACAAAACTAAAAAGTTAATTTTTGTCATAAGCTCTTTGAATTTGTGGATTACGGGCCGCGGTTGCCGCCCTGGCCGGCTGACCGCATCTGCGGCGTCTCGACCTTCGGCGGGAAGAACAGCTGAAATATTCCAATTTTCACTTAAGAATCCTACTATCCTACTATATATAAAAAAATAGTGTTTGTGTGTGTGTGTGTGTGTGCATTTGCATGCAACTTCCGTCCGTATGTTCCAGTCGTATCTCAATAGGAGGGGAAGTTAAAAGTACGTATGATACGTCATTAGGTGCGTAATGGTTATGACACGACTGCACACATATAAGATTTTTAAAAATCAGCTGTTTTCGATATCCTACTATATATAAAAAAATAGTGTTTGTGTGTGTGTGTGTGTGTGCATTTGCATGCAACTTCCGTCAGGGTGTCCAGAGGATATCTCGAGAGGAGATGGGTTTGAGGAGGTGTTTGATACGTCATTAGATGCGTAATGGACTGGAGATGACTGCACACATATCAGATTTTGTAAAATATGGTGTTTTCGACATTAAAATTAAGTTTTTCTTAAAAATTCCGACACCCACTTTGTTAGGATAAAATTAGCATACGCCGGACGTCGCTGTGGCCTATATGAAGGCTCAAATGGAGCGTTTTTCATTTTTTGTCATCGGAATTCGGGCACGATTATGCAAAACGAAGAACATCATAAGGTTAGACGGGGCCAGGGTTGAAAAGTCGCGAAGCGGCTTTTCAACCCTGGTTAAAATTAAGTTTTTGTAAAAATCTCGCTCAGCCTCTTTGTTAGGAATCAATTAGCATGCACCGGAAGTGGGGGGAAGCCTATATAATGGGGAGAGGACGCGCTTTCCATTTTTCTGCGCAGGAATTCAGGTATTTATGCAATGTGACCAGGGGCGTAGCCAGAAAAAAAATGTCGGGGGGGCCCCGAAAAATTTTTTCCGAAAAGCTCAAAAAATTAACGAGAAAACAGCGCCGCAGGCGAAAAATTTTGGAAAAAAGACTACATAGCTCTACAAATAGCAGTAAAAACGTGAAAAAATAGCGCCGCAGGCAGCAAATTTTTTGAGAAAATAAAAATCATAAGGGTCCCCCCTTATGAAATTTTCGGGCCCCGGCCGATTTCGGGGGGGCCCCGGGCCCAGGGGGCCCACCTTACGCTACGTCCCTGAATGTGACGAAGTATGGGGGTAAGACGGGGGCCAGGGTTGAAAAGTCGCGAAGCGGCTTTTCAACCCTGGTGTATTTTCAAAAAATTCTTTGTTGCAATTGTTTTTTGAAAAGGGCTAATTTTAAGCGTCGAAAATCACAATGTTTCGGGATTTACATAAGCAAATTTCCCAGAAAAAGCAAAAAAATGTCGAATATCAAATATCGACAATATGTTTTTCGACATTATTAAATGGATATTAGCAGCATATTTAGTATCTTTCGAGAGTGTTTTTAGTTATTTCAAGCGAAAATCTATCTAATAAACTATTAAAAAATTTGAAATTGGAATTTTAAGGCGAAAATCGAATTTTTTTTTGTAATTTTTCGCCAAAACTTTTTTTGAATTTTTATCATTTACCAGATCTATTATACCGAAAATAATTATAATTAATTCGTGGGTTAATTATCATAAAATCCAGCGACGGAAAATTCATCGAACCTGCAGCCGATCCTGAATTTGTCGCACGACCACCCGCAGGTTCTTGACGGTGTAGCCGTGGCGCTCGTACACATCCTAAAATTCTTTTCCAAAATTAAAGTTAAACTTTGAGATGTATTAAAGTAATTTTAAATGGTTATCCAATAATTTCCGCTAAAATCTTAAACCAAAAATTGCAAAAAACGTTATTTGAAAATTCAAAAAACTTAAATTTCCTGCGAAAAATTCCGTGTTTCAAAAAACTTTGAGGCTCGAGGTGCTTGCCGACGGGCAATCTTCAGGCACCACTCGTGCAGCCTTGCCACTGCTCATTTCGTAGTTTCGGTTTATTTATTGCGATACATTTTTTCACTTCTTATGCATTGTCGGAGGTGATCCATTTTCCATATAGGTGCACAACGATCGTTTCATGTAACGTAAAAATATTTTGAAATTCAAGTAGAAAGGGAATATAATTTTTAGTCAAAATGCACCAGAAGGAACTGGCAAAGACCTAAAAATTTTTTAATTGTCAAAACTTTTTGAATATTTTTGATAACTTTCTAATAATGAAAAATTACTCAAAAACAATAGAAATGCATAATACATCGTCAACAGGTCGAAAAGGTATAGGCGAAAACTGCTTTTCTCCCTGCTAACCCCCCCCTCGCTAACAGTCCAGTACCGCTTTTTGATGATTTTCTCTTTGAAAACAAGGTCAACCTCTAAGCCTTAAAAAAGGTTCAAAAATGTTTCAAAAACGTACCACAGGAATGACAAAAACCTTGACACCGCGGCAGTCCTTCTTATCCCGAGACAGCATATGGAAGCTCTCGTGGTTGACCTCAAACTGACGCACCTGGGCTGATGCCTGGAAAAAGAAATGTTCTTTCTCATTATCGAGGGGGTGGGGGTTGGAAATTCGGCTTTTCCGCTGGAAGATTTATATTTTGTATTTATTTCTAAATAAAGGTAAGAATTTACTTTACCCCCCCCCCCGGCTAAATTGCGGTATCCGGTCACTAAACGGATTTTGGATTTTTATATGTCAAAATGCTCAGCAGGTCGAGCTGAGTCAGGATCAGTTGAAAAAACTTTGCGGAAAAATCGCTATCACGTGATATATAGCTTACAAGGCCTCAAAACAGGCCGAAACGTAGTACACAATACACCTATATACGCCAGCTGTACATCGGAAAGTAACGGAATGGTCATTTTTCATGCTACTAGAGATGACAAGTGCTCGATAAGAGCTTAGCGTTACTCTACTCTACACCCGGTTTCAGCCTAAAAATAAGGCTTCGTGCCACCCCGGGGCCTAGTCGCTTCGGATGGGCGCGAGCTCGTACAGGGTTTCGAAATCGGGGCGCCCAGGCGCCCCGATTTCGAAAAAAGTGGAGCGGCAGCCTATCCGAAGCGACGGCCCGCCTTGCCTGATAATGTTTTTTACCCAAGAAACGGTAATTCTATGCCATTCCGTTACTTTCCGATGTACAGTTGGCGTATCTAGGTGTATTGTGTACTACGTGTCGGCCTGTTTTGAGACCTTGTAAGCTATATATCGCGTGATAGCGATTTCCCTCCTTCGTGGGGCGCCCCTAGGCCCCTCGCCGGGTTGCACCTGTGGCTGACTGGTACGCGACCGCGTCTCCCGATCGGGAGGCCCGGGTTCGACCCCCGGCCGCGGCGAAATTCTTTGCTTTCTTGCCCAAAAACGTCCATGAACGTGCCCTTTAAGTGCAGCTTCCCCCCCCCCCCCCCCCCCGACCCCCAGCGACCGTATCTCGGCTCCCTGTGTAAAGTATACCAAAATACTCGCCAGAGCAAGACGAATATTTTGGTATAATCTACACATGAACAGGCGGCCGAGATACAAAAGTTGGGTTGCCGGCTGGGGCGGAGGGGTAAACTGGACTCTAACCGAAAATACGATCATAGACCATAGACCATACAATTACTAAGAAAATTTGCTTCCCCCCCCGCTAACAGTCCAGCACCAAAATTTGTCCGATTTTTTTGCAATAAACCTCAAGGATGGAAGTACATATAAAAATTCACCGTCTCAATGGCCTTGAGCGAAGCCTCGTAGTAGAAACAGCCCGTCGTCACTCCCGCCACTGGAAAAAGCGTTGTTTTTTCCTTGAACGGGCCTTTAAAACACAACTGGAAATTAATGGGATTTACCAGTGATATTAGCCGGCTTCATATCATTTTCGTAGAGCGGCAGGATGCATTGTTGGTAGTCTCCTTTCTTAAATAATGAAAAAATTACTTGAAAAGATTATATGAATGATAAATCTTAAATCTTTAGCGGTTCCTTGGCATTATCGGGGGAGTGAATTTTTCTTACAACGCGAGAAACAGTAACTCAACAGCAAGTATCGTAATAAACAAAACCAAAAAAAAATAAAAAACCGTTGACGAAATTTTTGGGAAAAATCGGCTATTTTTGTTCGAAAAATCGATAGTTTCTGTAATATTTTAATAAGAGTTTGTAAAGTTTTTAGGCTTTGGTTAATAGTAAAACAAGCCGTTTAGAATCTCTGCGCTCTTGCTCGTAGAAAATTGGACGCTTAGAAAAAATATTATTGTGCATGTCCTGCGCCATTAAACGTCACCGAAAAATTTGGAAATTTTATGAATTTTCGAAACATATGAATCTTGCTTGCCAAGATCTTTTTTGAAAAAAAAACTGCTTTGCAGGTTCTTTACTTTAGCAGGTTTAAACAAAAAAGATGGTGGTTTCCTATTCCTTAAAGTAACAATAACAACTGTCACCAACCTCGGCCATCTCGGACATCTTCTTCGGCGCGACATGGCCAAAAATGGCCGCCAAAAGCAGCAGCAGCGGCGGCCGCATCAAAATCCCTCGGCAGTGAAATGAATTATTTCGCTACGCTTCTATGCTAATTTCCAAGGCGGAAGCAGCGAGAACAAGAAAACTGATGAATCTCGCGCTTAATTGGGGGGGGGGGGTTTCTCAAAAGTTCTAAATGAACCGAAATTCAGGGAGCCATGCGTCGGCCATCCGGTGTCGCATTTCGATGATCTCGACATCTATCGATATCTACTCTTCGAGAAATATCGATTGGCGTTAACAGTATCGCATGCAAATTGCGATATGCAGAGGTTGTCTCAAAAAAGGACTCCCCTCGCGCGGTCAGCAGTCATGTACTTTTTGACGATTTAGGTATCTATCGTAACCTCTCGGAAAGATGCTAAAACTTTTCGTTGTTCAATATAGGCACTTTCATTCGCAAATTTTAGGACAAAAATCCATGAAAACTCGCGCTTTTATGCAAAATCCGCCTGCGATCGTTTGATGTCAAGCGAGAGCTGAAAATTTTTTGCAAAACAAATAACGCCTGTTATCTCGCCTTCTCGAGAGCTTTGGAATGGTCTAAAACTCATACCGATCCGAGTTTTGGCCGGAACGCTAGAGGATACTCGATTTTTGGGATGTCCTGTAGAGACAACTAGCAAAAACACTTTTTCGTCATTTTGTCGAAAGCTTCTTGGACCGGTATCTCGTCCAGGACCGAATGCCATATTGGATGTTCAGGATCGGGTTTTGTCTGCCTCTTCGAGTTGGCGTTCAAATTAATTTTCACAATTGTACTACTCAATTTTTCACACATTTTCCTAAGCTGCGAGAAATATGACTTTTCAGTTGGCCCACGGCACCGATCCATTCGGTAAATCACTTTATTCTCGGGGAAAAAATTTCGCAGCCTATTCCATCACACCAAAAAAAGAACAAAGCGGAGGGTTGAGAGAGCAGAGAGGGAGAGGGAGAGAGAGAGAGAGAGAGCGAGAGAGAGAAATAGAGAGATGGCCAAAGGGGGGCTAGAGACAACAGAGAATAGGGAGGGGGCAGAGATGGAGGGTGAGTGATGGTATGGTGGCTGCTGCTCATGCTCAATCAGCTCTTCCTCCCCTCTTGAACGGGGAACGGCGACTCCTTCTCGCTCAGCGTATTCCCGCCGCTGTCCTTGTTTTGGGGGCGCGGGAATGAATTCTGCAAAAATATTGAAATTCTATGACAATTCTGAAAAAACTTTGTGATTAAAAAAATCTAAAATAAAGTAACCAAATTCCTGGTACTGGACTGCTAGCAGGGGGGCTTGACGGTGGAAAATAATTTTTCCCTCACGGTCCTATCGCAAAAAAAACCATCTTTCCGACTTTTTGCCCCATTTTTTTAGATGTAAAATCTCATGGCAAAAACATAAACGTTTTCGAACATTTGAATTTTTTGGTGAAAAATGTAAGCAAAAAATGATCAGAAGATCAAAACTTGGAATTCAATGTCTAAAAATTTTTTGTAACTTTTTAGCAATAAAGAAATACTAAAAAACAACAAAATCCCATCATTAATTGTTAAAACTTGTTACCTTGTTTTGGAAAAAATTTCTAAAGTTAGAAGCTTAAAAAAATGTAATTGAAGTGAAATAAACTGCGAAATTTAAGGCAAAGATTCCGCACCCTTCCACCGGCCGCATCGGCGCCGTCGTAGTCGACGGTGTTCGGCGTGATCGAGCCGTGGCTGTGGCTGCGTTTGCGCTGCAACAAAATAGTGAGGCCTAACCCCAAAACGGCTGACTGACCTCGGCGCGGCTGCTGTGGCGCGTGCCGCGACGCCGGCGGATCATCTCGATCAGCTGCGGGATGTGGCGGACGATGGTGAACAAGATGAAGAAGCAGGCGAACGAGATGTACACTGAAACATAGAAGATTTAAGTGGGCAAAAGAATGCGGAATTTCGCCCGTAAAGGGGCTAGAAAGTGCAATTTTTTATACCCCTTCAAAACGGCAAAAAAATGCTGGGAGCCAAAACCTCGGGTTCTTTCGCGTTATCGGGGGGGATCAAATACTTTTTAGGATCTAATTTTTCAAGCCTAAATGGTGGAAGTGTCGCTAAACTCGGTTTTACTATCCTTAAAAGCCAAAACTTTACAATATTTTATTAAAAAACACAAAATGTCGATTTTTCGACGAAAAATAGCAAATTTTGGACCAAATTTCGACTTTTACTTTTTTTTATTTTATTCAAACATTATGAAAAGATTTATGAAGTTACGGGGCATTTCTAGATTTACAAAAAATTTTGCCCCGCCGATAATGCAAAAGCGCAAAAACCCCGTACCGATGCGGACGTTGTTCTCTCGTTTATTGCCCTCCGGCATCGACTTCTTCGGGAACCTCAAAAATAAGTGTTGCACGTTTTTTTCAAGCCAATTCCCCTCACATCGAGTCGAGCGGTCGACGGGCCATCGACAGACTGATAAACTCGAGGCCGGAGAACCAGACGTTGTCCACAAAGTTCGGCACGCCGAAGAACGAGTCGCAGCCGCGTTCCTAAGTACAAACAATTCCCCACCTTACGCTAGAAAAAATTTTTTGGCTGAACTCCAGATAATCCCTCCCCCCCCCCCCAGTCGGCCCCCGCCTGCCGTATCTTGGCTCCCTGTTCGTCTACAGGTGTGTAAAGTATACCAAAATACTCGCCACAGAAAGACGAACATTTTGGTATACTTCAAACCTGTAGATGAACAGGAAGCCGAAATATAAAAGTTGGGCGCCGGCTGGGGGGATGGCGAAAACTGCACTCCAACCAATTAATTTTTTAGACCCTACAACACGCTGCAGGATGACGGTCTCGTTATGAACGGCCGCGTACTCGTGCGTCAGCGAGAACGGGCTGAAGTAGGCCGGCAACGGCTGCACGTTCACCCTGAAGGTGAGGGTTAAAGATTTATCGGCTGAAATTTAGGTTATTTACGTTTTTAAGTTTTTTAATTAGTTAACCAGATGGTTACAGTCGCTTCGCGACTGCAACCATCTGGCCTTCGGGCTACCCTACATGTCCCACTCCACCACATCCTTTCCCACCTCCATCAATACCCCCGATAGCCGAAATCCCCTTTAAAAACTACCTAAATACCTTCCTGATGGCTTCAGATACCCCCCCATGGCTCAAATCCCCTTCAAAAACTACCTAAATACCTTCCTGATGGCTTCAGATACCCCCGATAGCCGAAATCCCCTTTAAAAACTACCTAAATACCTTCCTGATGGCTTCAGATACCCCGATAGCCGAAATCCCCTTTAAAAACTACCTAAATACCTTCCTGATGGCTTCAGATACCCCCCCATGGCTGAAATCCCCTTCAAAAACTACCTAAATACCTTCCTAGATACTTTAAATAATTTAAATAATTAATTAACATAATTAAAAAGTATTAAAAAGTATTAACGTAACTTAAAAAAACGATCTGGGCGCGGGAAAGGGCCTGGGGAAGAGGGGCGAAGAGAAAAGGGGGCGTGGCCTCCCGGGAGAGGGGCCCCCACTCGTTTTATTAAGGCGCCACTTTCAAAGTTAATTTTAATAATTTAAACAAAAACTTTTTCATAATTTTTTAATCAGTTTGGGGGTTTCTGACCACGCTCTATCCGAATCCGAAGAGAGCTAAGCTCTAGCTCCTTTCCCCTTCGAGTTGAATTCGGCTTCAGACGGACAGACAGACGGACAGAGACCACAGCAAAATTATTATAGTTGATATCAGGTTGGAAAGAAAGTAATGGCACAAAATCTTTAAACCGCTGTAAAATCCCGCAGGAACGTCCAATTTGAAAGATTGATATATGGTTTGGTAGATCTTCGGATGCTCTATCACAAGACGACCCTGAAAGCACACAAAAACTGACGTACGCGAAGATACAGGCGTCAGAAGTTACGCAGAAAATTGAGTGAAAGCTTTTAAGCGAGATATCTCTGCATACAAGCATTTGCGGTTCTTTAGGATTTCCGGGGGGGGAAAGTATTTCCGGGGGGGGAAACCAAATTTTTTCGGCCCAAGCCTAAATTTTTTTCTAAATAGCGCATGCGTTTCTAAATGGTTCTTAACTATTCCTGAGCATAAAAACTACCCACATTTTAATTAAAAAATTTAATTTTAGGTCGAAAAATCCTATAGAACCTTTAGGATTAGCGGGGGGGAAAGACCCAAAATGACCAATTTTCGACTTTTTCAAACATTTTTCTAACTTTTTTGAAAGGTTTTTCTACTTTAAATATAGTTAAAATTTACTAAAAACAATGTGAAAACACTTTCTATTTGATTACTAGGTCGACCGGGAAAACCAGGAAAAAATTTGGTTTCCCCGGAAATACTTTCCCCCCCCCCGGAAATCCTAAAGAACCGCATTTGCATACGATACCTTTAAACCAATCGATAGCTCTCGAGGAGTAGATATCGATAGATGTTGAGATCATCGAAATCGGACACTGCATGACCGAGATATGGTCTCTAGAATTTGGTCCACCTGTTAGAACTTTTCTCGAAATCCCATACATTCTGGTCTGCGCGAGCAAAAACTGCTGCGTTTGCTTCAGCTCCCGAACCAAAATCCAGCAAATGCATTGATTTTGGAAGGCTCATGTCTCGGCCATCCAGTGTCCGATTTTGATGATCTCAACATCCTATCCTATAAGCGAGAAAAGTATGTGTGTTTTCTGTGCAGCCAGTTTCTCGGCCGTCAGGCCGAATTTCGCGCTGATTTTTGGCATGGAGGTGGAGAAACGCATTTGCCAGACACGCATTTTTTTGTTTTTCGAAATTCCTTCATTTAACAATTTTACAAGCAAAATGGTGAAAATCCTTAACAAAATGGGCTACGAGCCGTGGTGTTCGGGCCATAACTCAAAGGCCTCATGGAATTTCGGCCTGAAATTTGGACCACTTATGTATTCGATAGTGGGGATCACGCGCATCTTATTATTTTTACAAATTTTCGACGCATCCAAAATAAAAAAGCGATTTTGCTAAAGTACTAGAAGTCCTCCCGCCCAGGTTCAACCCCGCCCCCAGGATCGAAGAGGCCTTCCGCCTCCCTTCCCCATGCCCCCTTTGGTATAGTGGCTTGACGCCCGGTCTACCACGCACATGGTCGAGGGGTTCGGATCCTCGGCAAATTTACCTTTTTGCTTTTTGATAGTTCAACAACAAAACATATTTCGAGGCTCTCGGTATCCGGAATTTAGGCCAGTCCCTCGCTCTAGCGCCGCAGGCCAAAAAATAGGTCCTTGGCCCGGGTTCTAGCGCCGCAGGCCAAAGAAAAGGGGCTTGGCCTGGGCTCTCGCGCCGCAGCCTAAATTCTGGAGAAAAACCAGTAGCTAGCGCCGCAGGCCAGAGAACGGTTTCTAGAGTCAGGTTCTTGCGCCGCAGGCTTGAAAAACGGAAGGGGAATATATGGTTCCTAGACGGGGGCCAGTGGAAAAGGCCGCGAAGCGGTCATTTTCCACTGGTCTATCAATATCTACTCCTCGAGAGCTATCGATTGGTTTAAAGGTATCGTATGCAAATGCTTGTATGCAGAGATATCTCGCTTAAAAGCTTTCACTCAATTTTCTGCGTAACTTCTGACGCCTGTATCTTCGCGTACGTCAGTTTGGTTCTGTTCTATTTCGCGGGGGGGACAAAACTGTGCGGGGGGGAAAATATGCTTCGCGGAATCTTAGTTTTTCGCTATTTTCTCGGAATTTTTGCAACGCCATTCGATAGAGCATCCAAAAATATACTAAGAGTTTTTGTTTTAGCTAAAAATATTATAATATAAAAAAGTTATAGCAAAAACAAAAAAACGATTGAAACTGGTTCCGGAATGCTAGTTTTCGGCATTTTCGCCATTTTTTCGATATTTTGAACCTGTCATTCGATAGAGCATCAAAAAATATACTAAGAGTTTTAATTTCATCTAAAAATATTGTTTTATAAAATAGTTATAGCAAAAACAAGGTTTATTCGGTGTTTCCACATGGGATCGTGGAGTCGAAAGCTAGTTTTCGACATTTTCGATAATTTTCAAAAATTTCTTTAATGCCATTCGATAGAACGTCAAAAAATATACTAAGAGTTTTCATTACAACTCAAAATAGCATCATGTAAAAGAGTTATAACAAAACGGAGAAAATTTCCCCCCCCGCACAGTTTTTCCCCCCCCGCGAAATAGAACAGAACCGTCAGTTTTTGTGTGCTTTCAGGGTCGTCTTGTGATAGAGCATCCGAAGATCTACGAAACCATATATCAATCTTTCAAATTGGACGTTCCTGCGGGATTTTACAGCGGTTTAAAGATTTTGTGCCATTACTTTCTTTCCAACCTGATAACTAGCAAAGGTAACTGGGGGCAACAACTTACACCTTCAACTTGGGCTCCTGGACCAATATCTCGTAAAAGTCCATGGCGCGCAGACTGTTCGCCGCCCACGACACGTCGTTCTTGTTCGACGCGTAGATGTACGTGCGCTAAAATCAACGTTTGGTTATTAACAAAATTATTGTCGTCTGCAGGGTTGTTCATTTTGGGTCCGGCCCGCGTCCGTCCGGCCCGGGACGCGGACCCGTCCCGTCCGCGCAATTTGCATAAAAAAATGCGGACGGGCTGGGACGGGTCCCGGACGGGCCGGACGGACGCGGTGCGGGCTGGGGCGTCCGCGCGTCCGCAATGCAAATGACCGGAAGCACATGCAGAATCATTGGCAAGCAAATTAACATCTTAGATCGATTGTTGCCTATTCTTAATTTACATAGCTCTTTGCTTCGGAAAGAAGGCGACAACGGTCATTTCATCAATTATCATGCAAGTTATGGCTGCCCGCGCTTTACATGGCGGGCTCGGCTACTTCCTGCGTCCGCAGCCCGTCCGGCCCGTCCCGGACCCGTCCCAGCCCGTCCGCTCTCTGGGGGCAAATTATTCGGACGCGGACGGGTCCGGGCCCGCGTCCGTCCGAGCCCGTCCGTGAACAACCCTGGTCGTCTGGAAACTTTTTGAAACCACTTTCCCAGATCTTGCTTGCAAAAATGACTACCAAAATCGAGATGCTTTCGCGTCATCGGGGAAACCAACTGTTTTACTTAGGTTTTAAATTTTTTTAAATATGAAAGCGGAAGTGTTTCGAACTGGGTTTTTTTACTATTTTTAAACGTGACAACTTTACAAAATCTTGTTAAAGGGATAGGGGCGGCATACGTCAATCGGTTACGAAAGAAAATGTCTCTGCGCCTCTCCCCTGGGCGCGCTCTCTGCCCTGTTGGCTACTTGCCAATTTGTTGATGGGGGGGGGGGATCGACACATGCCGTCGGCAGCCCTTTAATAAATATCCAAAATATCGATTTTTCGACCGAAATGTTGACTTTTCCAAACATTTTTTGATGGTTTTTCATGAAATTCTAGCCGAAATATAGTTGTATTTTCTAAAAAAAAACACTATTAAAACACTTTCTATTAAACCACTAGACATTTCTAGAATTATACAAAAGTTCGTTCCCCCCTCCGATAATGCGCTAGAAACAAAAAAAGTTAAAACCTGATACCGAATTTAAAATTGAAAAACATGATTAGCGCCTCAAAACAACAAATAAACACCGACGAAATACAAAAAATTAAACAGCATTTAAAGCTGACCAGAACATTTCGATAAAAACGGCTACCCCGTGCTTGACGAGGGTGTTGGCGGTGGCGGAGTACTTGTTCGGGAACAGGTCGGGCGGCATCATGAACATGTGGCGCAGCTGAACAGAGCAAATTTAAGAAATACAAAAAAATGTTTTTAGCAAAATAATGCCAATACGTGTGCACCCACATAAGCTCTGGCCTCGCCGGTGATGCTGTTGAACTCGATGTGCACCTGGTAGAGGTAGATGTCCTCCTTGTCGCGCACCAGCGCCAACAGCGTCTCGCGAATCTTAAATGGCCATCAAAAAACTATACAAATAAAGAAAATACCTCAAATTTAATTAATCGATCTTAAAGCAACGCTAGAAACTATCTGGGGAGCTTAGAAAAAACGAAAAAGATTAGCAGAAATGGGCACCTGGAAAATATCGGTGATGGACAGCTTGGACGTGAAGCACTTTTTCTCGTGGATCGCTTTCTGAAAAGCCAGCAATTCACAGCATGCTCAATGTATCGAGTACTATAACCGATTTCCTATGGTATCCGCCAAAATGTCGAAATTTCACACTGTCGAAATTTCTTAATGTCGAAAATCCAGCCTGTCGACATTTACACACGCTAATTTTCCAGGAGAACCCCCCCGAATCCTTGCAAAAAATGCCGAAATTCTGAATGTCGACATTAGGAAATTGCGGGATTATGAATTTCGACATACTTTTCGATATTATGATAGCAAATTGAGCGCATAATCGAAAATAAAGTGATTATGTTGTTTGTAGCCATTTTTGGCCGTATTTGAAGCAGAAAAACATGCAAAATATATCGATCGCCTTTTTATCATTGTTCGAAAAAAACTAGCTTTTTCGATCTAAACAATATTTTACTTTTTGCCATTTCAAAATCGAATCGCTAAAAACATTTTACAAGAAAAATCCAATTTTATAGAAAAAACAACCAAAAAAATTACTCTTGAACAATCACGGAATTTCCGGCTCCACCGCGTCGTCGTCGGCGGCCACATGAGCTCGTCGGTAAAAATGGCGCGGTACATCTTCAGCTGCAGCTGCACGTATTTGATGTCGGCGAAGCTGAAAATAGGTCATCTTCTACTGTATAAAAGGAACCGACGGGCTGTGGTGGTCACTTTGAGGCGCGTGCTTGATTAGGTCCGTTTCGACCTTTGGTGGGAAGTACAGCTGAAAATTACAAGTAAAATCTTTTCAAATTTTTATTGAAAATCACAAAAAAATTTTTGCTCAAAACGTCGGCCAAACAATTTCTTCTAAGTTTTTGTTCTTCCACTTGAAATACAATCAAATTTGAAAAAACCCTGTTAAAATATACTTGCTAAAAACCATATAAAAGGTGTATTTCTCCGCTAAAATCCCCCCCGCTAACGGCCCAGCACCAGAAAACTCCTTGGAGGACAACCCTCAAACCTGCAGCTTGTCCTCGATGATGCGGATGGCGATGCGGAAGTGCTTGTTCTCGTAGCCGTGCGGGAATCGGACGCGCTACAAAAAGCCAGGGTAAGAGTTTACTCTACCCCCCCCCCACAGCCGAATGGTCTCAAAGTTGTCGGTATTTTCGCTTATTTTGTTGGGATTTCTGCAACGCCATTCGATAGAGGGTCGAAAAATATACGAAACATACGAAAAATATACGAAAAACGAATACGGGTTTTAATTTGAGCCTACAATAATGTAAAATAAAAAAGTTACAGCCAAAAACTTCCGGCTGGGGGGGGAAGTAAACCGTAGCCAAAGCCAGCTTCTTAGGGCCCAGAAAAAGGAAGCTTACCACATTCACGGGGAACACCTTGATGCCGCGACAATCTTTGCCCATGTGCATGTACTGGAAGCGCGTCTCGCCGAAGCCGAGCTTTTGCAGCATCGTTGAGGCCTAAATTCATAGATCTCGACCCTCTCGCTCTCTATTGCTCTCTCTCTCTCTCTCTCTCTCTCTCTCTCTCCCCTCTTCTCTCTCTCCTATAATTTTGAAACTTCTTATACCTCCTCAACCGAACTCAACGGCGCCTCATAGTATTGACAGCCAGCCGTCAGCCCGATCACTAAAAATATAAGAATTTTTAAACGCTGAGTTTATTTCTTTAAAATCTGAAAACAGGAGTTTTGACGAATTTTAACTATTTAATTCTCAACTAAAAAAAAACAGCGTTAAACCTGTAATATTCGCCGATGCCGCCAAATTCTCGTGCACGCCGAGGATACACTTTTGGTAGTCGTCTTTCTACAAAAAAGGTGCACGGATGAAAACAAGATCTGATTACTTACCTCGGCCAATTGGGACATCAATTTCGCTCCGGCATAGCCGAGAAGCAGCCAGGGGAGAAGCTGGCCGAGCAGCATGGCGGCCGGGAAATGAGTGCCCAAGGAAAATGCTCGACAACCCTCACATCTTTCGAATCTAAATTCTAAACTCTAAATGCAAATGTTAACGATTTTCAACGAATCCCAGTTTCCGGACCATAGTGTAACACAAGCTTCACGAAGCTTCCCAGTCGTCTTTCGTCAAAAACTTAGGCTTTCAATTGCGTATTTATCGCTCAATTAGCACTCATCAGTGGTCAATCCAGTCGAAAAGCAATCACAAACACACACACAACCAAGGGAATCAAATCAATGTCAACGGCCGGCCAGCCAATCAGTAGTCGTCGAATTCTTCGGGCGCTTCGCGGCGCGTCTGCTCGGCGATGCGCGCCTGGTGGCGCTGGCGGATCTCCTCGAGGCGACGGCGACGCTGCGTGTCATCGTCAGCTGGAAATAAAAGTTAGAAAATTTTAAAATCCCTTATGCACAAATAAGAAAAAATGGTTCCGGACTGTTAGCGGGGGTGCGGGCGACCAAATTTCTCCAGTAATTCCGTACGGCCCTGTTACCAGTCTATAGTATTTTAAAAAGCCTTTAGATCAAAAAGTTTCTAAAAATTCTGAATTTTTGGTCAAAAATGTATGAAAATGGTTGCAAACGGTTAAAATTTTCGAACTTTGAAACTTTAAATGTTTTTATAACGTTATAACAATCAAAACTACCAAAAGCAATGAAAAGACATTCGATATCACCAACAGGTGGCAAACAAAAATGGTTTTGCCGCCTGCTAAACCCCCTGCCCCCAGATAACTCCAGTCCAGAACCGAAAAACCTTACGGAAGACTGGAACATTTTTTAGAACAAAAAATTACCGGGCGCAATATACGACTGGGCGCCGTGCCCTCCATCTTGCCAATTCGGAAACTCGGAGAAAGCCTCAGCCATCCGGTCTGCCTGCGGGAACTCTTCCTCCTCCTCGGGCATGTCCACCATGTAACTAATGCTAAACATACATCCAGTCGCTTTCGAAAAATTTACCGCCTCCGCGAGGGGGTCATCGGCTTCTTCGGCGCCGCGTTGTCAAAGTTGCTGCGCGGGTAGGCGCTGAACTGGGGCGCTGGGGCGATCGAGGCGAGCTCTTCCGGGTAGGGCTTCTCTGCAAACAGTCGGTTCAGAAAAAAAAATTGGATTTCAAAGCTGGGATTTCTGAGCGGAAGCCCCAATTTGCCACGCTGTTGTTTTTTTCGCTTCTAAACCGTTTATCCGCTCCACACTATCAGAAACCTGCCATTCTTACCGGTGGAGAGGACGTGGTTCTTCAAGAAGTACTGCTTCGTGTCGACGCTGTACAGCTCATCGAGGCGAGGCGATAGCCCGTGTTGAACTTCTTGGGTGTAGACGAACTAAAGTCAGCGGAAAATTGGCAACAACAAAAAAATCTCACCTTCTGCGTGACTGTTGCTCCTTTCTTGCCCCGATGGCGCTCATGGTGGGCAGCCAGCGGAGCTTCATGGCGTGGCCTAGACGACGGGCGAAGGTCCCGATCCCTCGGTCGATCACGGCTCGAATCCCGTCGATCGCGACTCGATCGGCCCGGCTTTGGCTCGGGGCCCTTCATGTCCACAATGATCTCGCCAAACGTACTAAACAAAGCTGGAACGAAAAAGCCAAAAAGTTACTTGTTGAAAAGCAGCGGGTCCTCCTCGTATTTGCGCCTCATCTCCTCGACAAACTCGGACCACGGCTTCACCTAGGAAATTTGAGATCTGCAAGTTAAAACAAAATTTTTCAACCAAACCAACCACCAGGGGGAACTAATTTTTCTAAGAAATCGCATACGACCCTATGAAGAAACACAGACCATACATTTTATACAGCGTTTAGATAAAGCTCAGGAAAAACTTCTAACATTATTCGATAATTTTTCACTTTTTGGTCAAAAATATATGAAAAATGATAAAAAAAACGTGAAAAATCGAATTTTCAAGAATTGCAAGATACTAGTGTAGCTCTTAGCAATCCAAAACCACTAAAAACCAATGATTAACAGGAATAGGCGGAAAGCAAAAATCTGTTCCCCTGCTAACAATCCAATACCCAAAATATTACCCTTTTCCCAGATCGTCGGCAGCGCGGTGAAGCTTCATCGTCTGACGAGAATTCTTCCGAGGTGCCCGCCCGGGCCTTTCGTTGCAGTTCTAAATTCTTTGCCCCTTCAGATCCGAAAAGCAAAAGCGTACCATGGATCGCTGACCAAAGTTGCGCCATTTGATTGGCCCGCTCGGCGTCCCGTTCTTTCAGAAGCTTCACCTAACAAATCAAATTTCGTCAAAAATTGCCTCAAACCTCCTTTCTCAATTCCTCCACCTCAGCTTCGAGCCCAGCAGCCGATTTCGCCGAGGTTTTTGCAGTCGGCTTGAAGGGGTTTGGTGCTGCCTGGATCAAAATCTCGGTCGCAACTAGTGAATTTTACCGTAAAAGCGGCCGGGGACTTGTTTTCCTTGTCGCTGACGGGCAGCGCGCCGACGGATTTGCTCATTTTCGGGACGACGGGTTGCTTGGTACGTGCGAAGCCTCGTTGTAAGACGGCGAGTTGCTTGCCCTAAAATGGCTTTAAAGACCGGAACAAATGATCTCACCTCGACGGTCTGCGATACGTTTGTCGTAGCGCCAAAAGCGATCGTCTTCGGGTGAGCGCTGGGCAGATCCTTTGGCGAACCCTTGTTCTTTATTCGGTAGAGGCGCTTCTCGAATTCGACGGGCGCTTGCTTGGCTTTTAGCGGGGCTGATTGTCTCGGCTCACTAAATAGAAAATATAGAATTTCTTTGCAAATAGAGCAAAGATTCATAAGCAGCTACAAAATTCAAACTGACCAGTGTAGCGTCTCGGTGTCTGACTCCTCCTCGATGGGGCTTTCGATGCAAATCGGAGACGCGAATCGGACCTCACTCTCTGGCAAAATAATTCCCAAAAGGGCTGAAAAGCTTACTCTCTTTCACTTCAGCTACAACGGCAGGTTGAGCTGTTGCTTGAGGCCGAGAAGCAGTGAGCGGCGAGTAGGAGGCTTCTAGAAAAAAGACCATTTCATAGCAACCAGCTCAAATAGTATTCCCCTTTTACCAAATTCCAACATTTGGATTGCGACACAACATAATCTAAACAGACCTTGCCCGAGATAGCGGTGTGCCGGTCGTGAGACGTCAAGCGACAGCGGCGAGTAGCAGGTGCGGGGTGGGTAATCGCCCATGCAAAGCCCTCTGTAATGGCAATTCAGTACTATTCAAGCTGGGAGGGAATATGGACGAAAACAAAGAAGCCTATGCCGAATAATTGTTTTTTTCGTGACAATCGAGTTTCCGTACGAGAAAGCGCATCTTGTGCAGAAGTTGCGCTGATTCCGAAACTGGTTTCAAAATCTGCCAAACTATCAGATGCATGAAGTCATGAGGAAAAAAGACAAGAAAAATTGCCGGAACTGGGCCAGTTCGAACTTCTCTTGCACTTCAAACTTTCGTAACTTTTTGAATCTGCTCCTTTTGAAACCAGCTTCTGAAGCAGCGAAAAATGGGTTTGGTCCCATACGTAAACTCAGTTGTCACTAAAAACGTCTCCTTGTTAGCTTCGTTTGCGAAGCTGCGCATTTTATGATGGAGGGCGTCTAACCAGCTAAATTAAACGCCAAGCCAAGCAGCAAAGTCTTGGCAAACTACTCCCCTCCAACTTGAAGATCACCAACAAATCCATCATTTGATCGAGCACAACAACGATGTCAGAAATTAGCGACTGCCAGGGTGCGTCAACCCATACTCGTGTGTTCGGACTTCTCGCAAGAAATGTAGTACCATTCATTTTTTAATGAAATCAACCGATTAGCAAGTCGGGAAAGGGGGTTGTTACAGGGGCATCGAGAAATGGCATGGCGAATAGGACGCGAGGCCCAATCATCATAAGCAAACATTTATCCGTGGAGATCGGGGGTGGGGAAAGAGAGAGCAAGAAGGGTATAGGCAACGAAAATAGCTAGAGGGGGTGCCGGGGATCATTGGATGTTAGTTGAGGGATGGGTTGGGCAAGGTGGTAGGATGAGTTGGGACATCAGAAAGAGCAAGCAAGTAGAAGAACAGTAGTGGAGTGAAATCGGGAAATAGAAGAAGAAGAGGTTAGATGGGAAGGTGAAATCAGTCATTCAAACGGTGCCTAAAACTGGGATTTGTACACATCAGATGTGGCGGCGTGGTGCATAGCAGTGGCTGGTGGGGGTACTCGTATAGACACAAATATTTGGCGTTACGACGGCGAATTTGGGTACCTAGAAGAAGGTAGTGGACAGAGAACAGGCACACCCGCTATGAACGAGTAATCAACGAAAAAGGGATATGTACAAAGAAATAGACACACAATTGAAGCATCGGGGGAGTGTGAGTATGGGGATCAAGGTGGGATAAAGCGGGCTAGATGGGGGCTACCTGGCAAATAGGACCGGGCGGACGAGCGCTTTTCAAAGGTTTTCGGCGAGTCCCACTTGCCAGATCGCCCTAGGGGCCGGAAAGCAACAAAACGGCATACACTAAAATAATCCATCTAGCAATAGGGGAGACGGGTGGTGGTGATCCGTGCGTTGGTGGGCGCCGTCAGGGTGTTGTCGTGTTGTGGCGCGATCGTGTCCGGCTTTTGCTGTCCTCGTCGCACGAGTCCGGGAAGACCATCGGCGGAGGGCGCAGCGGGGTGTGCGTTGAACGGCGGTGGGGCTCGGCCTAAAATAAAAAATAAACATGACGCAAAGAAAGAGAAGCATACTACCACAAATACAAGCTAAAAGTCATCAAAACACCCACAAAAACCTTTCCGGGTAATTTTTGTGATTATAATTTTTGAAATATTTTACTGCGTAAACCGAAACTAGTACGCACCGTAAAGTCCAAGGTACAATGTAAAACCATTTACCGGTGTTGTCGGCATCGGAGCGGGCACCTCATCAGCAGTGACGGCGATCACGCGGCGAGTCGGGCGCTGCGGCGGGCGCTTGGCCTTCTGACGACCGCGGCGGTGTTCCTTGTTCTTGCGCAGCTCGTCGGCGTGCTCCGGGGCATGCATCCGCGTGTAGCCTTGTGGCACGCACAGCGTCTAAAAGAAAAATAAAACTCCCATGCAAATTCTAGCAAAGCGAAAAGCCATTTTTTTCCAAAACTCACCAGCATGTCATTCTTCTCCTTGTTGGCAAACTCCCAGAGCGCCTTGTAGCCGCAGGCGAGGACGTACATCTCCGGATAGTCGACGTGCGGGTAGAGATGAGAGTTCCGCATCCGGTCGAGCTTGCGAAGAGCATTGGCCCTGAAAAGAAAAAATAAAGCAAAGTCTCGGTACGAATTTAGGGGCCTCTCGCATTTTCTTGCAGTTAGAACAATTGGCAACAAATTCAAAATCCACATTCATCGAAAAAACTAGTATTTTTTGTATGTTTCAATCAAAAAGGAAAAACTCACATCCTGGGTCCGCGTACTTCGGAAAATTCGCAGTAGAAGATCGGGATGCGCCGCCGCGAGTCTTGCAACTTGTTCGTGCACTCCGGGAAGAACAGGTCAGTCAATTCCGAGTCCGAGCACAGATTGATGGCGCCCTAAAAACCTGGGTTCTTTAGGATTCCCGGGGGAAAGTATTCCCGGGGAAAACAAATTTTTTTCGGCGAAAGCCTAGATTTTTGTATAAATTGCGGATGCGTTTCTAAATTGTTTTTAACTATTCCTGTGCATAAAAACTACACACATTTTAACCAAAAAAAATGTAAGAAATTAAAAATTAGGTCGAAAAGTAGACCCAAAATGACCAAATTTTCGACTTTTTCAAACATTTTTCTAAATTTTTCTGAAAGTTATTCCGCTCTAAATATAGTTAAAACTTACTAAAAACAATTCGAAAACACTTTATATTTGATTACTAGGCCAACCGGGACCACCAGGAAAAATTGGTTTCCCCGGGAATCCTAAAGAACCAAAACCTGTTTCTGAACCAAGATAAACGACACTCACATCAATATGGCCAGCGCGGAACTCGTACTCGTAGCGACAGTCCACCAGGTTGTATCGTTCTCTACAAAAGACAGCAAAAGAAAATGGCGCCACCACGTAAAAACCCACTTAAAGGCGACGGCGCCCAGCCGGGAAAACTCGTGCCAAAGTGTCAAATTGCTGATCAGTCGAAAAGCTTGGGATGTCACTTTTTCCAGGCATGGCAATGAATAGTTCTCAAAAAGGCGCAGTTTAGGGGTGATGGGGAGAAGGTAGTACCACTTCTAGGTGCTGCGGCGACCATTCGTCATCTCCGTGTGTTGTTCGAAAGACGCCCTTCTCGAAGGGTCCTGTTGACTGAGCACGAGCGTGGAGGGATCGCACGGAAGCAGACGAGATGTCTAAAATTGCAAAATAAATTAAGGTGCTGGTTCGCTAACGGGGGGGGGGGCGCTAACTTCTTCAATTCCGTACAAACAGGAAGTTGACAATAATAAGACAAACCAAAATTACGGTTTGAAGTAATTTGTATTTCAAAAGCGCGCAAATGCTTTTAAAATGACTCTATTAGATAAGAGTGCGCCTACGGTTAGATAGAACCCCCTAACGAACCAGTACCAAACTAAGAGACCAAAATGTAAAAGCTTCACCATGTTCTCCGTCCTCGTAGAGCACGCCGAGCGGCTGCATGTGGAGCTTCTTGGCCTGCGGCGAATGGGAAGACAACAACGAAGTGCGCTTCCGGGTGTTCATGACTGAAAAGGGTGGGTGAAATCGAACCGAGGAATTGTACCAGTTTCCAAGTCCGAGTGGATACGACGGATCGTCAAGCTGCTCGCTGTGCAGGGAGCCTCGTCGTCGCCGTGGTAGATGCGCACCGAGCAGCCGGGTGGCATGTTTTCCTTGTTGTCCTGAAAAAAATAATAATAAAAAAGCGGGTCAGTTAGGCCAGAACCAAACTATGCTAGCCCAAAAATAAAGCCAAGATTTCGAAGTTCCGATCCACCACAACGAGAAATTCAAGCCAGGTGGTCGACGCACATCGTCAAGGAGTTGAATGTAATAGCTACCGAATAGATTGTGTCGTGGCTGTTGTTGTCATCTTGTTCAAACGGCGCTTCGGTGACTGGCTTGACGCTATCCTGGACGGCTCCGGAGAAGTCAAGCGGGGGCGGTCGTGTCCGAATTGTGTCGCTTTTGGCCAGATCCGTGGCTAGCTGGAGGCCCAGTAACGAGTCGCAGCTGTTGCTCGATTCGGAGAATGAGCCATGGTGCATCTAAAACTTGGATATCAGAACAGTCGCCAAAAAAAACGTTAAAAAAAAGACAAAGCCTCCTTACCAAGCGCATCGGTCGGAGGTCCTGTGAGCTGGAGCCGTTGGAGGATCGTGTGCTCTCGTCGTCGAGGGAGAGCGAGATGCCCGAGTCGTTGAAGCGGAGCTGCGGTTGGTTTTGCCGTCGAGCCTTAGATGCCGCTGTATTTTTACGGTTCATCCTGGAAAAAGAATGGTTATACGGGAATTTTAAAGCCATTAAAGCCTGAATGAGGAGTTTCAGCGACTAACGAAATCCCGCCGATTCCCTTTGCCTAGAATAAGCCAAGACTACGAAAAGCTTACGCCAAGTCTAAGCATAAACTTAGGTCTCAAAAAGGATCCCCCAATATCAATAGCTCTAATAAGCCCCACGTAGAAGTAAACCAGATATTCTACAAAACCCTATAATCGCAGACGGCCGATTGCATTCGTAATTGCCCGGTCAAACCACTGATAAGGGTTACCCAAGTGCGGTATCACTTTCATGCCTTTTCGGCCCGAGACTCAAAACTCATGGTGAAAGTAGGGGCAGTTCAGAGATTCTAGTTCGACAATCTTCCAAATAGACTATGGTCAGACCAGAGATTCTGTTAAAGGCAGAGGGCCACGAGGAAGCACGGACACAATGGCAGCAATGCCATGAGTTGTGAATTATTGTTTGAAACTTCCATAGAAGATAAAAATCGTCGAAAAATCAGCTAACCTAAATTTCCGATCCGCCCAATTCTCGAGCCCGAGCGCAGGGTGGTGGAAAATTCGAAAGGGGCCCCGGGGAGGACCTTGGGGGCCCAAGGTCAATTTGGGCGGCAGGGTCCTGCGGCATCAGCAACGCACATAGGAGCCCCGCGTACACGAAAGCAACAAAAATGCGTAAAAAAAAACTTGTTAAAAAGGGACCGTGTCATTTCCAAAACCCAATATCATCAAATGCTAGCAGTAGCTCTATAAACGAAATTTCAGCAGATCCAGTAAGAGAAACGGGAAAGACGGTCTAGCTGGGAAGGATACCCTTGATTTTTACACGTTCTAGAATAGAAACCCTATTTCCGTTAAGAAAATAAACCTTTAGAGGGCGTCAGTACCAGAAAAAGCTAGATTTAGCGGGTAAACTGCGACGGGGGCGTCCTTTCTAGGTTGGCTAGAGGAGAGGCAGAATTGTTGGAATTTCGTTTTATGGAAATTGCTGAAATTAGCCGGTCCCGTTGCGCCCTAGCACGTTTCCGGATTACGGTAGCGTTTAATGGCGTTATCCGGTCATTTTTTGAGATTTTTAGATATTAGCTAAGCTTAGAAGGGGGGCTTATTGGAGCTGTAATAAAGCTCAATTCGGGTGTTCTTCAAAGGTTTTGAGATTTCAAGGTTTCAACTTTAATAATTAAAGGGCTACGGTTTACTTTACCCCCCCCCCCAGCCGGAAGTTTTTGGCTATAACTTTTTTATTTTACATTATTGTAGGCTCAAATTAAAACTCTTAGTATATTTTTCGACGCTCTATCGAATGGCGTTGCGAAAATCCCGATAAAATAAGCGGAAATACCGACAACTTTGAGACCCTTCGGCTGTGGGGGGGGGGGTAAAGTAAACTCTTACCAATTAAAGAAAAGAGCAAGTTCTGTAGGTCTTGGTAGCTCTTAGTTAGGTTCTTTGCGGGTTGCGGCCATTTTTAAAGCCGCGCTTAGTCTCCATATCAAAGACGCTTATTAGCGCTGGAATTAAACGGATTTGTTAGCTATTTAAGGCCGGAAGAAACTCGGAAAAGCCAATTGCACGCTCAAGGGGCGAAGAAAGTGTTAGCAAGGTATGTAAAACTCCGAAAAATAAAAAAATTCAAACCCACGTCAGTTTTTCAGTCGTTGCTTGCAGCGGTCAATGAGGGAGTTGAGGACGGGTGGGAGACAGCCCATTTTCCTGGTGTTGATCCTGGTTCGGCTTCGCTAGTGGGGTGCAGCGGCGGCCGGAAGAACGGTTTGGTGGTGTGCAGGGTGGGCGGGGGAAGGAGAAGCCGGGCTGGGGGGCGAGCTGAAAACCAAAGCCTATTAGAACCGTCCAACGCTATTTTCCTTCGAAAATATGTTAATTTTTGCGCGAAAATGAATATACCTTACGCTAATTAGAACTTGGTACGCATTAAATAAAAAAAAGAAAGATTTCGAGTTTAGAAAATTCTAAAACAAGAAAAACTTGCCTCTCAATGGGGGATTATCGAAAATCTGATGCATTTTAGCGCGGCAAAACGGCTGATCGAAGATTCATTAGAAAAATTCAAATACGCGCATGTAAAATTATCATTAAAATTTTAAATTTAATGATATTTTTGGTTTTATATGATTTCTTTTTCTTTTTTAGATCTTTTTTTGGTGCGAGCCCGGTGAACTTTCCCTGTCGTAACCGAATTGCACAACATTGGGCTGGCTGGCGAAAAGGGGGCGCACATCCCGATTATAAAGCCCGTTTCCGTCTAAAATGTTCCGGATTTGGGCTAATTTTCTTACCTTTTAGGCCTTTCACATGCTTGAAAGCTTTTGGTGTGAAATTCTAAGTTATTCCAGGCGAAGAACCGCTATTTCGAAATCTCTATGTCTTTTACTTTGGGATTCTGATATTTTTTCATTGATTTGGGGTTCGTAAGAAGTTTCCGTGTAGAAAAAGAGTTTTTAGACAATCGGTAAAGACCAACAATCATTGATATTTTCGATTTCTCTCCTTTTCCCTGCAATCTTACTAGCCGCGACGTAAACAATCATTTTTTTTCAGAAACTTGAAGCATGGCTGACGGCGGTACAGCCGTAGATCCCGGAGGTAGCGGAGTAGCCGTTTCCGGTAAGCTTTATTTAGTAAAACTTATGAATTTATCTGTTCCAGGAACACAACAAAACCGAGGTGGCCGTCGTAGAGGCCCTCGAAGGGGCGGTGCAAATAACCAGACGCCAGGTTTGTTTGTTTTTGCAATTTTCACAATAAAACGTTGTTATATTCCCATTTCTATTTCATTTTTATGTTTAGTGGAAACCACTGGTGCTGAGCAGCAGCCCATCGCCCGAGGCACGGGTCGTCGTGGCCGTGGAGGTCAACGCCAGAATCAGCCGAATCAGGCAAATGATGGGCCCGCCCAGTCTCAAGGTCAGTTTTGAAAAGATTTTTGCCTGGAAATGACAAGTTTTAGGTGATACCCAGATGGAGAATCAAAATCCGGCCCGACGATCGGCTCGACGAGGCCGCGGAGGCCGGCAAGCTGGACAAAATCCGCAAGCCCAAGGACAGCAGCCCGTTTCCGAGTCGGAATCGGCAAACCGCGATGAGCGTGGACGCCGTGGAAATCAATGTAAGGGAATGATTCGTCTTTTTATGTTTTCAAAATACATTAGGATCGTATAAAAAAGATTTTTGAGTCAACGTTCATCATTACCTTTTCAGCTCGCCCGGCCAATCGAGGGAACCGCGGCGCCGGACCGGGCCGCGTGTACATACCTCGTCCTCCACCACTCTTTGATGAGTTTGAGCGCGGAGAACACGGTTCCCAGCAGGACTTCACGATTGGCCCCCTCAACCCGAATTCCTCGAGGGGTCGTCGGGGCTCGTTTTTCCAGGGCAACTGGCACCAGGGACAGATGGTGCAGCAGAGAAACGGTGAGTTTTGATGCTAAGGCCTTTCTAGCAATTAGAAAATCAGAAAACCAGAAGATAGATTTAAAAACATCCAAATTTTAGGCCCTAACCCATTCCACTTCGACCCCAGCGCCCCGGAATTTGTCCCCGGCCAACCGATGCGAGGACCCAAAACGCCAAAGCACAACAAGCCCAGGAAGTATCCGCCGAGGGAGCGCGCTGCATCCCCGAAGTCCCGGATGCGCCGAATCAAGATCAACGAGGTCAGATTTTTCCTTGCATTCCAGAATTTTGAGTTTAGAAAAACTCATCTACCAGCTGCAACAGGAATCGCTGGACTGCACGATTTGCCTGAACAAAGTGCGAAAGCGTGATGTACGTTTTTAGTTTTATGTCCATGAATTTTTCTTCAGCGAATCTGGTCGTGCTCCACATGTTACAACATTTTCCACCTGCCCTGCATGCGCACCTGGGGCAACTCGACGGAGACGACGATGTGGAAGTGCCCGCTCTGCCAGCTCGACTGCCCCCCGAATCCACCCTACAAGTGCTTTTGCGGCAAGGAGAAGAATCCGGAATTTTCGAGGTATATTTTTGTTTTGCTTAGAAGTGCTCGGGCGCTTTTCCTAAAAATTTTCTTGATCAACAAAGTATGTTTAACTACAAATTTTGGTTCTTTCGCATTATGGGGGGGCAAAATTGTTTAGGATCCAATTTTTCAAACAGAATTGCCGGAAGTGTATACGAAAGAATATAGATTTTCCAGCAAAAAAGGCCGGATTGCGACTTTTTGAAAATTTATTGAAAGCATTAATTAGCTTTTCTGGTTCTAGTTTTATTTTACTACAACTGTTAAAATCCTTGGTATTACCTTACTAGCCATTTCTAGCCTTCCACAAAAAAAAAGTTTTTTTTAGTTTTTCGATAAAGTCAAAATTTTAGAAAAACCATGGAGTGTTTGAAAGTTCACAAGTTCGCTTTAGAAACATTTTCTGGCTTTCAGAGGCGAAATCCCACACAGCTGCGGCAAGCCCTGCCAGAAAGTGAAGGGCGTAAATTGTCCCCATCTCTGCACCGAGCCCTGCCACCCTGGCCCGTGTCCGGAGTGTCCGGTTTGTTTAGAAAGCCGCGAAATTTTTATGTTTTGTTTAGGCCACCGTCCTGAAGCCGTGCCTCTGCGGCAAGAAGCGGATTCCGGTGCGCTGCGGGGCCAAGTCGGCGCTGCGCATGGTGAGCGCAATTTTCTGCCTTGTCTGACATTTGAAATTTTTGTATTTTGTTTTCGAAATATAAATAGCGAAAGTGTTTCGAAACGGGTTTTTGCTGTTCATAAGCGTGAAAACTGAATTTCTGAAACAAATTCTGATAGAAAAATAGCAAAAATACAGAAATTTCCAATTCGACCGAAAATGTTCGACTTATGACCAAAATTTAGATTTTTTTAATATCTTTTTGAAACTTTTTGATAGTTTTTCTATTTAAATATAGTTTATTTTACTAAAACACTATTCAAAGGTAAAAATTCTCGTTTTCAGTGCGCGCTCATCTGCGAGAAGCCGCTCCCTTGCGGCATGCACAAATGCGCGAGGCCCTGCCACGACGGCGCTTGTAACGATTGCGAGCAAGAGGAGGAAAAAGGTACTGGCTTCACTATGCATTTTCCAAAACTGCCTTTTTAGTCTGTTGCTGCGGCAAGGAGACGAAAATGGTGCGCTGCGGGACGACCTTTTCGTGTGAGCAAGTTTGCGGCGGGATGCATAGCTGCGGTCTTCACACCTGCGTTCAGATGTGAGTTTGGTTTTTCGACTCTCGCCCCGCTTTATTATCCCAGTTTTTTTAATACTGACTTACGGTATACACAATTTACAAAATTTAAAGAATTTAGGCTGGTTGCAAAATATCGAAATTCCGAAATCGCATATTTTCGACATCGGGATTACAACCGTATAAAGAAAATGCCGCATAATAGAAATTTACAAAGTTGACGTTTACCCCGATTTTCAGCTGTCATCCCCCCGGTCATTGGAGCTGAAGCCGGAAAAACGTGCGGCCCCTGCCCGCTGAGCAACGAGAAGCTGAAAACGTGCCCCTGTTCGCAGACGCCGCTTGAGGTAAATTCGATTTTTTTCTAAACAATAATTTTATTTTAGAAACTCGGCCGAATGAAGTGCGACGAGCCGGTGCCGACGTGCGGAAAGACATGCAACAAGCAGCTGTTTTGTGGCAGTGGAGGTAGTTGTTTTTAAAATTTCTTTTATAGCGATTCACATTGCGACTTCTCCACCTGAATTATTTTTATTTTGTTATTTTTTCGATGTGATTTGGTTTTGCAGTTTTTTTATACTTATCAGTTTCAGTGATTTTATAGATAAAAGTTAAATTAATTTTGTAATATATGTTTTATCAATTTTTCCAGAACATCGCTGCCAATCCGCCTGCCATCAAGGCCCTTGCCCGCCTTGCCCGTTGAGCACCAGCGTGCCCTGTCGATGCGGCCGCAGTCGGCAAGAAGTCGATTGCGTCGAGTTCAACAGCAATTTCGGTAGTGTTTCGGCTTCTTTTGGTGGAAGGACCAATTTTCCAGAGCTCTACTCGACGCTGGAATGCGATAACATTTGTCCGAAGAAGCTGATGTGCGGAAAGCACGTTTGCCAGAAGAAGTGCTGCCCGTTGGACATGCACATTTGCGAGAAGGTATCAGAAACTTGAACAACTGCAACTGATTCCTGTTTTTTTTCTAGGTGTGCCAAAAGAAGCTGACCTGCGGCAAGCACACGTGCTCAATGCTCTGCCATCGTGGCCCCTGCTTGCCGTGTACTGTAGTTTGTAGGTTTTTAGGATAGCTTTTTTCCACTTTCTTTTTGAAAATTTCCGGTTTTTTTAGGGCTCATTTTTGAAATTTTTAAAGCTCTGATTTCTTTAAATTGTAGTGGTAAATGTTTCAATGCGGTTTTACCGGTTCTTAAATTTCGGCCTGTTAAATTTTTAATAGAAAAACGAGACCTTTTCGCTTTATCTCGATTTTATCTTTTACTTAAAAAATTTCTTGGATTGATTGCATTTTCAGCTTTCGATGATCTGCACTGCCGCTGCGGGGTGACCGTCTTGCCGGCGCCGATTCGGTGTGGTCGGGGCGTTCTACCGCCCTGTGATGCCATCTGCACACGAAATCACCCATGCGGCCACTACCCCAACCATACTTGCCACGAGGAGGCCGAGTGCCCGCCCTGCATCGAGCTCGTCTCCAAGGAGTGCGCCGGCGGTCATAGGGTAAGCGTCAAAATTCGGTTGATTCTCATTATGGCGAATGCTGGTGATACGAAGTTGAGTCATGCTCATGCTCTGCTCCATTTCGTTTCTCTATCGGGAGCGAACTCGAAATGCCTAGTGAATTATTAGGAATGTTTTAATAGTGCTTTTAGCAAAAAAATAACGATATTGATCTCGAAAAACTATCTAAAAACTTCAAAATTTTTGGAAGGTCGATATTTTAGGCAAAAATCGGCCATTTTTTGGTCAAAAAGCTAGATTTTTAAGATGTTGTCAGTGATTCGAGCGATCGGTATTCTGAATATAAACCGAAAAATTAACGATATTTTATTATTTTCATTTACTTTTCATTTTTTTAGCTGCTGCGCAACATCCGCTGCCACCTCGAGGACAACACGTGCGGGCTGATCTGCGACAAGCCGTTGCCGTGCGGCGCACACAGCTGCATCCGGAAGTGCCATGGCGGAGACTGTGTCCCGCCCGGTAGATGCCAACGCTCTTGCAACAAGCCTCGATCGACCTGCGAGCATGATTGCGGCCTGCCCTGCCACGGGAAAACCGACTGCCCGCCCAGCGTCTGCAACAAGCCCGTCGAGGTCATCTGCCCGTGTGGTCGTCAGAAGGAGAAGCTGCCCTGTGATGTGGTGTCTAAGAATCTGGAGCGTCGCGCCGCACTTCGCCAACTTGACGCTGAAGAGGGTGGCAGTCAGGCGCTCCCGCCGCGGCTTTACCGATCGGCTAGTATGGATCGGTTGACGAGGTAATTTTGGAGGAGATTTTGCTTTTTTTGGACAAGTTTTTACTTATTCAAATCGTATTTTGACAATATCGTACTCGTGGCCGTAATCGTACAGAATCGCCATTTTCTTTTAACGTACCTTTTTATAGTCTCGACTGCGACGGGGAATGCGAGCGGTTGAGCCGGATTCGCGGAATGGCCGAGGGCTTGGAGATTGAGGTCGACGCGGAAGGAAATCAAGTTTCGGTGAGTATTTTTGGCAGAATTCGATTCATTTGACGCATCTATTTTTTTAATTGACCTATCTCTCGCGCAATTAGATTTTTTTTACCGCCACAACAAAATTTTATAATCACGGTTTCGTAAAGTCATTTTTGCGAAATGGCTAGTCAAATCAGAATCTCGGAAAATTGTCCCTAGTTCACAGTACGAAAACACCAAAGGACGTCAAAAATCTTGACAGATTTCGGAGAAAATTCCATTTTTTTAGTTTGAAAAATTTTACAAAATCGTCATTCTCGAAAAATGATTGTCCGACTTTTTTTTATTATTCCCGATTTCCAGATCCCGTGCATCGTGTACCCCGAATTCCTGCGCGACGCGATGCGCATCGAGGGGCCATTCGTGGTGGCCGTCGAGGAGACGTTCAAGAAGTTGATCGAGAGCGTGGATAGGCTCGGCTACGAGCAGTCGCACAACTTCCCGCCGATGCACGCCCATCGCCGCCGCATCATCCACGAGTACGCGCGGCTGTACAAGATTTGTGAGTGATTTGATGTCAATTTAGAGTTTTGTCTTATAGGTACGGAAAGTGTCGATCGTGAGCCGAAGCGCAGCGTCATCGCCACGGCCAGGTAGATTTTTGGAAAATTGCCGGTGCTTTTGCATTTACGGGGGGAGGGGAGGATCGAATTTGATCATATGCGCAATGAGGCAGGAATTTTTTTTGCATTAATATTCCTGGTAAATTCTAGCCGTTTTTGAAAGGAAAGAAAAAATTACGGCGATTTTGAAAATAGATCTTCAATTGCGAAATTTTAGACGAAAACGATAATTTAGATAGAAAAATTTCTATTTGTGTTCGATAAATAAATATAAATTAATTTATAGTATAAATCTAGAAATCCCATAAAAAAATTCGCGCGGATTTTGGTTAAATTTTTCGCATTTTTAGATTGTTATCCGTATATCGATTTTTTTTAGAAAAGACGCCGCTGCGCCTCGCGTGACCCTGAGCGCCTTTGCGCAGCGCTTCCCCGCCGAGCTGAAAAAGACGGGCCCTCTCACCATTTGCAAGTAAGGTTTCGTCGCGTATTATTCTTTTGATTTTCATTCCTAATAATAATCATAACAATTTAATTTTTTATTAATTTTCAGGCGCAAGCTCGAGAAATTCTTCGAAATCGCCGCCGCGCAGCCGCCGGTCCCGCTCGAGCCCGGTCTACAGGCGGTCGGAAGCACTAAAAAGGTATAGCATGAGAAATTTGATTTTTTTCAATTTTGAAACTGATGATATTTAATCATAAACTTAAAGCTTAAATAAATATTTTACAAGCGTTGTCACTTCAGGCATTCCGTCGCCAGGCCCCTCAGCCGGTCTTCGCTGCCCCGCAGCCCACCCTGATCAGCAACCGCTTCGCGGCGATGGCGCTGTTCGACGACGATTATGGTGCAGAGTGGGTTTTTTGAGGATAGTCGTCAATAATGTGTCTTTAATTTTAGTGATTTTTTCTTTGTTGATTATTAGAGATTGTCGTTCAACGGATATTTTAACCTGTTTGATACTTTTAATAATTTTTAATTTTGAGAATCTTGGCTGTGCGCAACCAGGTTTTTCCGGTTTGAACAAAATAGCATAAAAACAACAAAATGTGAACCGTTTTATAGTAATTTACACCGTTTTTAGATGTAGAAAATCTCCTAAAAAAACTTATCTCAATTTTCAAAGATTTCGACGTTTTACCCAGAAATTTACGAAAAATGACCAAAAATAAAATCAAAACTAAATTAGATCCCCCCACGCATTTCTGGTGCCTAGTGATAATTTGAGGCAGCATAGATTGAGCGAATTCCCACAATTTAAAATTTTTAGTTTTGGAAATTTTTGAAAGATATTTTTTTCAGGACTCGCCAAGCCCAGCAGCCCCCGAAAATTGACTCCCCATCGACATCTACCGAATCGGAAGCCCCAGCTGAACAGCCAGCAGCCGAGCCCGAGGAGGATGATGATCCATCGACTTGGGAGGACCTCTAAAAACTCGTTGATTTTGTGGTGCCGTGTGCTCTTTTCGCTTTGCTCACTCGCCCTGATTTGACTTTTACTTGTTGTTGTACGATTTACGGGCATGTTTCTATTAAAGGGGGCAATATCCGGCGGGTTTTTAGCCGAGTTCCGGCCAGAATACCGACAGCCAAAATCCAGGCAGCAAAATACCGACAAGAAGCCAGCTATTAGATTCGATTCGAGAGTTTCTTGAAAATCTACTTTTTTTGGATTCTAAGTGTCCGGATTCTCGGTTTTAGGATTTTGAATGTCGGCATTTTGGCGCGTTCCGACCCTAAACCCCCGGCACGATCCCTTTAATTTGTTTGTTCGTTTGAGCGTTGTGTTGCCCCCTCACTTTCTTTGTTACATATAACTTTACAGCGGTTGTGATAGCCCAGAATAAAGCTTCAACGGGTCTCAAGTGATTTTTTTTTATTATTTGAAAAGCTTTTTCTAGCACTAGATTTCGCGCAAGGCTTTTGATCATGCCGCTGCAAAATCAAATGGCACTTTTTTATTTTAAAGAGCTTTTTCTAGATTTAAATCGCGTGCAAAGCCACCGCGACCTTTGGGCTCGAAATGCTGCTGCGTGGATTTTGGTCCGGGCCCCGGGGCGGCTTAACAAATTTACCGGTTCCGCCCGGCGCTTCGCGGAAGCTTTCAAATCAAACCCCAATCCGGTGGCGAGCCTGCGAATTTTGGAATTTCGTTCCTACGAGAGTTTTATAAAAACGTCGACGGTGCGAAATTATTACTGCGGTTCCGGGGCCAATCGGCAATTATCCTGAAACATTTAGCCACAAAATTTGATAAATCACCGATAGGTTTGAAAAGTGCAGATCCCAGGGTACAGTATCTCCCATTCGTTTAATACATTTGAGAATCGTGGATTAGTGGCGCTCACCCTGGCTCATTAAAAATAGTTCCTGAAACATTCTGTGGAAAATTTCATAAATTTGTTCTTTTTTGAAGAATATAGTACCTCAAGTCAATAAATTTCTGACATTCTTGACAGAGAGATTAAACAAGAGAAATGTGATAAAATGATTTAGTGAGATCAATATAAATAAATACATACGTTTTTTTGGGTCTTTTACAGTCATGGGCTGAAAATTCAGCTGTCTTTTTTTGCGGCCTTTATTGTATTGTATTGCGGGTATATGTCGGCTACGCGGGGGGGGGGGACAATTTTACGCGGGGGGGACGGGACAGGCAGGCCTTTTTGGATGTTTTCGTTATTTTCTCGGAATTTTTTGCAACGGCATTCGATAGAACATCGAAAAATATACTAAGAGTTTTTGTTTCAGCTCAAATTAGTGTAATATCAAAAAGGTTATGGCAAATACAAAAATAAGCTTTGAAAATCGGGTCAAGCGGCTGTTTTTCGAAATTTGCGCTATTTTTTCGACATTTTAAAGATGCCATTCGATAGAGCATCCGAAAATATACTAAGAGTTTTAATTTTAGCTGAAAATAATGTAATATAAAATAGTTATAACATAAACAAGTATTAAACGTTGTTTCCATGGTGGACATAGAAAGAAATCAAGTTTTCGACATTTTCGACATTTTTACAAAATTTCTTTAGTGCCATTCGACAAAGCGTCTAAAAATATACTAAGAGTTTGTTTGTAGCAAAAAGAAACGTAAAAAAATAGTTAGCTCGGCCCCAACAGTCCGTCCCCCCGCGTAAAATTCCCCCCCGCGTAGCCGACATATACCTGTATTGCGTATTGGAGCGGATTTTTTATTAATGGAATTTTGCGCGAGATTTAGAAAAAGAAAAAAAGAACTAGAAAAAGTCAGGAAATTTATACGAGCTGTAATCATATTGGCGAAACTGCCACAGGCCTCAAAAACTGAAACTTTTTCCTGAAACATCAATTTGCGAGATTTTGGCATTTTTTCGAGATTTCGCTAGTTATTTTTGATTTTTGTGGTTCGATTACTACAAGTGTAGAGCCATCTTAAGTTTCATTTAATCCCAAATTTTTCCCTGAATTCCGGTAGAATTAGCGGGTTTCGCATTTTGGAGGCAGCGTGTTAGTGAAGTTGTTAACAATACACAAGCACTGCGGGCCTTAAAAAGTTTAAAAATTTGCTCATATGTGAAAGAATTATTTTCATTCAAACTGTTACGAGCTTTAATGCTCGTATTATATAATCCACAGTCGTGTGTGTTAGAGTCGTAATACATTTGAAACACTTAATCGCCTCAACTCAACTTTGATTTACGTAGAATAACAATGTTTCACGTTTCCGAAGCAACGTATTCAGAAAATTGTTTGCGATCGATTCGCGCGGAAGAACCGACCATTCCTTAAAAAATAACCAGTACTTTTCCGGTAGCTGACATCACTTCGGTGGATTCTGGTCAGAAGCCCCGGCTTACCCGAACATTTCTTTGAAGCTGCGCGACTTTTTATGGGTTTTTAGGGGTGCTGAGGAGAAGCTGAACGGGGACTCCCTGGGGGACCATTTTGCCTTATCCACCCACCCGCCAAGCTAGCAACTACCAGCATACGTTTACCCTGCGGCGCTTGGAGACTATTTTTGGAGACAAACAAACTGATATACGATGCGGGGAGACAAACTCAGGATGTGTTGTTACTTTCTCTCTCTATTTCACTCTCTCTCACTCTCTTTATCCCTCTGTCTTTCCCTCTATCGCCCTCTCGCATCATTTTTTTCTTTACGAGTTCCTATAATTAACAAGGGACTAGTTTTTAGATAATAAATTGATGACGAAACATATCGTTTTACCGCTTATGTAAGCCAACCGTAATTCTATAAGCATAATTGTGAAATATCCATTCAAATTTTCTCAAACGTTTTTTCATACGATATGTGAAGCAAAACATATCAAAAAAATCCGAAAATTGGATGTTCAGCAGCTTTAGGGCCTCGAACAATTGTTCGGCATTAATAGTGGCACGAAAACCAATCGGCCTATTTAATTTTTTGTGGTTTCACAGCTATTGAATTTTACATCAATCATTGATGGTCAATGGGTCAGTCCACCCAGGTGGACGCTTTTAAAACAGAATCATCCAACTGATCTAACTACCGCTCAGCCGAGATTTCGATTTTATAAGCTTTTACGAAACATCCTATCTCTCCACATAAAAATCTTGTAGTTGTTTTTTAAATGTCGGACACTTCTAAGGATTTCTAGAGTATTTTTAATGGTTTTTACAAGCAAAAAATGAAAGAATAGAACCTGGTAAAAAATTCGATTTTTAAAATTTTTCCCGTTTCACAGCTAGTTGAACTTTAAATCATCAAGACAGTAGGGATATAAGGGCTAAAGTTTTTGACCCTCCCGAACTCTCGGGAACCATCGGACGATTACCGACCCAGATTCTGATGATGCCCATTGTCTGTGCCCAGCCTAGCGTTATCGCGTATCGTGGCGTACGGTCGGAAGTCCGGGGGGGGGAGGCGCTAGTCTCGGGTTTTTGGGGCGATGGGGGTGTAAAAAATTCGTGGGGGTTTCCTTGGGTTGCCAAATTATGTGTGCGCCGGAAGTGGAGGGGTCGAGCACCCGGGGTCACACAATACACGCATTAAGGGATCGGAAGGGGAAAGAGGATAGATACACACCCAAATCGGAATACACAGATTTTTTGGTGGGTGCTTGGGCTTTTCGCTGTCTCTCTTTCTCTCTCTCTCTCTCGCTTTCTCGCGCTCTCTCTCGCTATCTCTCTCACTTTCTCTCGCTCTCTCGCCCTCTCGCTCGCTCTCTCTCTCTCGCTCTCTCTCTCGCTCTCTCTTTCTCTCTCTCGCTATCTATCTCACTTTCTCTCGCTCTCTGGCTTTCTCTCTCTCTCTCGCTGTCTCTCTCTCTTTCTCTCTCTCTCTCGCTTTCTCGCGCTCTCTCTCGCTATCTCTCTCACTTTCTCTCGCTCTCTCTCTCGCTCTCTCTCTCGCTCTCTTTCTCTCTCTCGCTTTCTCTCTCTCTCTCGCTCTCTCTTTCTCTCTCTCTCTCGCTTTCTCGCGCTCTCTCTCACTTTCTCTCGCCTTCTCGCTTTCTCTCTCTCTCTCTCTCTCTCTCTCTCTCTCTCTCTTTCCCAAGAGGAAGCACCACTCCAAAATTGGCCTCACCATCAGTTGTGTCGGCTTTGCCACAAGGCAGCAAGAATTTCGAAACTATTTTTTCTAAAAAATCGCGGATCCCAAAGAATCTTTGCTAGCCTGCCCTCTCCCCCTCTGTTGCCAGGGTCTTTCGACAGGCTGAAAATCCAAAAGGTTTCCTGCTAGCCTGCCTAGGGATGGATTTTCGATGTACACTGCTGGCCGGCCTGAAATAAAATCCCGCAGCGTAAATTTAGATTGCTTAAATTGAGGAGAGAAGAACGCGAGGCATTCTGATGAAAAAAATTAGCGGAAGCAGCTACATCCAAGAAACATCTTTTTTTACAGGTTTTTCTCATTTTTTAACGCTGCGCTCTACAAACGGTATAAAGACGCGCAAAGTGCAACGTCATGGTGACCAGCAGGGCCGTACGAGCGGGGGGGGGGCCCAGATCGGCCGAAAGACTTTTTGACTTTCACTTAACAAAACTTCAAAAAGTTGTCTACTTCAAAGAAGCTAAGGCTTACTAAAAACAATATAAAAAACCTCATATCCAATTTTTTTGCCGCCCTGGAGCACCAGGCAAAAAGTTGCTTCGGCGTCAGTTCCGCGCCCCATTAGCCAAGAAATTTTTTCCAAATATCCAAACCTACACGGAACACATTCTTGTCAACCTTTTCTAGTGTCACTCTCAATCCCAATAAATCTTTAACGAAATGCAAAATAGGGAAAATACCGTACTTATCGCGAAAAATGTCAGTGTAGGTTACCGTGTAGGTTTAGATATCCGAACAATGTGTGATTTTTACTAGCGAAAATTTTTTCCAACTATCCTACACGGAACACATTTTTCTAATTCATTCTCGAACACATTCTCGATTCCAATAAGTTTTTTGCGAAATAAAAAATATTCACATTACCGTATTCTCGAGAAAAACTGTGGTTCCTGGAGGTTTGGATATCCGGAATAAAACTACCGAAAACATTTTCACGGATATCCAAACCTACACGAAACACTTTTTTTGTCGCCTTCTAGGGCCACTCCCAATGCCCAATAAATTTTTTACGAAATGCTCAAATATGGAAATTACCTTACGATTAGTTCTCGAGAAAAATCTGTTCCGTGTAGGTTTAGACCAGGGAAACTTTTGCTATTTACTATTCAAAACATTTTTTTTCCGGGGAGACAAACCTACACGGAACACATTTGTCTATCTCTTTCCAGTGTCATCTCAATCCCATTATTTTTTTCACAAAATAAAAAATAAGGTAATTACCGTAGTTATCGAGAAAACAGGCGGATTTGCAATTACTATTCAAAACGTTTTTTCCGGAAATCCAAACCTACACGGAACATACTTTTTCCACCCTCTCTAGTGTCACTCTCGATCCCAATAAATTTTTCACGACCCGCCCCCCAGACCCGGCGTGGATAATTACACGGATTTGCATAGGAATTGGGCCCCTAGGCAAGACAGCACGACTTTTGAAGAGAGGGACAGAGTGGCCCGGGCCCTGATTTGGACAAATGGAGACAGACGAGGCTTTTGGTATTTGTTGAGCTGAGGGGGGCATGACTCCATTCTTCGCGTGACCCCGCCCACTTGTGGGCCCAGCTTCGGCTTTTCCGCTGAATCGCGCCACTTTTCTTGCACACCCACCAACCAGACACCGCGACTACGCCATGCTCCTCCGAACGATCATCGTCGCCGTATTGGCATTCGTCTGCTCGGCCATCGCCCAGAAAAGTACGGTATTAAGGGGGATATTGGGGGTTACGGTAGTACGGTAGTTACGGTAATCCATTGCTTTTAAATTATGGTAGTATTATCGCTAAAATGTTTTTTATGGATTTTTACGGATTTTTCGACTTCTTTTGGATTACGCTAATCGCAGGCTAGAAAATAGCGGTTTTTGGTTTCGGTAATTTTAAGCGACAGCATTTTTCGATTGAACTTTCGGATTATATAAATTTAGCAAAAGGAAAACCGCAGTTTGGGATTACGGTAATTTTAATCAGCAGCGTTTGGCTACGGTAATTCCGAAAAGATTGGACATTCAGAAACTACGGATTTTTTTGATGTTCCTTCTAAAGAAATGGAAAGCAATAAAGCGCTTTCGGTGAAATTTAATTTTGATCCGCCCGATTTGGATTACGGGAGTACGGTATTTACGGTAACGGATGATTTTTTGCACTGCGGTCATTTGAAGGGGCTTGTAAAATAAAAAAGCCAGTGGATTCTGGGTTACGGTAATTCTAAATGGATTACGAACCCAAAAAATGATCGGCTTTCCATGAAAAAATAACATGTTTCGTTCATCAAATAGCTGCGCCGAAAAAAAGAGCCACTAATTCTCGGTCTTGCCGTGTGATTTCAAATGATCGTTTTTGGCAGTGGATTAACCAAACTAGCTATTAGGAATTTTTCCAAAATAGTCTGTGGATAGGAATCTTAATTGAAATTGAAATATATTCTCGGAACTGCAAAATCTGTTTTGCGCGATCCGAATAAAAACATGTTTCAGAAAAGCGTCGGTATAATTTTGGAGCTACTAGCTTAATGTCTGGCTATTTCTACGCGGAAGCTTGGCTTAAAATAAGTGCCAATTTCGTGTGGAATAATGGGACGGCTATGCGAGACGGGCTGGATTAAGGGAAATGACCTAAGTTTGATGCTGCTACATACTTTTTAAACCAAAACTTCATGAAAAATCTTGAAATACATAGTTTTTAACTGATTGTTCGGCTGGTTGTAGTAGAAATAAAAAATGTAATTTAGGATTAACGCTGGTCTTCAATTAACTAATTTTATTTATGAAGCTTATCTTTAGTTCTGATAAATATTTTTTTGAAAAAAGTGTTTTGAAAGAAATTACCACGTTAAAACCGGAATATAAAAGCATTATTTTGCAGTGAACGAGGCAAAAGGAGCCCCGGAAGTGGCCCTGCCTGCCTACGGACCCGTCAGCGCCGAATCCGGTCAGTTTTTATATATAAAAATCGTAGGAAAATTTTTGTTAGAAAAAATTAATTTTGTCCCACAGTCCGTATATTAATCAAATCCATTTCGAATTCAACCGCTGCTGGAGCGAAACATTTTTTTTTGCGAACTTTGGGCAGTCGAGGTTCTCTGCAGCCAGAAATTCAGGCGATGTATTAGAATAGCTAGGAAACTTCAAATAACGGTGCATGGCTCCAAAACGGTATTTCAGGGGCGTATCAAAACGTACAGTAGCGTACTGTTGAAAACGGGGTATTTTTGAGGGATATTTACATGCGTGTAAAGGCGAGTCGGTCAGTACGCAGCGCCAGGCAACCCTTTACTACTTCCCGAAAACCCAGCTTTTTTTTGATCTTACTCGAAACATTTTTTTACAAAAATTTAGTGCCAGATTATGGCTACCAAATTATTTGTAGAAAACTGCCGGATACGGCCTGCAACCAGTCACTGTGCCACCGAAAAGTTTTGGGACCTTGTGGAATTTTGAAACAATTGATCAGAATAACTTTTGGTAACAAGCTCCCCTTATAACGAGCGCCAATTGCTACCCTGTTAATAATCGGCCTTTGGTATTAAAACCCGCTATATAACACGATTCCGAGGTATTAAAATTATAAATCTCTTCCCAATGGAATATGAAATATGTAAGGTCTTTACGTACGCATGCGTAGGTCCTCTGAACAAAATAGCACTGATAAATTAAAATTTTTAACGTGCGCACCGGGGAAAAGCTGTAGGAATTCACCGTTATTGAAAATTTTTTACTATTTTTTTTAATTTTACAATTTTAAAAGGCCGTCCGCCAGCCACCCGACCTGTCCCCATTATGGCTTGGCACAGTTTTTTTCGACCCTATTTTTATGATGCCATCTGAAAGAGCGTGGCCGAATTAGTAGGGTGGCATAGTTTTGAAAGTTTAAAAAGTTGATTTTTGGGGATTAAATGGCCGTTAAAGTTGCCGACATCGAAAACCTATCTCGAAAATTACTAGACCAAATTTTCTGAAAATTTGTGACAATACCTAATTTGGGATGGAGATAATTTCTCTAATACATTTCAAAACTTGAAAATGGCCGGAACATAGAAATCTCGCGTACTAAAAACAGTTTTTTAAGATTTTCTATTTAATGGGAAATCGGCGGCATCCTGGAAATAGCATAGAAAGATGCGCCAGGTTTTTCTACGTCGAATGATGTGTCTTTTAGGATGCCGCCGTTTTCCCATCATCTAGAAAAGGGGTGATCTCTGGAATCAATAAAAGTGGTCTTGGAAGATCGGGAGCTGCGAATGAGAAATATAAAGGATTGCGGACAGCATCTCAAGTTCAATGCCACCCATTATCAAAAAAGAGCAAAATTAAATTCCTCATCTACGCGAAGTTGAGTACGGAGGGGAATCGAACCCGCGATGGTCCGCCTGGGGCGCTCTGGGGAAAGAGGCTAGAGGGCGCCGCCACCTCCCAGGCGAACGACCCGAGTTCAATTCCAGCCCCCTTTTAGAAACCGAATTTCTTTTTGCTCTTTTTTGCAATTGACTTGGCTGCGCTTCTAGAAGCAAGCGGGTGACTCCCCGTTTGAAAATCTGGAAATTTTTCTTTGTATCATTAAGAAAATGCCGTTTTTACAGATGATGGGAAAACGGCGGCAGCCTAAAAGACACATCATTCGACGTAGAAAAAATTGGCGCATTTTTCTATGCTATTTCCAGGATGCCGCCGATTTCCCATTAAGTAGAAAACCTCAAAAACCTGTTTTTAGTACGCGAGATTCCTATGTTCCAGCCATTTTCAGCTTTCGAAATGTATTAGAGAAATGATCTCCATCCCAAATTAAGTATTGTCACAAATTTTCAGCATTTTTGGTCCAGTAATTTTTGAGATAGGTTTTGATGTCGGCAGCTTTAACGGCCCTTTAAACCCCAAAAATCAACTTTTTAAACTTTCAAAACTATGCCACCCTACTAATTCGATCATGCTCTATCCAATGGCAACAAAAAAAAACAGGGTCGAAAAAAACTGTGCCAAGCCTATTTCGGTCCTCTCGCAAACGGCCTTTTAAGTACTTTTCAGCAGCTTTTAAGGAACGGCTATCACCCCAATACTAATGACATCCTTCATGTTATCAATTTAGCAGTCTCACATTAGTAAATGCAACAAGATAATCTCAAACGCTTCTTGCAACTTGGTGCACAACTTGTTGAAACATATCTTTTCGGAAAGGCAAATTTTGGGTATATAAAATGCTATTAAAAACCGTATGTATTTAAATTTTTCAGAAGTGTTGGCGAGGGTGGAGAGCCAGTTGGTCGGCGCCCTCCAGATGCTTGACGCCTTGCAAGAGGGTTTGTTATTTTAAATTAAATTGAATACGCTCGTAATATAAAACATTCATCTCTACAACAAATCTTAATTGAGAGTTTTACATAAATATATGGCACCTTAAAAACGGATGTTTTCTCTTAAAAAATAATTAGAATTTTTACGTGTCCAAATAAATTTTTATTAGTTTCATATAGATTTAAAATCAAACAAAAACCGCGTTTTCCAGAACCGAAAATCGCCGAGAAGCGCCGCAACAAGTTCGAGTTCATCCGATTCGGCCGCAAGTAAACCATCCAGCCAGCTAACGGTTGGTTTTAATCGATTTTTTTCCATAAAACCGCTAGGGCTGCGATGAATGTCCAAAATATAAAATTTTAAATAAGCTTAAAAAGTTTACATTTTAAAATAAACCCGAAAAACCCAAAAACCGGCAACTTAAGCCTAGTTAACTTTATATCTTTGTACTTAGGTCTACCTAAAAATAAACGAAATTTTGCTGTGATAACAGGTAATTTTCATGAAACATTCTAGCGTAAAGGCCTCACAAATCGAAAATGGTTTGTAATAAAAATACTACGAAAACTACGCGATTATCAGGCTACGGAAAGTTGACGCTTACTGTGGATATTAATAGACAAGTAGGTTAAAGTAGAAATTATCTTCCACCACTTTTGAAGGTTTTTCAAAAAGGTGTTTCGCAGAACCAATGGCCTTGGCATATACTGGGGAAAATAATAATTGCGTGTAGTACAGTAATGAAAGTATATTAATCTCGTTTAGAAAATATTATCAATGCAAATGTATTTTAGTAGTCTGGCGAAAACAGCATAGAGATTGCGTCTTAAGAGAATGCTATAACTTCCCAGTTTTTCGAAACATTTTTTTCTTAAAAATTCGCGGATTGGTGATTTTGCTAATTGTTTTCGGAATGACAGGAAAGCTTTTCGGGCATCCGAATAATGTTTTACGATAATTCAATCACATCCCTCTTCTTCGGAACATTTTTTGGTAAAAAAACGGAAAAATAAACAATGGTAATCGACTTTCATTAATGTATTTCCTGGACACAATTATTATTTTCCCCCAGTATAGGGAATTTACAATTACGCAGGTACAGTATGCCGCTTCTCTAAAATGAAGAAAAATTACGCTAGCATCCTAATTCAAATATTTCCGATTTTTCCGCTACAAAATTAATCTAGTAGTATGTGTAGGATCACAAAAATTTGATTGTCGGTCATCAAAGAAACCTGCTAGCCGGTCCGAAGAGAACTACGTAAAACCAGACAGGATGAAACTAACCGTGATTGCCAGCTTAAAATTTTGCTTTGCCTTTGGCTCGATAAGAAACATAAATTTTCTTGAGAATTTCTAAAAACGCAGATTTAAACTAAATTTTAGATTTTTCATTTCCTAGATTTTATTGACGATCGATTAATGTAACTCGTTTTGTTTCAGATATCGAGATCCGAAATGCCGAGTGCCCGTGTCTTCTTCATCCCCCCGTGTGCATATTTATTCCGATAAAACGAATGTCCCCTCCCCCATCCGAGTGTGCGTGTGCCAAGCCGATCAATAAAGATGTTATGATATCGGAACAAGTACAGAAAAGCCATAAGAATAATTATACTCCGGCATCGTAAAATAGAATCTAAGCGACAGTTTTTACTTAAAAAAAGATATAGGGAAGAATTGTTTATTTCGGAATATCAGGTAAGCCATGAAGGGATTTGAATGTTTTTTTTCAAGCCTAGAAATCTGCAGATTTTAAAACATATATTTAGCAGCTTGGCATCTTCACAAAGACTCGTCATATATTTAGGCCCTCACAAATAAAGTCCGCAGTCAACAAACGTTATACAGGTTTCGAGTTAAACAAAAAATCGAAATAAAATTAAAATGCTAATTAATAAAAAGATAAGATAATTAAAATAAAAAATTCTAATTTAATACTGATTAAAGCCTTCATAATCGTGACCGTATGAGGGTATTGAGAAAACGAAGTGTTTTATTACTGGGATATGGATCCAACTCCATTAACGCCACAAAAAATTCTGTGACTCTAAACTTTTGGAACACATTTTTTAACTTTAACTTTTTAGCCGGTTTTGCATGATCGTTACTTCGAATCTCCGATACGGTGACATTAAAACAATTCCAAGAACTGTGCACTCATAATAATTGCAAAAGATATTTTTCTAACCGAAAATTCCTCTGTAATGTTGCGGTTTTTCTAACCGAAAATTCCTCTGTAACCGAAACCGCTTAGTTCGTTTGAACCGGCCGCGGGGGTACGGTGGTAAAGCGCCTTTGTTAAAAAGAAATCGGCATTATGCGATATAAATTAGGAGTGGCATTGAAGAGTCGATTAAATACATTCGTAAACTGTCAACTCCGAAAAATTGTCAAACATAGTTTTTGAAACAAAGATTACCACTTTTATTTTGTGTGAAGCTATTATTTTTCAATTTGTTCGTTGGGTTAGGACCAAAAACGTGGCCCAATAACCAAATCCGGTAGAGCACAGACTAAAACAATTCTAAAACCCGTGGACGCTGAAAAATGTAAAAACTTATTTTTTTCGAAATTCTAAAAAGAAATTGGCATTAAGATCAATAAAGTAGGAAGTCGGGTCCCGCAAGCGATTGAAATTATTCGTAAACCGCATACTCTAAAAAATTTCAAAACATAGTTTTTGAATAAAAGCTACCCTTTTATTTTTCCAAGCCACTCTTTTTTCAGTTTGTTTGTCGGTTAGAATAAAAGATGTGGCTAAGAAAATCCATCCCGCAAAGCACAGACTAAAATAATTCTGAAACGCCTGGACGCTGAAAGATGTTAAAAATTTATTTTTTTTCTAGCTAAAAATGGCCTGCGGTATTTGGGCGCCTTCAACGTGCGTCTACTTTTGAAGGTATATACTTGCGTAAAGGGTGCACTCCCTTATCAAAAGCTAGGTTATTCGTTGAAATCAATTAGAAGGTGGTAAAGGAAGTACTAGTGAACGTCCATTCAGTTCCCATTAACTACATTGGAAAACCCCACTCTCTACAAAGGTTCGAAACATATTTTGTCAGGAGCCCTTGACGTTTTTTTGAACCAATCGGCTATCAATGTTTCTCTCAATTCGCTCTTTGCTCAGAAAAAACAAGTGAAACACCCGGAAATTAAATCGATTTGATGTGTCTATCGATTTTGCTTACCGACGCCGGACTATTTTTTAAGAAGCAACGCTAAGATAAAAAGGAAAACAACCCAAACACAGCTTAATTACAAGAATCGCAAAATCCATGTCATGACAACATTTCAAAACATATTTTTTACTAGGTGGATTGCCTGGGTAATTTTGTGGGGCGAACCGTGCGCATGACCGCTGTCCCCCCGATTCGAGGATGGGGCTGATGATTTCGACATTGTTGACATTCATGGCTTTCCGCAGCTCTCTCTCTCTCTCTCTCTCTCTCCCCCCCCCCACTCTTTAACCCTCCTTTTCAATGGGGCAGCACTGTTTTTCTACCCTCGAGACTACCTCTGGAAAATGGCTAGCCAGCAAAACTTCCAGTTTAACATTTGCTTAACCTCGCCGTTTCGCTTCCGCCATTTTCGTAGAGACGATTTTTGTACGTTTTCTTGTTAAAGACGCCGGGATTATGGTGCCGATTTTCATTTTGTCGAAATTTCAATCCTCGATTATCCTTCTCAGAAAGTTCGTAAAGTAACATTTTGACAAACGAAAAAATGTATTTCGACAAACTGATAGCAAACGTCACGTTACAGTACTTATCAAAACAACCTGAAGAATCACAAAGAACAATTAATTGTAAAAAACGCAAGTTGCTCAGGCAACTATCTGAAACCTATTTTTGCTAACGGCCAAACCGAGCGCCTTTTTCCTTGAATTTTTTTGAAGATTACTAGCATTTAGTTAACGCGATACTGGAGTGTTATCAGGGGGGTAGGGTGAGTGAGGAACCTAATTTCTCAAAGAAATACCGCGCGGCCCTTAACGAACTCTTCAACCATTTTGGTAGTGGTTTACAGAGGATTTGGAAGGAAAAAGCTTATGCAAAAATCACCAAATTTTTTGAAAACTTGGACTCTTGCTCAAAGTGTATGAAAAATGTACGAAAGCATACAATTTTCGAATTTGGAAATTTATGGAAATATTTTGATGACTTTCTAGCAAACATCTACTACTAAAAACATTATAGAATAAATAAATTTAGGATTATCAATAGGTATGGGCGGACAAACGAATTTGTTTTCCCCTCTTAAAAATTCTTTCGCCGGCTGACGGTCGAGTACTTTTAGTGCATCTTCACCTTCTTTTTCATAAAATATATTTCCGGTTTCCTTTTCCAGGAACCAATTTCCTGAAGCCCATTTTTGCTAAGCGTCATACTGTTGTTTTTGATGGAAAAAGCCTTTTCTTGAAACTTTTTGCTTCCATTTTTTCTGTGTTACTCTACTTACTCTACTCTACTCTAATAAAATGATAAAGACCTTGATGACCGCTCAATTAGCAGAAATCCATTTTTGCTAACGCGGAATTCTTTACTTTTTTTGGATCACTGAGTTTCCCCCAGTTTCGATAATTATCTATCCGACTTTCATCGTCGATTTTTCGTTGTATCTCATCAAAAATAATTCAAACGGCCGGGTTTTCACCTAAAAAATCGAATTTTAGACACTTTGGCAGCTTTTGGAGGCGTTTTGGGCCATTTTATTGCGGCATTTTTCTAGTTTTAAACAATTTACGTAACGACTATTTTTTCAGTATTCGATACAAAGGTTCCTGGCAATTTCAAAGTACATGGTTTTTACAAAAATCATAAATTTGAGAAATTATCGGCGTCGGAAAACCCACCGTCGCAATTACACTGCACTAAGCTTCTATAAAGCTCCTCAACAACCCGCTTTTTTGAAACCCAATTTCTCGAATTTTGAAGAGAAAATTCCCTGTATTTTCAGACACCTAAAAAACTACAAAAATGATCATCAAAATTCGTGGCTGCTCCGGAAAACGGAAAAAGATGGAAGTCAGCGAAACGGATACGGTAGGTGAATCGTTCGAAGTTAAAAAAATATGTTTCAAACATGCTTAAAAAATAAAATAAAGTCCAATTGTTGTTTTTCAGGTCTGGTACATCCTCCACCAAACGGCCAAACTACGCGCCCATACCTCGGAGCTGTTTTATAAAGGTGCGTCTCATAGAAATGTTGTATTTTCCGCAAGAAATTACAGAATATTAGTGTTTTCATTTTTATGGGTTACGGTAATTTACCGTTCTTGTTGATAAAAAGTCCAAAAAATTAGTAGTTTGGATTACAAAAGGCAAACGCTCAATTGTTGTTTCTGAATATCGCACCACATCCGAGTTCGTCGAAACATTTTTGTTTTACAACCAACGTATTTCTTTGTTTCGATTTTTCTACTCAGTATTAAATCTTAAAAATATGGTATATATAGTATACAAACTGCATATAAATTTTGTGAGCCAATTTTTGCTTTCCTAAACCTAAAAACTTGGCAATTTTTACTAGAAAGGTGAAAAATCATTTTTTTCAAACTTTCGGGTGCTAAATGTATTTTCGAAGTTGTCAACTAAAAGAATTATACTGAAAAACTATAAAAATATTTACTGTTACACTACACTATTCACTAGGCATTTCTAGACTTCTACAAAACCATACATTTTATGAGTTTCACACAATTATGGTCTACAAAAAAAAGAATAATTCGATAATTGGTCCCGTCGAGTTCTTTTGATCATAAATACGAAACTTCAAATTTCAGCCTATATATTTTCGTTTAGCCGTAATTCCTAAATTGCTTCTGCTAGCCTGCCCGCTTATACTAATAACAAAAAAAAGCCGAAATCAGTTTCCAATTCCAGGCAAAAAGCTGGAGAAATTCTGTACGCTTGCCTACTACAAAGTATCCGACGGGGATCAGCTGCAGATTGTCGACAGGAATTCCGAAAATTGCACCATTACCTGACCGTTTTTTCTCTTCCGTTTTTATGTATTTTCAGCCTACACGTCAAAAAAATGCAATAAATCGGGTCCAGGGATTGTCCATATTTTGCTCCCATTCGCTGTCGGTTTTCTTTTGTTTTGAAACATTATATTTAAGTTTTTTCCCGAATTTCCGCACCCATCCATATTACATGCCGTTTGTTTAAACGGGAATTGTGCGCTTTTCAATCCATAAAACATAAGCTTAGCTATGGCTCGAAAAAAATTTGTTTGATCAAAGTCTAAATCGCACCCTAATTCGTTGTCGTTAATGGTTACGCTGAAACTTCGCATAAACTTCTATCATAAAAAGGTTTTATGATACAAACTAGAAGGATTCATGAAGAAGTACGGAATAGTAACCAAAACAATCTCTCTCTCTCACTCTCTCTCGCTCGCTCTGGCTCTCTCTCTCCCTCTCTCCCTCGATTTGCATACCATGCTTGCAATTTTGCATACCGGCATTTTTCCAAATTTCTGGAAGTTATTCTCGATACTCGCATTTTACTCGTCCTCCCCCACCCACCCGATGGGCCTTTTTGATAAGGTATTCCTTTGCGTGGCCTTAATTAAAAAAAACGAGTTTAATTTTCTTTATTTAGTTTTTAAATTAAAAACATTTTATGTAATACCTTGGTTTAGAAAAAGAAAAAGAAGCCGGTCAGCGATGTGAAGGGTGGGTTATGTATTAATGTCACCTCTGTAATACTTGAAAAGAAATTCAGGATTGCATGCAGGTTGATGAAACATTGTTTTCTCGTTTTAGAAAAGGGCAGCGGCAAGGACTCAGGGAAGCCCCTCAAATGGCAGGTTTTATAAAGTTTCCATGAGCATCGAATGGTTGAAAAACCGAACGTTATAAAAATCATTAAATGCCATTTTTTGCAGTATCCGCAGCCTCGGGCAACTCTGGGAATTCTGGGACCAAGCCCGCCACTTCCGGATCGGGAGGGTAGGTTTCAAAATTTGCTCTCTCTCTCTCTCCCTCTCTCTCTCTTTCTCTCTTTTTCTCCCTCTCTCTCCTAATCGAATTTTAGCGTGAAACGCCCGGTGAGCGCGCTGCAGCGCGTCCGCGACGTCGGCCACACGCCGCCGGCGAGGAGGGGCGGAGTGACTCAGAAAGATGTGGGTTTTTTAAAGGAATGGTGACAGCTTGGGAGCACCGGAGAGAGAGCGAGAGAGAACGAGAGAGAGAGAGAGATGACCATCCGCGTCTTTCCAGCCCCAAAGTCGATCCGGGCATCGACGACCAGTTCAGCGAATCCGATCGACAGGGCGCGTAAGTGCTATTGATAGTAATTATCTTCATTCAAAATTAATGCAGTGTAGTTCCGTATCCAGGATAAGGCTTTTCGTAGAAAATCTGATTGTAGACATATCTTTCGTTTTCGATTTTGTCTTTTACGGAACATACTTTTTTCAGAAGACAACTCAACCAGCCGGCCGGCGTTCGCCTCGTTTCACAGTGCGTTTTTCAAAAAATTCATGTTTATTCCTTTTCATCCCAAAATTAAAAATTTTCCACTCAAGTTTGTTGATTTTTTTAAACTGTCTAAACCCCAAAATATTGGTATTTTAATTCCGCTGCTCGAAATCTCGTTTCCAGACTCCCGGCGCACCCGCCTGGCCCCGCCCCCAATCGCGACGAGAAGCTCAAGAAAAAGTGGTTTTTTTTATTAAAAATTTAAGGCTAAAACTAAAAGAATAATAAAAAATTTGATACCTAAATCCAATAAATCAAATCAAAAGTTTTGAAAGCGAAATCTTTGGTTAGTCTGTGAAATTGTTCAGATTCCAAAAAGTTTCGAGAAAACGGGTTTCAAAAAAATTGGCAGGTTGGGATCTTTCTGAAGAACATAATATACCCATGACTCACATTTTCCATCTTTCATTTATAGGAAAATGCAGATGAAAAACCAACAATTTCGTTTTTAAGGTCGACCTCCAAGGAAGACAAGGACGCCAAGAATGCCAAGCGCAGGTACAATTTATATGTATAGTTTTTTACATAGTTATTGGCTTTAAAAGTTAATAAGCTGTAGTCAGTTCATTTTCACAATAAAAATTAAATTTACCGCGTTCTTTCTAGCCTGATGCAGCAGCTGCCCGAAGCGAAGACCCCGCGCCTCACCGTGGAAGGGAACGGGAAAAAGGAGAAGGTAAGCCAAGGTGAATCGCATCTTCTTGGAGGAGGAATACCGCACGCATCCCGTTCTGGGTCTAAACTTTTCCGGAAACGTCTTTTCTCTAAGAAAAATCTTTCGCACTTGTGTCTGTGGTAATTTCCGATTATCTCACTCGTTACTGGATTTTTAACCGGGGGGAGGGGGATGCCGTCGACGCTAATTTTTATTTCCTATTTTCCGCGGAAGGTGGGAAGCTGTTAATATGTTTTTTTTATAAACCCCTTGCGACTTTTTAATACAACGATTTTTAAAATTTCCGACCTTTTTCCAATTTTCATTGTAGCCAGTTTTTGGTTTTTTTATACATTCAGAACAAAAGTCCAAAATCCAACGGAAAACGTTTCTAAAATTTCCAAAGGTCCAAAAACATTTCGAAAGTCGAAAGATTCCATAAACGATGGCTCCATTGGGGTACAATATAAGACCTAGATTTTACAGGAGATTGAAACATGTTTTTGAAAAGTGCATAATGTAAGGACCGCATTTTGATGTTTGAATTGTGAAAAACACTTTAATATTCATTTTCATTATTTCCAGGAGCTCCGCCTGCAGCCAACGCCTCCGTCCGCCGAAACGCTCGCCCCCACCGCCAACGGGTCCTTTACTATTTCAGTTTTCATTAATGAAAAAGAAAAATGCCACTTTTTGCTACTTACTGTGAAAACGGGAATTTAGGATCAGAAGTGAGCGCTTACCGATTAATGATTGTTTATGACCTTTTTCCTAACGATTGGATGAAACACGCGAAATTTTCGGGGAAAAACCTTTTTGAAGAAATGTGAAGAAATTGCTTTGTGAATTGTAATAAGTAGTAGTTGAAACCTAATTTATAAGTCCCGGTACGTCTACAGGTCGGCGATGAAAAACGTGAAGAGCACGATGGCGACGACAAACACCGCCTCCACCCAATCCATCCTCAACGACGCCCCCATCAACGCCCCCGACGAGAGGAAGGTCGAAAAGGTGCTTTTCGCTTACCGGGGGAAGCTAATTTTTACTTTTCCGCCTGTACGTTGCTATTAATAATCTAAAGTTTATTATTCTAGCGTATTTAATATTTTTAGATTGTTTTTTCTATTTGCATCTCATTATGCTTATGGTTCACAAAACAAAATTCAAAACACCAAAATTAGGTAGCTCGATTCATCGCGTATTTACACGGATCGTGGAAACATATTTTTTGGAGGGAGTTTTGATTGGGTTCCACGGAAAATTTACGTGCATTGCCATCACTTTACCAATTTTTTGTAAAATTTTGTTTCAAACAACTTTAAAGTCCATTTCAACGTTTTCAGAAACTCCCGCGCGACAAGGAAAAGAAGCGCCACAAGACGTAATTTTGCCACCGTGAAAGTTATTTGCATTTTTTTTTTAGCACGGGGCCGCATACGGACACGGAGGTGTCGCTCAAGGAGGATACGGTAATTTTAAAAAATCGAATTGTAAACGATATATTGTTTTTTAGCGTCGCCTGAACCGCCGCAAGAAATGGGAGCCGTTCCTCAGCTCGCAGGAGGTAGAAAAACATTTTTGGCATCACTCTTTGAGGTTTTGGCTTGACTTCCCAAATTTTTTAACTTTTTTAATCAAAGGTTTATAAATTGTATTTATGTAAAAGAGAAGCTAGAGCAAAAAAAAAGATAATAAAAGCGATTTAACGTTTGAATATTTTGCCCTACTTTTTGCTGTTTTGAGTTGGGGTGAAGAGGCGCATTGCTCCGTCCGCGGATGGGACGTGATCTTTTTTTGTTGAAACATCTTTTTTTTAAGTAGATCGGCAAAAGTAACTGAGGATGTGCCTTTAAAATCTCCTTCACGGGCTCTCAAAAAGCGTTCATTTATTATCCATTTATAACATTCAACTAAAAACCGCGTCAGTATAAATGAAAAAGTTACGAATAGAACAGATAAAACGTTTATATTTTCCCGGAAATTCGGATGCGATGTTTTCGGATATTTTTTTGGCTCAAAAAGTGAAGTACTTTTTTCCTTAAATTCGAGATAAAGGATTCTGCTTAAACACTTTGTTTCCCAAACTTTTCCGTAATTTTTAGCTGCCACGATAGCATAAACGAGCGAATTTTTGAGGTTGAGCTTCAAGGGGCGGTGACAAGGGCTTTTCACTAGACGTTTTTCCAGGTGGTCCAAGCGCTGGAGGCATCCCTCTCCCCCGAAGAACACCGCAGCGTCCAGGAGATCATCAAAAATGGCCACCCCTACACGGCACAGGTAAGAAAGACTTGCAAGGTTTTAAATAGCAAGCTATTGCGGATTTTAAATTGACCGCTCGGCCCAAGCTTCGCTGAAACATTATTTTTTTCCATGACCCGAAAAAACTTTTGTAGATAAATTCCGATAGCCCCAATGCTTGCCTCGAGCTCGACTGCCGTTGTTTCTTAATTGGGTTGAAGAACTGTTTTGGTAATTAGTTAAGTACGTAAAGTACCCGCGGTACGGCCGTTTCGAAATACATGGTAGCTACCATAGCTTTCGGAAGGTGGGCAGCTACGCAGAGGAACACCCACTGTTTCTATCCGGCTGTACCGGCTGTACCGGCTGTATTTTACTAATTGCCAAGCTGTGATGCAACAACAATTTTCTCTAAAATTTAAAAATAGTCCAAAATTGTCACTACTGCTTTGAACCAGTGCTGAAATCTTGTGTGATCTTTACCTAACTTGGTTTGAAACATTGTTTTTTTCGGAAATACACTCCATGATACTATGATAAATTTTTTGCCATGCTTTCAAGCAGAGCTGAAACATTGATTTTCGCACATATCAAAACTACGAAATGCTAAAAATTCCGAAAAGGCTGCTGCTCAAGCATCGCTTGGGTTATGTCGGCTGAACTTAGTATCGCTTTTTAAAATCCCGTGAATTAGTAATTGACGAAACATATATTTTTTATTTTTTTCCAGCAAAAGGGTATCGCCCTGTCGGCGGTGACGGTCATCATGGATGCGATCAAGAATGATTTGCCCAAGCAGACACGCGATGATCCATCCCAAATGGAGCGGGTACGGTAACGTATGGTGTGACATAGCGCTGAAATGATTCTCCAAACTTTTTCAAAGTTCGAATATAGCTGTAAATAATAAAGAATGTATTTTTAAATGTTTTTAGTAGTTCTTAATTGCTAGGAAGTTACAAAAAAATGTTAAAGATTTTTGACATTCAAAAATGTAACCTTTCTGGGCCTTTCTCGTACCAAACCGGGCGAATTTTTAATGTTTCAAGGATAAAATTGGGGGCAGGCGTTATACTAAACCTTATTAGGAAGCGCTAGCGAGTTGTGTGCAGAGAATCTTCAGGCGATCGTTGTTCGTTTTTGCTGTCGCTGTCCCTTTAAAGTCGAAATTCTAGGGCCTTTAAATTAAATAAATATAAATCAAATTAAGTTAAATTGGTTCGTACTTGAACTCGTTGAGATTCGCCGCCGCATCTACCAGGAGGTGTTCATCCACAAGGACATCGTGCCCGAGATCTGGAAGGGTAGAGGTAGCACAAAGATTTCGAGCGACGATTGGAATTGGAAAAATTTTTCGAAACTGGCAGATTTTTCGAAACATACTTTTTCCAAAAAGTTTCCGTATTACTAAAAGTTAAAATTTGCTGATTTTTGGCAATTCTTAAATAGCTTCATTAAATGTTAAATAAAATTCAAATAGAGTGACTAAAAAATTTCCAACAGGGTTTTTCAAGTTAATTTTTGGTTTAAAATTGGACATTTGGTCGAAAAATCGTTCACCCTAGTTTCCGAAGAAATAATATTTTCGCTGTCGAACAATCCCGAGTTTCCAGAAAATGCCGGCACGGTGACGGCGATCCCGGAAGCGACGACACCTGATGCTCACGGATCGGCCAGCCCAAAGGAGGAGGAGAAGCGAGAGAGCAGAGAGAAAGAGGGCAGAGATGGAGTGAAGGTGGCGAAGAGAGAGCGCGAGAAGAAGAGAGGACACAAAGAGAAGGAGGGAGGGACGACGGAGAGTACGGATGGAGGAGATGAACCCGAATTGAGGGAGACAAAGAGGAGGAAGGCTCGCAATAAGGACAAGAAGACTTCCGCTGAGAAGAGGTACTGTAGGGGGGGGGGTTTAAAGGGATCTGCATGGCAAAGATATGGATTTTCTGGGTGTGTGGGCACTATGGATAAAAAGAGGCTAGGGCACCCTCTGGGCGCAAAATCCATATGCCTATTGCGAAAACCTAGGCAAAGAGGTACGGGACTGATAGCGGGGGTTGAGCAGGGGGATACTAATTTTTATGTTTTACGCCTACACCACGTACGTACCTGTCGTTAATAAATAGTGTCTTCTAAAACGTTTTTATCGTTTTTGATGTCAAGAAAGTTACCAAAATATTTTACACATTTTTGAAAATCCATAAATTTTGACCTTTTCTGCTCATTTTTCATTTATTTTTTGCAACAAAAAACTAAAAAATTTTCGAAATATCTAAAAACTCTGTATAATGCTAAAAATAGTCAGCATTATGTTATGGGACCGTGCAGGATTACTGGACCTAGGAAGCTAACTTTTTCGAAGTTTTTAATGATTTGTTTTAGGGTCTAAAAATGATATATAACTATGACAACACGGCCTAAAATTGTCAAAGCCCCAACATGTGGTAACTAGTAGTCACTATGAAACATTTTTCACGATCAAAAATTTTTGTGAAAATGATCTTCACGAATTTTGTTTGGCGCATTTGACCTATTTTAATGATTTATTCAAACACGTTTCTAAGGCTTTAAGATTAAAGTCATGGCTAAAATTAAGCGATCACGACGGCAACTGTTCATCAAATCCCACAAACATGCATTGGAACAGTAACGAGTTCCAAATTTAAGCGGCTTTGCAAGTTTTTGGAACATTCTTTTTCCGAATAAAATTTGGCAAAGCGAATTTTCATTTGCCTTTGTCGACAATTTTTAATTCAGCTTTAATAGATTGTAATAAGGCACACCTAACTAATTAAGAGGCCGAGTTTCCAGAGCCCGTAAGGAGTCGAAGCACCGCTCAAAGCACCGGGACACCCGGCGTCGCAGCGACCAGTCCAAGGTCAGTTGTCTTTATTTTTTAGTTTTTTATTTCATAACGTACGCGCTACAGTAACCCATCACTACCCACTACCGTAGTCCTCCTTTAGTCAAATTCCGTCCGCACGGCTCGCCCAGAAATGCCGGGCGCGACGACGCAACGCTCCTCCGAACGGGCCATCCCGATGCATGACCGTGTTCGAGCCGTCGTCTCGACCATCAGCACCGCCATCCGCTCCCTGTTCCTCTCCATCATCTCCTTCTTCAAGGTGAGATATAGACTACAAAAACTACAAGCTAAACCTGAAAAACCTAAAACTGTAATATTGGTTTTTTGCATTAGAGGGGAAAAATCCTACTATATATAAAAAATAGTGTCTGTGTGTGTGTGTGTGTATGACACTTTGCATGCAACTTCCGTCAGCGTGTCCGGAGGATATCTCAAGAGGGGAAGGGATGAAGGGTGCGTATGATACGTCATTAGGTGCGTAATGGCCTGTAGATGACTGCACGCATATCAGTTTTTGCAAAATCAATTGTTTTCGACATTAAAATTAAGTTTTCCCTTAAAAATCGGACACCCTCTTTGTTAGGAAAAAATTAGCATACGCCGGAAGTGGAAGTAGCCTATATAATCGGGGAGAGGACGCGATTTTCATTTTTTCACATCAAGCGCGGAAGGATTATGCAAAGCGAGAGATTCATAGGGTTGGACGGGGCCAGGGTTGAAAAGTCGCGAAGCGGCTTTTCAACCCTGGTAAATATTAATAAAATAAATAATCTAATCTTTCAAAATAAATCGTGGAAGTGTTTCTAAACTTTTTTAGTACTTCTAAAAATAAAACGACATAATTATTTATGAAGCAATTCAAAAAGAAAATCGCTTTTCAACCAAAAACTGCCTTTTTGGACAAAATTTCGACCTTTTCAAAAAGTAGAAAAGAAGAGACAACTGAAGAATGGGCCTAAATGCACAATGTTTAATGCTACAAAATTGACGAAACATGTTATTGTAGACTCGCGTTTCTTTGGAAATTCTTGCTGTATCGGGGGATCTATTTTTTTATAAAAATTTATCAAGTTTGAAGTTTCGGAAAAGTCGCTACTTTTTCTCATCTTAACAACTAATTAAGGCTAGCTAATCTTAACACATGATTTTCTACAACCTCGTTATTTTTGAAACGTAAGGGCGATTGGTTGTGGTGGTTTTTGGTGCGCTAAATGGATATGTTTTAACCAATACGTGTTAAGAAATTCCTCCTGATCTTACGATTTTTGGACACACTCAATTAAAAGGCCGTCCGCGATTCATCCGAACAGGCCCCATTATGACTTGGCACAGTTTTTTTCGACCCCATTTTTATGACGTCATCTGAAAGAGCGTGGTCGAATTAGTAGCGTGGTATGGTTTTGGAAGTTTAAAAAGTTTAATTTTACTGTTAAAATGGGCCTCAAAGCTGCCACCTTCGAAAAACTAACTTGAAAATGACTGAACCAAACAGGCCGAAAATTTGTGTCAATACCTAATTTGGCGTGGGGATCATTTCTCTAATACATTTTGAAGCATGAAAATGGCCGGAACATGGTTAAATGGCGTACATACACAGTGACTCTCGACACTGGTCGATTTGCGAAAGCCGACTTATGCAGAAGATGCGCCCATTTCCGCATCGAATGGCGTAGCGCTATCGAGCGCGAACCACCCGAAAAATTAGCTTTATGCGTGAAATGGTGTTGAAATGACCTAAAATGAAAATTTTGAACTTGAAAATCTGAGATGAGGGACGCCCTGAGACGAGACGGTCGATGCGAAGGAGCAAAAGAAATTCGGCTTTCTTCGATGTCGCGGAATCGAACCCGGACCCTCCGCCTAGGAGCCCTGTGGCGCAATGAGTAGGGCGTCGGCGTACCAATCCAGAGGTGGCGCCAGTTCAATCCCAGCCCCCTCTCAGAAGCCGAATTTCTTTTTGCTCTTTTTTGCAATCGACTCGTCTCGGTCTCTAGATGCGATCCTATATCTCAGATTTTCCAAATTCAAAAATTTTCATTTTTTGGGGTCATTTTTAACACCATTTTCACACATAAAAGCGAATAAAACTAATTTTTCGGGTGGTTCGCGCTCGATAAGCTACACACCATTCGATGCGGAAAGAATGGGCGCATCTCTTCGTGCATAAGTCAGCTTTCGCAAATCACCCTAAAATGTCGAAAATGTCGAAAAACTGTGTATAGTACGCCATTTAACCATGTTCCGGCCATTTTCATGCTTCAAAATGTATCAGAGAAATGATCCCCACGCCAAATTAGGTATTGACACAAATTTTCGGCCTGTTTGGTTCAGTCATTTTCAAGTTAGTTTTTCGAAGGTGGCAGCTTTGAGGCCCATTTTAACAGTAAAATTAAACTTTTTAAACTTCCAAAACCATACCACGCTACTAATTCGACCACGCTCTTTTCAGATGACGTCATAAAAATGGGGTCGAAAAAAACTGTGCCAAGCATTGTTCGGGTCTCTCGCAAACGGCCTTTTAAAATACCCAGTTTCCACGGTTTTTAGTTGCTGTACGCGCAGCTGCCGTCGCCGTCGGATGTGCTGGAGGGGTTGTGGATGATCGCCTGCTGGCTCTATCGGGGCATCGCATACATCTGTTAGTTTAATTATATTCTTCACACCAATTCCTCAAAGAATCTCTGCTAGCAGGCCCTGTCATTTGAAACGTTGCAGTGTCCTTCATCTGGCCGTGGCGTTGGGTCCAGTCCAAGCCGATTCCGGTCGACAACCCGATGGACGGGATCGCTGGAAGGTTTGTCACCGGACCGAATCTACGAGAATTCACCACTTAATTAACTGTTTTTCCAAATAAATTAAAATAGGTAATTTTCGGGTGAGGGAACGAAAAGTTGCACTGAATTTCGGAGCATTCACTGATTTATTTTCCATTCTAAAACATTCTTTTAGTTTTATGACGTTATTTTAGTATTTCTGTAATGTCTCTAAACTATTCTTTTAGTATTCCTATTCTTTAGCTTTCTAATATTGTTACCGTTCAGCCCTCCTCGCCGACGTCGTGAGCACCCGTTGCCCGTCATTGTGCGCCACATCCACACCGCCGACGATTGCGTCGTTTTCCCGGGTCGAAGCTCCTATGATGATGTACGGTAGCTTCGATCGGAAGGATCGTAAAACATAACTTTTGCGGGGTTTACTTCAGCACCAAATTATAAGTCTAAATTGCAATACAAACAAAAATTAAATTAATAACTCTGACCAATTTTAGCATTTTGATGAAAAGCCCATATTTTTTATTTTTTAGTAAAATTTTGTGAAGTGTTTACGGGAGTGATTGTAAAAAAAACAGTTTAGAAACACTTTCAAGATTTATATTTAAAAAATTGGTTCCTAAGATAATGCGGCAAATTTTTTTCTCCTGATTCTGGGGCCTGTTCGATACTGGGTTCCGATCAAAACCCTTTTTTTTCCTCGAAAATCCCCGCGGGTTTATTCTGGGATTCGGTGTTTCATATTACACCAGCGCTGACCCCCCGCTCCGCGGGGGTTCAGCGCTGGCCTTCCCCCCCCACAATTTGAATTTAGAATTTGAATGCAAAATTTGGCTGAATTCCCGGTCGGTCGGGCGTACGGACATAAGAAATTTATATATAGTAGATATGTTGTCAAACTCCCGGGCTGCCTCTAATATCACAAATCGCACTGGTTACGGATAATTATCGGAAAATCCCAGACAGTCGAGCGCTGCGGCACGGCTGCCCGCGCGGAAGCACCGCCTCCGCAGCGCATCGAGTGGCGCGGCACGATGTTCGCCTTCCCGTCCGACCCGAAGAAGTGCCCCGACTACAAGCTGCACAAGTACAACTAGGCCGGGTGAGTATTCCTCTCTCTCCCTCTCCCTCTCCCTCTCACGCTCGCTTTCCCCTTCTCTCTGTCGCTCTCTCTCCTCTCTCTCTCTCCGCTCTCTCTCTCTTTTTTGGTGTCACTACATCGGCGCAACGTGTGCGTATATTAAATTTCGGTGTTTTAAAATGTAACAAAACATTGTTTTAAAGACAAAAATCGATTTTATGTTTCCAAAAAAATTGTGGGGTATTGAGCTTTCTAAATGCAACACCTTAATTTTTCGGTTGTTTACTGGGTTAGAAAACATTTTTTTTATCGTATTTCGATAACTTTTTGGGATGATTTAGCCATATTTAATTCTTTGGTATTTTTCAGAGTTTACAGAATATTTATTCGGAACTAAGCCTCCGCTCGGTTTGAAATGTGAAAATTCTAGTTTTAATTGGCCATCGATGTAAGAATTTTTGTATCGAATAACTAAAAAATGTTACTAATTGTTTTTTAACTTTTCACAAAACATTCATTTTGAAAAACCCGTTTTATAGCTTCCTAACGCCCTCTGCCCTCCAATTAATGCGCTGACGCCCCCGATGCTGTTGCGGCTACCGTACCCCCGTGAATACCGTACTCGCCCCCTCACCCTTCAGTTCTCATCACACTGATTATCTAACCTCCTCTCTCGGATATTTTCTATGTATCTCGCCCCCCCCCCCCTTACAGTATCCCATTTGTGTTCAACCGATGAAATGTGTGTGTGTCGCGTTTGTGATAAAAATGGAAATAAAATAAATACGTTAACCGACTGCATAACTAATGACGCATGATGGCAGAAATGGTCACCCGGTTTTCGTGAAACATCAGAATAATATTTGGGTCGCGTCGGAATTTTCGACAGCGCCATTCGATAGCGCGTTGCAAAAATACTGAGAGTTATAAAGGGTGTCCCAATAAAAAAACACCTTCCGCTAACTCGACGCATAAGAGTCGGTTCAGAATGAATGTTACAGCATTCAAAAGCCCTTGAAATGGCGAGTTTGCAACAATGAGTAAATCCATTAAGCGGTTGCTTTTTAAAAGATTCTCAAAAAAGCGGCCGTTATTGAAGTAATCCGCTCACAAAAACCTATGTTTCTTGGTTGCATTGGAAAAAGAGGTAGATTCGCGCAATTAGTGAAATGACAAGAAAGGAGGATGATATCAGGTTGGATAATAAGTTCTGTCACAATTTTTTTGAATCGTTTGTTAAAGCTGCAGACGTGCCCAAATTAATAGTGTGATATATGGTTTGATAGGTCTCCTCGAGCTCTAACTTGGGTGGACCCTCCTCGCACCCAAAAATTGAGAACCGCCGAGATAGAGCTTCGAGAAATTTTCCGCAAAAACGTACCAAACCGATTTTGCAAGCTATCTCTGCATAGAGCAATTTGCATGCGATACCTTTAACACCAATCGATAGCTTTCGAGGAGTAGCTATCGATAAATGTTGAGATCATCCAAATTGGACATCCGATGGCCGAGATACGACCCCTTGAAATCTGGCCCATTTCTTAGAACTTTTCCCAAAATGCCCTACAACTGGTCAAAATGCGTTCGGTTCTTTTGAAATCAAGCGGTCAGTTTTGGCTGCGGGCTATCAAATGTATGGGATTTCGGGAAAAGTTCTAAGAAATGGGCTAAATTTTAAGAGGACATATCTCGGCCATCTGATGTCCAATTTTGATGATCTCAACATTTATCGATATCTACTCCTTGAAAGCTATCGATTGGTGTTAAAGGTATCGCATGCAAATTGCTGTATGCAGAGATAACTCGCTAACACGCTTTTGCGTAATTTTACGAAAACCTTCTCGGGCCTGTATCTCGACGTTCCTCAATTTTTGGGTCAACTGAGGGTCCTCCCAGAATAGAGTGTTGTGAGACCTACCAATCCATACCTCATACTCCTGAATTGGAAACATCTGCGATTTTAACGAGCGGTTTCAAAAAATTGTGACAGAACTTATTATCCAACCTGATAAAAAGTAAGGCGATTAAATAGGACTAATCAAATATAAAAAGCTAGATCTAACCTCTAAAAACTACCCAAAATGAGTGAAAATTGGTTTAAATTATTCTAAGGAAACTAGATTCGAGTTTCGGCCGGTAGCGGCTTTTTTTTGTTGAAAAATCTATATTTTATTTTTTCCGTATAAATTCGTGCAATTTCAACGTTTGCGAATTGTTAGAAAAATTTGTAACTCTTTTTTTATGTTTCTAGTAGAAAAGAAATTGGATGCTAACCAAAAAATATTAACTAAAAAAGCTACATAAAAACTTCATTTTCCCCTGTACTTTTCAAGCGATTTCATGGATTAAGCAAATTATCATCTGACCTGCTTGATGAGTCTACTAAATTCGTTAAAACATTAAATTTATTCTACACAAAATGGCAATTGTCATGTACTGGATTAAACATAAAAATGATAATTTTTACTACAAAATTACTACAATAAAAATTCGATTTACTACAAAAATACGAAAAATCAAGTAATACAAAAATACAAAAACACACACTCAAATTGAAATGCGCACAAATCGACCAGCCGACATCAGAAAAATGAGAAGACAAAAAGTATAAAAAATGTTTAGGACATTGTTAAGGTATGATTTTCAAGGAATTCTTAAAAATAAAGTCATCTCCGCCTTCGCCTCCCCTGCCCTTCACTGTGGCGGATTGGTAAAATTCTCGGCCCCGAGGAATGGGGTCCGGGTTCGATTCCCCCGTATGAAAACTTTTTGCTTTTCCCCCCGACGCATTGGGAATTGATAGATGGTGTAACATCCATTAACGTTGAGGCTATATAAATTAAGACGACGTTGAAGATGGGGGTAGAGGGATGCCGAATTGACTGTAGAGAGACGCGCGGAGAGCACGAACCTCCTTCTCCAGACGAATAGACTCGGCGGCCAGGAACTCGTTGCGAGCGATCAGATGATCGACCTGGAAAATGGGGGAACTAAACTATTTAAATATTACAATACTTATTATATAATTTTTCTCTCTTTTGAAAACCGAAAAAGAAAAAACGAACCAGGACCAAACTATGAGGGACCCAAATTAAGCATTAAACCATCATACTTTGAAGTCTTTCCACTAAATAGGTCTTTTCTGACCGTTAATTAGATAAAATTTTCAAAATCCATGCTCCAGAGTTTTTACGTATGCCGAGCGGATTTGTATTTTCAATGATCGATGGTTATAGTTGCAAACGTCGTTAACTGCCAAAAATTGCATCAAAAAATTTATGAAAGCATGTTTCATCTATTTCAGTGTTGCTTTCGCTAGCCAAACGTCCAATCTGTGCGTCCTTCAGTGCCAAAAAAAATGCAGAAAGTAGTCCAAAAATAAAAATAAAATAAGTTAACTTCCGTCATGAATAATTTAAATTTTAAACATCTATTTTTCTTCTTTTTTACGTTACCCCCTCGGATCTATGTTCAATATGATAATGGTCCGAGGTACGAACGTGGTTATAATGAACACGAGTAAGATATGTCAAATTTTGCATCAAAATAACTTGTAAAAGTATGTTGTGAAGTATGTAATTTATGTCAATTAAATTAGTTTTAAAAGACAGTTCGAGGAGTACTTTTTGTGTTAACTTTTCAGGAAAAATGACAAATTAAAATGTTTCAACAAAAAATATGATCGGAAATTTGTTTGCTTATTGTAATAAAGGTAATGCCGGCGATTGCCTCCCCCCAAAAATTTGAATTTCCTCAACGAACCTCGCGAATCTCGCCCTTCTTCGACTTGCGCTGCTTCTCGCGATATCTGAGGGCTGCCACGCGGTTCTGCTCGCGCTTCCGCGCTGCTGCCTCTTCGCGCGTCAGCGAGGCAAGGCTGTAAAATTATTTTAATTTAGGAATCAAATACGAAATCAGCAACCGTCGTCCATTACTGCGCTCAAGAACTATGGAATTCACTTAATTGCCGCAACATCGATTTTCTTTGACATTTTGTTAATGAAAGCAGCGGAAAATTCAAGATATTTAAATGCTACGGCCTATCGACCGCTCTAGTCAGTTTAACGGCATGTTTATAATTTAATTCGAAAAATCCAAGAATTTTTAACACCAATAAAATTTTTTTGGTTTTCAGTGTTTCATGAAAAATTTCAGTACTAGCCTGAGAATTACGACTAATGAGCGTAACGGGGGTGCTTGCCATAACCCTTTTCATAGATTCTTGATTTATTTAAATCCCGATTTATTTTGTATTTATGGAATCCATTTCTATGCCTAGTAGTTAATCCGGCTATATTTTACGAAATTTAATAAAATCATCAGATTAAAAATTTATTCGCTCACCTGATGGGTTTACGCTTTGGCCGGGGTAAGTCTTCGTCGGACGTCTCCGATTGCGAGGACGAATCCTGAAATTAAATTGTAAGCTTCAAGAATATAATAGAAAAGTATATCAAAGAATGTTTAAATGTAACCGCGCAATAATAAACGTATTTGAAAAGTTTGAGATCACGGAACTATAAATCTACGGGAAAAGGTTTCAAGCCTACGCCGCCCAATTTCTATGTAACATTCTTTCGATTATCGATGCTGCGACTGTGAATACGAAAATGTCCAATCCTAATCCTTTTGAGAAGTGATAATTTTATTGCCCGTGGCCTAATTTCTATTATTTTTAATTATATTCATCTTAAATACATTTTTTATAATGAATTTTTTATTAACCTTGCCTGCCTGGTATTCAAGAATTATGAAATTTGATTATATCACAAGAAAGAACAATTAATAAACCCAATAAATTCCGTCGCCAGTCTCAAGCCGCCAATCCCTTTCAATATTTCATAATTCGCGTAAAAGCTGCCCCACGTCATCTATATTATTTCTTTTTTAATTTGAAAACAAAACCTTTTTTATTATTTTAATTTAATTTAATTTAGTGATAAATTAAACAAAAACTAGAGCCGAATTTACTTTATTTTAGTAAATTATAGCCACCAAATAACGCACCTCATCGATGCTGCGTTTTCGGGAGACAGCCGGCGACGGGACGGCACTTTGGCTGGGGCTGAGGTCGAGCTGGAAAAAAAATGTGTATCAGGCTTTTACATCCTATGGTGGAAATTCCGGGGATTAATGTGTTTTTCTTGTGAGCTGCTAATTAAAATGAATAAATTACAGATTTTTACCGTCATTTTAAAGGGACGGACAAGGCATATCCATGGGGTTTTTATGTGCGCATCGCGCGTGGCGGCAAAATTCTTAGCGACTCCATAGGAAAAATACTGGCCGCTCCCTTGCTGTTCCCTTTAACGCCTAAAATTACCTCTTTTGTGGCCTCGATTTCGGTGCGTACGGAGAGGATGAGGTCGTCGAGGAAGGGGATCGGCTCGACAGGCGAGTCGGGGTAGGCGGGAGGACTGAAAAAAACGTGTTTCACAATTTGTACTTATTTCCAAAAATTTATTACAAGTAATACGCACTTCACACTCACTCCGAAACAAGCTAAAATATTTCCTCAAGCATCTCTGCTAGTCTGCCAGCTGGCTTTATCCTAAAAAATCGCTGCTAGCTAGCCCCCAGTTCTAGTACTCTTTAATCCAAAAGAGATGGAATTTAGCGCATAAAATGTACCAAATAAACTATAATAAATAAATCAAGGATAATTCAGTAAATTATTATTTAGACCTACTCATACAAGTTTGAAAATCATGGCGTATTCACATTAATATATTCAAAACAATTTTGTTCCACAACTTTTTTGAAACATCTTAATCGCTAAAAGTACTTGATTTCAATACAAAAAAATTCCAATCCAGAAAATATCAAGTAAAAGAAAAATAAATACAAATAAATAAATAAAATAGAGTAACGCAACGCATTGATGAAATGACTGACTAAAGTGACCAAAAAACCTTTAAAACATCTTTTTTTTCTATGTGTTCAGAAAACCCAAAAATAACTACCGCAGTAAGGTTTTTCATAAAATTAAACTTGTTAAGTTTGGTCATTTTTGGTCGAAAGAAGTTTGCCAGAATTAGCAATAATTGTGAAGTATTTAAGGTTAGGAGTAGTACGAAACATTTATCTACCATTTATCTGTTTATTTTAGAAAAATGAATGCTAAGTAAATTGCCCCCCTGATAATGCGAAAGCGTCGTCCGGTTAAAATAATTCGGATGATTAAAAATGCACAATCCTTATTTGGCACACAAAAACCATGCAATATCAGCCCAAAAAATGTTGTTTCAAAGATCTTTTTGAAACATCGAAATTAAACACGTCCTTTAATAAGATTAACGCGATTCAAATTAGCGTACCATTGATATGGGGCGAGCTCCTGCTCCAACAGCGTGAGGTCGAGGTCCTGGAGGTGTGGGGGAGAGAGGGCGAGAGATGGAGAGGGGGCAGACTGGCACAGCGATGCCGACGGGGATACGGTAGAATAGCTCGAATACTGTGGGTTGTTGATGAAGTGTTGCTGGGCGGGCTGGTCGAGTTGGCAATAGTTGCTGGAAAGGGGAAGGTTACGGTAGTTTGAAATTTTCTTAACAAACTTTATTTGGCTTCAAATTTTGATTAATTACAATTATTCAAAACATGCCAACCAAGGAATGAAATTAAAATACGGTACCCCTTGGGGAAATTTTTGGAAACATATATTTTGCAATTTTAAAATATTTTAAATTTAATATATTTTATTTATTATATCTAGATATCTACATAGATTTCTTTTTAACCCTTGTTTTTGCCCATTTGTTAAATTAAATATTTAGAAAACATGAAGAACGGTAAATTGCACCCTGCGTATCACCGGCTTTCAGAGAATTTTTTGAAACATTTTTTCTACGATATTAATTTTTGATTGTCGTTCGATAAAAACTAGCTATTTTAGGTTTCAAAGAATTGCCAATTTAGTTTAAAGGTGACAGAATTGGATAAATTTCAAGATCTGCCGGGTTTCCTGTTGAAAATAGAAGAATTCCGGCTAAAACAAAAACGGCCCGTGAATTATTATCCTTTTTGCCGGCCCAAAAATCTCTCAGAATTTGAAACACTATTTTTTAACGTTTTCGAAAGCTAACTTTGATGCATTCAACTGTTTCATAAGTTAGGTTTACTTTTATTAAGTTAGTTAGATCCGCCTTCATATCAAGTCGTATTCCTGTGGAAAACCCCTGAGGTTCGTGCAAAGTTTTTGAAACATTTAATTTTTAGCATGAAATTGAAAATTAAATCGACGAAACGGTATGACGCGAAAATTCGGATTTCAAATCTACTGATTGTAACGGTGTAAGGGTAATGACAAAGCTTTTACAACAGAATTTCTTACATAATTCATAAAATAAGGCTTTAAACTGTGCCATAAACGATTTTAAACCCAGAAAACGTACCTGTAGTATTCAATAGACTCCTCCACCAATTGGTCCATGAATGGACCCGTTGCCTCCGTGGGCCTGCTGAAAATGGAAGGAAAATTAGCATAATTTTTGTGAGGGTTTTGTAGTTTTTATTTTCCACTTGGCAGGCTAGCAGCGATTTTTTAGGAATTTTGGCGAGAATACTGAGTAAATATTGAAAGTTAAATCCAAGGGTTTAGGGCAAGCTAGCCAACGCTCTTTCGGAAACATGAGCAAAAAATCCCGTTCTTGATAGCTCCACGATAGGCCGACTAGCAGGGGTGGTTTGGGAATGATTGCGATTTGAGAGCTAACTAAAATGAGCTGGATTAATTTCTTTTAGGCTTGGACCATAGACTTAATGTTACGAAACACTTAATTTTATTCGTCGACCGTCATTTCTGCTTCGAATTTCTTGTACAAATTTGGAACCTAAATATACATTTTTTTTAGTCATACAAAATCGCAAAAAGGCTTTGTGAATGTCGAAAAGCCTCTTGAATCACGAAAGAAAAGAAGCAAACCATTAAAGGAAGTCACTGGCGTCAGCACATTAGTGATCCTCCCCGCTACGTAAGTCGGACAAAAGCCAAAACACTAATTTTTTTCCAGGATTTTGAAAAATCTGCGAATTAATCAAATTATCCCATCAATCTCTCAATTTCGAAACATTAAGTTTTGAGGGCGCAAAACGCCGGGATTATTTGAGACACTTTGAAGAATTCTTAGTCAAAATTTTCCTTCGGATTAGGTTGGCTGTAGAGCATTTCTGACGGAACTAATACACGGGAGACTTTTGCGGCGACAAAAGTGCACGGCCCGTGCACTAGCCGGTACCGGGCCCATCGCGGCGGCCGCACGGCCCACGCAGTATTGTCGCGGCCCGTACACGGCAACTCCGCGGCTAGTGCACGGCCCGTGCACGGCTACTCCACGGCTACTCCACGGCTACTCCACGGCTCTCTCACGGGCGCGCGCCTTTCGCGGCTAGCGCATGGGCCGCGCACTTTTGTCGCGGCAAAAGTCTCCCGTATTCTTGATGAATCCATACGGAATTTCTATAATTTTAATGGCAAGCTGGCAGAAAAGCAGTCAAAAATTGGAAAGAATTGCTTGAATGGGTATGACAACGGGCAGACTAGCGGAGACTTTTTGAGTTTGATTTTCTTCATTTTTGTGGAATTTAACCGCGTTCAATAACAACAAGACGCGTTCGTCTAATAACATGCCCGTTAGGTGCTGAAACCCTAAAAGACACGCAACATTTAATTTTACAAGGCTTAGAATTTTCGCGCGGAAAAAAGAAAACTAGATTTGTTTCACATTGTTTTTACGATTCTAAAACGAAACGCAGCTCTTCCCATTCCGCGGATTACCAGGGATTTTTCAGGGTAATTCGCCAACAATAAGCCGCTTTGCTGAATGCAAATTAGCCTGTGTAAGGTGATCCTACAACCCTTAAATTTCGAAACAGTCCATTTTGAAGGCCAAAACGCTTGGTAAACTAGCAGATAATCTTTATGAATTTTCAGGACTTTGGGGGTCAAAATTGGCTAATGACGATCTTCATAGCCATGGCAAGCTAGCAGAGACGTTTTTGAAGTCGAAACCGGTTTTATTAGATTCGAAACAATGGTATGACAATCCCTGGAACTCGAAACATCTTAACAAAAACTGACCATAATTGGATAGGCTCCAAAGTAGGACTGCGGATAGCATGGAGGGCAGGTGGTGGCTGGAGCGATGGAGCATGAGGTGGCTGAAAAACGAGGATTGCGTACCGATTTGCGAGGTGTTTTTAAAGAATCTACTGTGAGGCAAAATAGTACGCAAAATTTTTCCGCGGACACTAAAAAAATCAGAAACATCTTACTGAAACTGCGAAAATCCTGTCACTTTCCCCATCCCCCGAAAAACACGTACCGGCGGCGGCAGGCGCGGTGACGGCGTCGAGACGAAGAAGTCGCTTGGAGCACGACTTTGAAAGGGAGGAGGACGTAGAGGAGGATGAGCAATTGGCCCGACGCTGCAAAACGGTGCCACGGAGACGATCAAACTGCTGATCGGGTTGCTGAAAGGTGGATTATTGAGAGAACATAAATAGATTTTGTTTGCTGGATTTAACATGTTTCATACATGAAACATGTTCAAGCGAAAAATTTTTTCGCTAATGTTGTGTTGATTGGAAAAGAATGTACGATTTCTTTAAGGTTGAGCTAAATTAAATTTTAATACTCCCTATCTAAAACGCTAATAATCGATGTAAAAATAGATATATAAAAATTAATGGTCTGCTATTTAATACTTTTGCATTTTTCGCAATACAATTTTCCTTAATATACCGGTTTCCAAATTACATATTGGATGCTCAAGTCAATGTGTTTCATGGTTAAAACATCATTTTTCGAAGTTGGTTTGTTCTAATTAACACTATTTTGGTACAATCATGCTTCAGGAGCTATAAATTAAAAAATTTCAAGTTTAATAGGGTGGGCCCTTAATAGAATACCCGTAACTACGTTTAAAATTTGGCTTTAACTCTTGGTTCTAAACGCAGATATTTAGTACTTGGGTAAATAAAAATTCCCTTATTTGGATATTTCAATAAATTGGATAGATGACTGGATTATGTTTCTAATTCTTGTAATTATAATTGCCGGTGTGCACTATGCGCAAGGAATTTTCAGAATTTAGGCCTGCTAAAAATGTGTTTCATAGGCCAGTTGGTTACCAATTTTGGGGTGTGTAATCATTCAAGGAACAAGGAAGCGCCTTTCTACCAGCAAATAATTTTTTCGATAATTAAAATTAATAGCGACAATTCTTAGCCCTAGCATTCGAATTATCACAAAAAATCACCAGCCATAATGCCAAAAAGCCGAAAACTTATTTTAGTTAAAAATCGTATCTTTCATCAAAATTAGTTCCCCTGAAGCTTTTGGGGGTTAGAATATTGATAGAGTCGATCCATCAGAAAAAATATCATCAATCCGTCACTGGATTAGAAAAATGATAACTTTAATTTTTGGCATAAATAAAGTTCCATAAAATACGAGAACATTTAAATAGTAATTTTTATTAAATAAAAAAAATATATTTTGACGTACTTGGGGGGTAGTGATGGGACAGGTTTCGCCAGTCGTCTCCGGCCAAACCCACGACTCGACGGATTGAACCGAGGCCAGGCACACGTCTTCGCCAATTAGGGGGATCAGAGCCTGAAAATATTTAAATTCTAGAGATAAAATAAATATATTTAGCTCTATTAAACCGGAATATTAAGTAGTATGTATTTACTATGCTATTAAATTTAAAGAACGGGGCCCTTTATAATTTTACCAGATGCTGAAATATCGATTTTGGTATATCCCTTCAAGCCTTAATTTACAAAAATGCTGAAATTGGATTAAGCACCTGCGAATTTTTAGCAGAACAATTATCCTACTATATATAAAAAAATAGTGTCTGTGTGTGTGTAGACACTTTGCATAAAAACCCGGGTTCCAGCCATAACTCGAAGGGGAAAGAATTTTTTGGTCCAGAAATAAGGTAGTTAGGGGTAGTCGAGGGCGTAGATTATTGCACGCTTATCAGATTTTTACTAAAATTTTGTTTTATACCTTATTTTAACGTTTTAAAAACATATGGAAATAGACTAATTTGCATACGAGGCGCTAGGAGCCTCATTTTGGCTTTTGTCGGCTCGAGGCCGGTTGCTTTTGCTATTTTTAGGGTTCGCTCTAGCTCCGGCCCGAATTATACAAAGCCCAACTTTTAAAGATGCCCGCGCAAAGGCCAGGGGTGAAAAGCCGCGTAGCGGCTTTTCAACCCTGGTGGTTGAATAATTTGATATTCAATTTGTAAAATTTCAAGAAATCTAATTTTCATTTTTCATGAGTAATTAAGAATTCTGAAATCTTTAGGATAGCCATTTTTTTGCCTCGAAATTCGATGTTTTACGACAAATCCAAACACGCCAAAGTTTTGCTAATATAATTTTCGATCACAATCAGGTATAAAAATTCTACAAAAACTTGAATTTCGGTCCCTGAAAACCCCGAACTCACCATCGATTCATCCATGTACAATTCACAACATTCCACGGGCAGTGACGACATTTTTCGTGACGTTTTTAGCGAGTTTTTCCGGAAGCTTTACAGCAACGAAGGGAGCGAGCGGAGGCTGGAGGGAGGCTGCAAAAATCAGTGTTTCTTGGAAATCTTAAACAATTTTTAGGCGAGTAAAATCAATGGTCTACCCTTTCAATTCCCAAAATCAAACCTTTAAAATTGGTAAATATCGTTGTTTTAAGCCGACAAGTGTAAAATATTGCTTCCTTACTAGCCCCTTTAAAGCAACTAGAAGTAAATAAAAAGGGAGAATTGATTCTATTACAAAATCTTTCTATTAAACACCCCGTTTATAAAAAAATTTATTAAATTTTGATGAAACCTATATGTTTATTGAAAAGTTTCATTTGAACAGAACCCGACCAAGAAATTTTCGATCACTATTATAGTATGCGAATTATTTAACGTTACATGGTGATTAACTTTTAAATGCCACATAAAAATAATGTCGCACAAATCGCCCAATCGCCTTCGTGATTTTCAACACATTTTTATGATCTTCGAATTGAATCTGAATGCTCTCCGAAAATATATGTATATATTTTCGGAGAGTAATTTGCCCTTCTCCTACAATCTAGACGTAACATTTTTATTGTGCCCTTTTATTTCGGACAAAAAGCGGTTACCTTGGAGCAGGGAGCTGGAGAGCTGGTGAGCAAAGTTCGAGTTTCCTGAAATAAATTTCATTATTGCAGTTAGTTGCTTAATTTTACATAAAATAGAAGTATTGAAAGAACATGTTCCAAAAATCACCCAAACGCATCGAAGGCACGTAAACTGGAAAAGTAAAGCCAAGATGGTCACTCGTTATCAGCAAAATGAAATCATCACGCCCCGGGTTTTTCGAGGGGGGAATTGACGCGATGGTGGGGTACAGAAAATGTGTTTCGCCGAGCGGTAAAGGAGCGGTAAGTTTAGGCTCACCAACTAATATTGATCACTAATCGGTCATCCTTAGCCTTTAACTTCTTTTAAAAAGGCATAATTTTAGAGGTTGTGAAAAATTTTTCACATGGATAGTTTATTCTTCCAGGTTTACTATTCAACCACACGAGAGATTTTATTATCAAATTTAATAAAATTCGGTAGATTTTAAAATCAAATGTTTAAAAATTTACAAATGTGAAAGATGAAATCAAAAAGCAAAACATAGTCGTAAAAACGTTTAAATAAGGTTTAATGGCGTTGCGGGCGCGTCGCGGCAATACGCTTTCATACATTAAACGTAAAGCTGCAGCTTTTAGCGCCTGCCTCCCAGAAAAGCGTCTAGTAGCGTGACCTCTTAGGTAGTGCAAATGTGTTTCGGTCAGCTTTCAGTTTCAATTTGCACATTTAAGGATAATCGACCGTTGGAGCATCCCGCTATGAAGACCCCAACAAACCCACAAGCAAAATTGGAAATATCGCATTAAAAATGGTAGTAATATCTTCCTTCAGAGAGAGAGAGAGAGAGAGAGAGAGAGAGAGAGTGAGAGAGAGCGGGAGAGCGAGAGAGAGAAGGTATCTATCAAAAAAACTTGTTTCAGCAAACTTCAAATAAGGGTTACAAATTAATAGGATAATAGTAGATCTGCAGCCCCAATGCTTTGATCAATATTACCAATCGATTTGATCTCAAGCAAACCAGCAGGTGTAATAGTGAGATGGGGTACGGTAGCGGAGGGGAAGGGCACAGAATAGGGAGGACAAAGCGCACGGAAATGGCTCCCCTCACCGATTTGATTGGTTGATATGTCAAGGAAATATACACGCGCCGCTCTCTCTCTCTCTCGTTCTCTCTCTCTCTCTCTCTCTCTCTCTCAACCAAATCGGCGGGGGCTGTAAATCAGCTGCTGCGGCGCCGGTCGAGCCGATTTGCTCCTATCGACGATCACGAAACGATCCGATCATTTTTGGACGCGTGGAAAGGTCAAAGTAAGCAAGAGGAATTTCAGCAACAAATTTAAAATATATGTTCCAAGAAAATTATTTTCCGAATTGCCGCAGTAACTATTACTGAACTGAAGAAATTTATTGTTCCCAACAAAGCATGAAATATATCTTTGAAACCGTTGCTCAAAAAAATAGCAAAAGATGTTGTTTTGTTAATAAAAAGTTAGAGAAATTAAGATATGGCTTAAAGGGATCATGAAAATCAGAATAAAACGAGCTTTAGTTCTAAACTTAGTATAAATCTTCTCTGCTAGCTCCTGCTTCGCCCCACTCTCTCCTTATTTTTTGCATTATCATTTCCGGTTGGCACCTTGCCAATTATAGATGAGCCCTAATCTACTGGGTCTCCTTATCCCTTTAAACCCAGTCTTGAAAGAAATTGAAGAAAGGACCATGTAGGTAATACAATTATATCCTCTGACATTTTTAGTCGCTATAAAGTTTCTTGAAACATATGTTTTTGACCTATGGTTTTTGGACCTTTTTACAGCGAGTAGATAAAGATGAATTACGCATAAATAGTATAGCTAAACAGAGATAACCATGAATATAATACTAAAAACTAGAGTTTAAAATAGAGTTATTGAAAACGAAATTCTCAAAATTTTCAAAAATATTTTTTTTGAAAAGTTGGAGTCGGAAGTTTAACCCTCTTTTTAATGTATCTTGGCAACGTAAATGACAAAATTGTTCGATTTTTTGGATTATTAAAAATTTTTAAGAGGCTGCAGTAAGACCTATAAAATCTATTTGGGCGTATTTTTTTTGATAAAATACAGTAATGTAATCAATCGTTTTATGCTAATAGAATACGGTAGCCAGACAATTTAACAAAAGCCAGGAATCAATTTTCCAAACCAAGAAAACGCGACCCAAAGCAGATGCAAAATGACCGACTCGAAGGCGGATGACGAGGCGATGCTCTCTCGGCGAGAGGGACCAGAGAAACCGGGCAGATAGGGTGGATTTCGAGAGACCGAGACGAAAAAGGGGCCTCTTGCCCGCCTTTTCGGCGCGCTGAACATGATGCAATGTTGGGGAAGACGGGCACGGTTCCGGCACGTGCAGCCCCCCGCAAAGCAAAAATCGCCCTGGCTGCATGCCAATAGATTAGCATTACAATGGAAAGGGCAAGCAAAATTGGCAAAAAGTGTATTGAAAATTATTAAAATACAGCTCGTTGTTAACGATTTTAATACGTAGAAAGCCCACGCAAAACAAAAAACGCCCTGGCTAAACAGATTAGCTATGCAGTGGAAAGGACAAAATATTCTGAAAAATGTTTCGAAAAAATATGATTTTCAATAAATTTTTAAGGTTTGAATAGGTCGGACTCCCAGCTGTACAAAAATACCCATGGCTGCATGCGAGCAGATTAGCGCTACAGTGGAAAGGGCAAAATCTGTAAAAAGATGTTTCGCAAAATTATTGACATTCAAAATATTAGGGTTAAGTTAATGAAGTAGAGTTTTGAATCCGTAGAAGCCCCCACTGAACAAAAACCCCTCTGGTTGCATGCCAACATATTAGCACTACAGTGGAAAGAGCGAAAAATGTTGCAGAAAAAGGTTTCAAAAATCGTTAAAACCCAAAAAGTTTTCTAACGCTGTAATGCATACAGTATCGTACGACGAAACCCACGAGAAATCCGTTGATGTCTCCATCCATCTGACCAAGCAATAAATCGGAGCTAAGCAAAGAATTCAGCAAAAGACCGCTTCGAAAGAATTCTTTAAATCTGAGACTCGATGTTTTAAAGTTAAGGTAAATGCCGAGAAATCGAACCCGCGGTTAGGACCGGCAGATATTTCTTGCCCGAAAACACTCGAAGAAAATTGAGAAAATCTTGTGTTTCATATTTTTACAGATTTAAAGAAACCTAAAGCGCATCATTACTTGTGGTCGGTCTGAATACAAAACAGAACTTAATTAAGTCAATTTACTTAATAACAGAAATATGATTTTTTTCGAGCACAACTGGCGAAATGTTCGACTTTTGCAAACTTTGGTTAACTGGAGAGTTTTTCCACTTCAACGGTTCGTAAAATTCGCAATTTGTAAATACGTAATAATTCGTAATAAAATTTTAAAAATGCTAGGCGAATATTGTTATTCCGCCAGGCTACAAGCCACAATGGGGGCACATTTTTTTGGGAATCGTACGAATTTAATGGCTAACAATTCACCATCCCATGTTTGATCAGTAAGGTTGAAAAATCTGTAGAGTTCAAAATATTCGGTGAAACACCGGAAAGTAAAGTTACATATTTAAAAAAACCCCCGTGGCGTTCTATCGTAGTTTGATCGCGATTGTGGTCTCGACCACCCGTACCTGACCCCCCGATTCGAATGATAAGCAATAGGACGGCTCAAATAAAACCGAAATTTGGAGGGTAGTACCTTCTTGAAACGACCAGCTTTATAATTTTTAAAGTATCGTAACTCTTATTTTTTTATTGTGGGCATCTTTACATCAAGTACTGAAATGATAAATTTTCGATAGATTCATGCTTTCAAGAAACATATTTTCGCAGACTGAGAAAAACTGGTTGATTCTCAATCGCTGAAAACAAGCATGCCAAAGCTTTGATGAAACATATTTTTGCACGGGTGTTTCGGGTTTTGCGCGGGCGGTTGACGAGTTTCCACTACCACCCTGAATATTAATGTCTTTTCGTATTCCTAATGCATCTCTGTTAGCATTGTATCTTATTTAACACAAAAATAAACATAATAATCAGAGAACTGAGCAAAAAGTAACAAAAATATCTATTAGAAATCCTGATTTAGTAAAAACTGTCTTTTTCAATGTTTACACATTTCGAGCTCATCCCGTTGCAAATTCCATGTTCCAAAAATAAGCACTCATCAGGTAAAAGTACAAAAAAATAATAGTTTTTCTATGTTGTGTGTAGCTTCAAATTCAGATTTCAATGCTGAACATCAGCCGCCAGGAATGTCTATGCGACGACTTGGTGAACATCTGGGCCACCGGACTAGTGCAGAACAAAATCTACAAAATACACGCGTCGTGGGTTTTTATCAAACAACGAAAAATAACCTCATTTAATAGCATTTTCCCTACTTTTTTAGATATAAAAAGTGCCAAAATCCTCGTTATTTTGGTCAAAAACGTACGAAAAATAGTTTTTATAACTTTCTAGCAATCAAAAATTAATATAAACACTTTAAAAAGGCATTCTATATAATTAAATTGATAAAACAGATATTAAGTAAAAATAGATAATAGGTTAAGAAAAAGATGTTTCCACTTGCTAATCCCCCCGTACGAAAGATGAAATACGATGTTTCATCGCAAATATGATACTTAGTGGAAAATGCAAGCATTTCATGTTGACACAAACTAGACCTTTTAAAACTTCTTTATATCAAGTTTTTTTCAGCTTCAAACATCGCACCGGGACCCATTTTGCCTACGGCCTGTTCAAGGCTGACGCGAGGGGTACGGTGGATTTGAGTCGCGACAGGCCGCTCATCGGAACGTATAGAGGTTGGTTCCGTAATGGACGTGGCTTTAAAGGGGTTGGGAAGGCAAATTTGCATCATTTCGAAAACGGTGAAACGTTTGCCAAATAAAAAGTTTATGCCATAAAAAAGGAGTTGGACTAAGTTTGGTGTTTCAAGAACCGTGTCTGAAGTCAATCACTCTGGTTTAACGAGCATTTGATAATGTAACGATAAAGAGGTTAAAATAAATATGTTTCGCCAAGCCAATCATACCAATTGATCCGCACTGTCCCTTAATTAAAAATTTTTGCGTATACATTCGCCCGCGACACGTAACTTACGGTTCTTTTCCATTATCAGGGGGGCCTAATTTCCTGTGCCTTTAAATGCCTATTAAAATAAAAGCTGTAACATTTTCCGTTTAAGACTACTAAAACACAGTTTAGAAAAACTTCCTCTGTTTATTTCAGAAAAATGGATGCAAAAAACATTAATTCACATGATAACGCGAAAATACCACGCTTTCAAGGCATGGGAACGCCTTGAGAGTTCCTTAAAGTAAAAAAAAACAGTCGCAACTTTGTATTATTCAAATTTTGCTTTAGAAATCGATTCAATGGGTCTCTTTCACTCGATGGGCCCTGCCGAAGACGTTCGGCCCGGATCTACCGTATGGGCGACACCGCCTGAACCGTTTGTCTACACCATCAAGTAAGATTTATTTTCAATTTATTTTTAAGCTAATATACCAATTTATATCCTTAAAAATCCAAGCACGGTGAAAAAATTCCATAGATTTTTAATTTTTAATATTGAGCTTCGAAAGATTTATTGAAATCGAATTTTCACATTTTTTTTGTGATTTTTCGCCTTTAAAATTGGCCCAGTACGTACGATTAGCAGCAATCAAAGTAAAAAGAAATGGCAAGAAAAGTGAAACAATTAAATTTAAAATTGCCAAAAAGAACAAACTCACGAGTTTTATTAATAGCTTGGAACCAGTATTTAAATTTTTGGAATATAACATCGGTTTTATGCATTTCCCGACGTTAGTTTATTTTATGAGCGCGGTGCTTTTTATGATGTTTCAGTCGAAAACGAGTTCAGCGCAGTGAGAATTATACTAATCAATACCATCATGCGCTGCTACCATTGCTACATTAAACAATTACATTTCAAATTGAATTAAAGCAATTAAACTCATTGAAGGTTGGAGCTTGCGCATTATCGTGGGGGGGGGGGCGCAGAAACCCTGCAATTTTGGTTAAAAAATACAAAATGTAAAGCTTTTCCATAAAAATGGCCAATTTTCTACCAAATTTATCAATACTTTTAAATAGTTAAATGTACTAAAAACACTATTATAATACTTTAAATTACGTTAGGACCCTGGTAGGAAAAATTAATTTTTTTACTTTACCTGATTTTAACTGATTTTTAAACAAAATCCCATTATTCAATAAGCTTTTTATGGCGCATATTAAAAGCATTACAAATCTGCTGAAAAGTGGCAAACAACTAGGCAATGGCACAAACTGAAAGATAAACTAACAGGTAGGCAGGCGGTTTGCATCTCCTGGCTCGGCGAAACATACTTATTTAGCGGAAAATTTCTATTTTTTTAGAGGTTGCAAAGATGGAATGCATTTCTTTTTTATCAACATAATTTAAATCATTAAAATCTAGATTACTGGGCGACAAAGAAGCGCTACTAGACGAGCTGAAACATACGAGACACTGGAAGCATCCACTCGTTAGGAGTATCGACGTGGAAAATGAGGACTTGACCGGGACTGTTTATCTACCCCCAGGTGCGTTAATGTAAATTCTAAATTTTTTATCTACTTTTTAAATTCAAAATTTATAATTATTGGGCTTTGGGCTAGCCGTATCGGTTTTATTTGGCTTCTGCGTCCCATGCCGATTAAGGTCACTAATTCCTGCCCTACCCTATTTTTTCTAGAAACAAATTATTTTTACAAATTTCCAATTTCATTAATTTGGTGGCGAATCGAGCTCCATTAAATTTGTAACGTGCTCTTGCCCATTAAATCAATAATTACTGCCGGAGCCCACTTTTTTCCAGAAACACATTATTTTCGCAAATATTTCGAAATACCAGTAATTTAGTTGCGAATCGAGCTCCATTAATTTTATCTTGCAAGTGCACTTACATCTTAATTGCAAGGCTAAACGGGTAACAGCTAAGAAACAACTTCAAGAAGTAATAAAATGGGTGAGGATTGATTCGACCCGTTCAATTAACGAAACATACCCTCTGGACAACAAAACAATTTTTGAAAAAATGTCGGGGCGTTGGTTATATTCAGGAAAGACTCTTGATAACAAAGAAAATACGGGGTTTTTCGTTGAGTACCGTAATCCTTTGAAATTTGTAAGACTGGAGGAGCTATGGGTTTTTCTTCCTTTATTCTGCAGTAACCAGCCATTTCGGCATTAAAGTCGCTGCTTCAAGCCTTAATCTATTTTTTCCAGAAACATATGATTTTTGCAAAACTCCGATATTCATTTCAGGCCCGGGCCCATTTCCTACCGTAATCGATTTCGCGGGGACCGGTGGAGGCATTCGACAGCATCGAGGAGCTCTACTGGCCTCGAGGGGTATTTTTAACGTGTTTTTTAACCAAATTTAAAACCTAATTTAATGGTTAATTTCCAACGTAATGTTACCGACAGCCCTAGATTAATGTTATGCTTTTGCCTTTTGTTCTGGCGTTCGAGGATCAGGATTTCCTCAACGGGCTTTTAAAATGAAAAATTTAAAAGTTTATCATAATTTTACTAAAATTTTTTTCCTACCGTCGTTTCGTACATATTTTGAAACCAGCATTCGAGGGGCATTCCCCCGTTTGTTACAGTTTCTATTCTAATAAAATTTTTATAAGCTTCGTTGATGTCTACTTTAAATTTGACAACTTGTTTTAATTTCAATTCAGTTTTTCTGTAGTTAGTCGATTTAACTAATTTTTATTTTTGTTTTTACAGTTTCATAATTTTAATTTAATAACCAGCGCACAAAGCCCGCTTCGCCGGCCTTGGGCGCTGGAATGCGGCCTTTGCATGAGAAATTTGACTTTCCGATAGCTTTCGGTCCTTCGGACCCCTCCCTTTCTCCGACCACACCCGCGTGTGCAACTTGCAAGAATGAGGAAATTTGTATTTTTTGGGATTATGCAAAGTAGCCCTCCCTGGCGCCGGACACACACACACAGAGATACACGCCAAAATTATATAAGGTAGGATGTGCACTTTCTCTAGGTTTCGCCACCCTTGCCCTCCCATTTTTCGGCTACAAAAATCTACCCGCCGACCTCGAGGACGTCGACGTCAACTATTTTTTGGTAAACTTTTTATATGTTTTTTATTTTTGTAAACGGGCTTGCCTATCATCGAATCAGTTCATTTTTAAAACGCAGCTACAACTTTTTTATGAAACATAGTTTTACAAACAAAAACAAAAATATAATCAATTTCTAGGTTGATCTTTTTGTTAACTATTGCAGTGATAGGATGATTATATCTATCATGTATCTTTTAATTGATAATTAGCATTAGCAAATTGAATGGATTTTTAATGGAAATCAAATTATTTTATTTTGCATCGAACGAGAGATGAAGCAGCCAGGTTTAAAAATTGTGTTTTGAAAATTTAAAATATTTTGGCGCAGCTAAATTCATTAATAATCATTCGAGCCCTATGCGAAACATATTGATGGTAAATGGTGATATCTAGTTGAATCGAGCTATTCAACACTTTTCAAAATTTGCGTGCAAATATGTTTCGTGTCTTAAGGTTACCGCGCTGGTCTGGGTTATGCTAATTGATACTCTTGATGATAAATAGAAAAATAGGGCGAATAAATAATAATAATAACCTAGAAAGCGATCGATTGGCTGGCGCGGCAGCCGTTTTGCGGAAAAATCGGAATGCAGGGCAACTCGTTTGGCGGGGTCGTTTGTTTGGCAGTGGCCGATCGGACTGACAAGGTACGGTAATGTAAAAAACTTTAATTGCGCTGAATCACAGATGTTGATTAAATTATAGGGTTTAAATTTTCTTAGTTATGACAGATAGCAGCTACATACATTTTTAAAACCGGCTTCGCGCCCGCACAATTTCAGAATTTTTAACCCGATAAGCAATAAAATGCAAATTAAAGGCATAAGCAAGTCAGAAAAATAATTTGCCTTCCTCGGGATAATTTCCAATTCTATTGCAATTAAATTAACTTCAAAATCGGAGTATAAAAATTGGTAATAGCTTCAATTCTAATTAGAATTTAACATCACTAAATTCATGTTTTTTTTGTAGATATCGGCCTACTGTATCATCAATTCTCTGCACGTGATGGATCCGAACGCGCGGATACGCGCTGACGGAGAATTCATGCCGTGTGCCGAGTAAGTGAAAATATGTTTTAATGCCTGTTTGAATTGGATTAATATTTTCCAGGTGAATAATGAAGGAAAGAAGCTGGTAATTAATCGATTAAACGGTATTTCAAGAATCCACAGCTTTAATTCCTTGTTTTTTTATACAGCGAGGAAAACAATTTTTATTTCTTAATTGATTTTCTTAATTTTCTTTCATTAGTACGCTAACTAATTTTATTTAGTTGAAACCCAAATACTTTTTTATCAAGAGTTTTTATGAGGCTACGTTTTATATAGGGCGAAAAAAGATGATATGGCTAAATACTGTAAAAGCTACGCAGCGATACTCTGGATATGACTGAATTATGCATGTTAGCAACCGGTATCACAATATTAAACAGGACTAATACCTGATCAGCCATATTTGTGAAACATTTTTTCTCATTTTTGGGGAAATTTTTTTAATTTTTGTTGCAGGCTTCCAATGGATCTGGAATACCATTTCGAGGACGAGGCCCTCATCTACCGTACCACCACCGAGAAATTGCACGAGACCCCGGAATCGGAATTCCGATTTCGCGGATGCGCCCCGGGGACAATGTTTCGCTTTGTGGTCGGTTTATCGTATTTTCTTATTTTTAGACTTAGTTAATTTTATTTTTCGTTCTTAAACGTAAAAATTCTACAAATTTCGGTAATAAATGCAAATAATAACGATTTTCGATCAAAAACCGCCGTATTTTACCAAATTTCTAAGTTTTCAAAGTTTTAAAAAGGTTGTCGATTCAAAAATAATATAGTTGCGCAAACAAAAAACTACTATAAAAACTTGTTATTATTTTACTAGAAATTTCTGAAACAGAAAAAATTAGTCCCCACTCGCCGATAATGCGCAAGACCCTTCTATATTTTTCCTTCCTATTTGTCGGGATCGAAGTAAAGTATTCTTGCAATATTTGATAAGAATAGACTTTGAAACATATGTTTATAATGAAAATATTTTTCCTCCAATAATTACATTTTTTAAGCTATAAAATCCCTAAAATACCTCTTTCCAGGCGGCCATCGATGACCTGACGACACCGGCCGTCAAATCGGCCAGGATCTTGGAGGAGCGGGTTAAAAAATTAGGTAATTTTCTTCACTCTTTTTCGAACTAGTAAATAAAGTTTAACTTATCGAATTAAAAACAAAATCAGAAAATTATTTTTACTGAGAGGAACTTTCAATGATTTTTTAAAATTAGATCTTAAGTTTATCGCTTAAAAGGGCGCTTAAAAAACGAAGTTAAATCCATCAGAACTTAAGATGACACAAAAACAGTAGTCATTACGCTTTTCTCGTCCTCTCCAAAGCATTAAAAATTTGAAACATTGACTTCGTTGATATTTTTTTAGGCTTCTACGCCGAGGTAGACGAAGTTCGAGGAGGACACCTTATTGAAGCCACCTCTCTGCCCCATATGCACTACATCTATTCCGGATTTATAAGTACGTTATGGCCATTAAACGGCCGAAAACATCATACACCTCAGCCGCCAATTTTCCAAAAAAATGTTGCGGTCTTTTACGGCAAGATACCAACCAAAAGCACAATTATTGTCAACTGGCTTTGTGCCTTCAAAAATGCGCAATTTTCCAGACGGTTTCCAAAAGTACGGCTGTGAGGATCCGTACACGCACTGTAAAAGCCAGCAGGGCGTTTGGGAGCGCAGTAAGGTATGTGAAAATCTCTCGCTCTCTCACTCACGCCGTCTCCCTCTCTCCCACTCACACGCACTCTCTCTCTCTCGCTCTGCCTCTCTCTCACTCGAGATCTGTTTCCCACTCTCTCTCCCTCGCTCGTTCTCTTTCTATCTTTCCCTCACTTTTTCTCACATTCCGAAACGATTTCTGCAAGCATGCTGGTCTAACTGAACTGCTTGCTCTCGACGCGATCTATCTAAACCCTCATAATTGCAGAAATTCTTTGCCCATTCACTCGGCCAGCCCACTCCGCTACCACCACTTCATCAAGAATCCAGCCGGCTATAATAATTCATTAGGGTGCGAGATACTGTATTCAATATTACAAAAATATATATCATCATCGATAGTTCATCTCACACTGGCGAAATACAAAGAGAACGTTAAGAACTGTGCTAATAGCGGGGGAGGGCAACAGCAATATACCAATTAAGGGGAAATAGTAATGGCCCGTATTTGGAGTGGGAATAATTGGGAGATAGTGAGAGAGAGAGAGAGAGAGAGAGAGAGAGAGAGAGAGAGAGAGAGAGAGGAGGGAGAGAGAAATAAGGGTGTGAGAGCTAGAGAAATGAGGGTGAGAGAGCTAGAGAAAGGGAGAGAGAGCTAGAAATGGAGAGAAAAGATTAAAAAAAATGAGAGCCGCCGAAAAAGACTACTGCAAATAGCCATTCACAAAAATTGACAAAATATACGTGTTAGCGCCTAGAAACGGAGATGGGGCTTGGCCTTGGCGATGTGGCGGTCGAGGAGGTCCCAGAAGACCTGCAGACGGGCGCGGTCAAGATGGCGCTTGTCGCGTGAGAGGGCCAGCACTTTTACCTGAAAAAAAAAGTTTTAACGCCATAAATTAAAGTCAGCAAATAAACATTAAAAGTTTTCATTAAATTATACATTTCTAGCCCTAGCTTATGCGTAACTTTGAATCTTTCATAAATATTTAATTTTAATAACTGAATCAAAAATTACAAACTGCATTAAAATGAAAATTAAAACGAAATTTTTTCGAGGTCCATCCTACTTCATCAAATACACGACACGTTCATAGCTAGTCGAATTTTTAGTATTTTTTAAACATGAAATAAAAGCTAGAAATCTTTATTTAAAAAGGTTTTGGCAAAAAATATGATCAAAAATTTTGGAATTAAATGGCAAAAACAGTCCACACAAAAATGATTAATTAATTAAATGAAACGTCGATAATAAAAAAATTGAAAATCACTTACCGACCACTTGGCGACATTCGGCTCGACGGGCACGTTGTCATAGGCCAGATGGAAGCCAGCCACCTAGAAATCCCAAATAAAACCAAGAAAATTTCAAAATTACATTGTTAAAGATCTCGGTGGGGTTGCCGTTCCATCGGGGCCAGCCTTTGAATTGCCAAGTCGGACCCTGGAATTGAATATTAGTAAAAATAAATGTAAATTACAGCTTACCAATGCAAAAACGGCGACCACTCGGTCCCATTCCTCGCTGGTGAGCCGTTGTGGGGTGTCGACGACGCGGTAGGGGACTGTTTGACCGCCCTTTCTTCGTTGGATCAATACCTGAAAAAAATGGGTATATGAGAATCATCGAACGCGAGGGCTTATAATTTTAGAAAGAAGAGAGAGCGATAGAGCGAGAGATAGAGAGAGAGGAAGAGGGAGGGATAGAGAGAGAGAGAGTAGGAAAAACAGCAATCCGATAGATCACAAAAATCAAGATTTGTAGCTTATGAAAAGCTTACCTCATTTTCCCGCTTTCCCTGCTGCTTGCGCACGTCCTCAGCGGTGAAGCTGAGCTCCTGAAATCAGGAAAAATTACATTTCCGCCTGATGTCATCAAAAATCGGAAATTCAACAAACGATTTCGCGATGAAATAGCCGATACTTTAGAATAAAAACCTATTTTTTAGAGCAAACGCATGGACAGCGCTTTTAGGAGCGTGAAGTGTAAAATAAATCGGGGAAAGCGCAACCGCGAGCTTTTCATCGCGTAACGGATTGGCGGGGCATCAAAACGCAAATCAGGGCGAAAAATACCTGCAAAATGTCGCGGACGTTGTACATCGAGATGATCGAGTGCTGGTTCGTTGACGCGGGGATGATGATGATCGGCGTGCGTTGCGTCCGCTTCTTCGGGGCACCGCTGGAAAAGAGAAATTAATAAAGTTAAACTGCACGATCAAAACTTGGTTTTTTGGGTTTGCTAGCGGTGGCGAAAAAATTGAGCAAAGGCCAGAAGCTAGTTTTTTTTACTTTTCAAAACCCACCATTTCTATTTTAGACCCATTTTTGCAAATTTGTGATCGAAGAAACACCTCAATTTTTCGAAAATGTAAACGCTTAAAATATCTATACACCCACGCTAATAGTCCAGAACGCGAGAAATTAGCGAAAAATCACTTACTTGTCTGTGGAAGAGACCGAGGGCTGTGACTGGGTGAGCGGGCCACGATTCGCGGGACCTGAAAAAATATTTTAAAAAAACGAAAATGACCGCAAAATAATATTTGACCAAAAAAACGTACCTCCAGCCAAGGGTCTCTTCTCGGGTGATGTTTTCATGTTGGTGCCGACGAACGTCATCTCAGCGCCGAAGTCGTGGTCGTTCCTGTAAAAAGATGTAGTTGCGATCGTCCAGGTAACCAGTTTTTGTTTGTTACGGTATGCAAATGCTAAAATCTCCTATTTTACAGCCTGCATTCAAAAAATATCAATACTTTTCAAAGTCTGCTTTAATCAGAAAACCAGAAAAAGCAAGTTTTCTTAGCGTGCCCGATTAAATTAACTTTAAAAGCTGCAACAAATTTGAGACTCTTTTATTGTGCCAACTAAAAAAGGAAAGCAGCTTATAAAGCTAAAAAGTATAAAGTTTAATGCTTTGCAAAGCATATTTCGCCCAGAACCGGGAGACCCGGCGATTTTTCTATATAAAAACTGTTTTACTTTCTGTCAAAGTCTAGACCTTCTTAATAAAAAAACTAAAGCTCACTTGTCAAACTGCTCCTGGTCGTAACGGGAATACCCGAGCTGGTTCTTCTTCCCCCGATTCGGGTCCTAAACAAAATTCTCGAAAAAAACTCGCAATTATTACCATCTTTTGTTGCTGGCCGCCGAGTGCCTTGTTGCGTGCCTCCGTCTCTTCGCGCGTCTAAAATCAGGTACACGAAGTTGAAAATATTTTAACCTTCAAGCCCTGGATCATCTGGAGACGAAGGAGAAATTGCTGCCCCTGGCCAAGCTCTCCATGCAGTTGCTTCGCGTGTGCCAGACGCGTTCCACTTTCTAAAAAATTTAATTAGACTAAAAAAATATTAAAGAGATAATTAGAAAGATTCTCGAGCTATTTTCGTGCACTTGGACAATGTCCATGCATCCAAGATGGTTTGGTAATCAAATAAACTATTTTTAGACGAGATTTTGAAAAATTCAACAACAATCTAAGCAAAAACTCTCGGCAAAAGTGCCCTTTTCGAAAAATCGGCTATTTTTGTCCAACCAAATTGATTTTCGGCATAAATCGGTCGTTAATTACGAATTTCTGAGTTTTCCTATTCAAAAATGGTTCAAAACGCCATCTAAACATAGCCGAAGAAAAGTAGGGGGAACGAAAGCCATCGTTTTTGTAATCCAAGCAAAAACAAGAAGAAAAGTAACCTAAAACCATACCCGAATATCAGAAGCGGGTCGAGGCACCGCTTCACCGGTTGTGATGTCCCTAGAAAAAATACGACTCGACAAATATAGTCACAAAACTCACATATCATCGAGGACCGTGGTGCGCTTCTGATGGTTGGCCTTCTTCTTTCGGAGGGCGGCGATCTAAAAAGAAAACTTTCATTTACCTTTAATGATATTATAAATTCTAGATCTATACCTTGTCGGCCGTCAGGTTATCGCTGAGCGCGCGCAGATTCGACTCATCAACGGCAGGCGTCGCCGATCCGGCCTAAAAAAAAATATTCTGAAAACTCACAAAAATCCTACCTCTCGTTGCACTGTTGCCTCGGCGCTGGGGTCGAGCTTGGCGCGTTTGCGCTCCGGTTCGAATTCCTAGGAAAAAGGCATATGTCTAAGAAATGTCTTTACTTGAAATCTGGAGGCCGGGATGGGAGGCGCAGTCTGGGCGAGACGATCGAAATTGGTGGGCACTTCTTGGCGATCGCCACGCAGGTAGTCGAGCAGGTCACGTCTAGAAAGAACAGAATTTTATTGAGATTAAATGAACAGATTTTATTTTTGCTATAACTATCTTATATTCCGTTATTTTTCGCTAAAATTAAAATTCTTAGTTTGATTTGTCGATGCCTATTTGAATGGCGCTGCAAAAACGTCGATAAAATGACGAAAAAGAACTTTCTTCTTCTAAAAATGCGTAAAACAACTAATAGTAATAAGAAGCATCACAACAAACCGATCGGGACGCCCGACGGCTCGGATTGACTTTCCGGCCGCCTCCTTCACGTAGGCTGGATGGGGAATGTCGCGACGTTCCCAGATGAAGTACAGCGACTCCAGCGTGTAGTAGTCATCGGTGCGGCCTGAAAAAGGATAAATACTTTTATAATTTACTTTACTTTATTTAGTAAGAAAGACTAATAAATTGCGTGCTTTTAGCAAGAAAACCCATAAATTGAATGCACTAACGAATAAAACTAAGCGAAACATAGAAACCAACCATAAATTGTGAGGCTCGTCTTGGCGTTCTTGTCGTAGGCAATGTCGTCGAACAGGTAGTACGTGTCGTTGCCCTAAAATTGAATAAAAAAAAGTTAAGGACCGCCAATCCCAACCTGAACAATCTCCTTGAAGGTGCGCCGCCCTAGCGCGTATTCGCGCAACACTTGCAGTGGGTCGGCCATCTGAAAAATAGGTTTTAAAAGGTATAGATGCTAATAAAGATAAGAAAAACAATGAAAAACCTATAAAAAAGTGCCAAAAGCTGACGGGCTTTACGAAACGAAAAGTGGTTGGGGCAGCGGATCCATAGGTGTAGTTTGTAGCACCGGAATGGGCCGGGAATTCAAAAGGTAGAAAGTGGAAGTAGAAAATTTCTAGAACGTGAAAATACATGAAAATTAATATGAAGCAAATTGAAGGAACGTGTAAACAGTAAAACATATTTAATCTACAGAATACCGATTCTCAGGATTCGAATATAAAGAAACATTACAATAAAAAACCACAGAAAAACGATATCAGTAATTATAGAGGCAGAAAAATAAAAATTAGCTTTCCCATGATACATAAAATAGCATCCGGACGGATGAAATCGTTAAATTGCTCATTTCCTCTGCTCGATGGGCTTCTTCACGGTGGTGTTCCTGATGGGCGTGGCCGGTGTCTTGGGCTACGGATATGCCAAGGGATTTTTCGACCCGTATATGGAGGTATTGACTTGAAATTTTTACATTTTCTAGATTTAAACCAGGGTTGAAAAGCCGCTTCGCGACTTTTCAACCCTGACCCCGTCTCGGACCCCATACTATTCTGCCCTTTGCATAATTGTCCTCCATTCAGAAGACAAAAAAAATTAAAAACAACCCTTTCTGCCTCTTTATATAGGCGACGGCTTACTTCCGATGTATGCTAATTATTCCTAACAAAAAGGTTTTTACAAAAACCTAAATTTAATGGCGAAAATGGCTAATTTTTAAAAATCTGATATGTGTGCAGTCATCCCTAGACCATTATGCACCTAATGACGTATCATACGTAGCCTAATACCCGTTCCTTCTTGAGATATCCTCCGGACAGACAGACGGAAGTGGATGCAAAGTGGCACACACACACACACACAAACACACAAACACTATTTTTTTATATATAGTAGGATATTCCATTCAAAATGAATCAGCCATTCGGGAAAACGCGAAAAATTAAAAAAAGATGTTTTATAAATTTTGAAAACGCGCTTTTTTTCCTTGGTGGACCAATGGCTTTTTCTCCTTGTTTAGTTTACTAAAGCGATTATTACAGATGCTAATATTTTTTTAATTCATTCGCGTGATTGGGTGCTATAGTAGATATTATCGGGGGAGGGGCTATTTTTTTTTTTATTGGTTCAGAAATGCCTAGTAATAACTCTGTAATAACGAATATTTTAATAGTTTTTTAAACCCTTTTTTAAACAGTAGAAATTTTGGTAGAAAAGGCCATTTTTTTAATCGAAAATCGATATTGTTGTATTTTTTAATAAAATTTTCCATGGTTTTTACGTTGAAGAATCATAAAAACAGGTTAAAAACGTCTCCCCTATTTATATATTCAAAAACCGGATCCTAAATAAAAAGTAGCCCCCCCGATAATGCGAAAGCTCCCAGAAAAGCGAGAAGATACGCTAGCACACTCTAATTTTTCTCTCCGCTACCGCCCCCCCCCCGCTAACAGTCCAGTACCCCATTTTTTCCAGAAGCTGAAGCAGCCGCCGGCGTTCCAGAATCCGAACGGTGCCCTCCCGCCACAGTGACGCATTAATGGAAGGAGGCTCGGAACGAAGAACTATCAAATCAACCCTACCTCTCCTTTTCTACCGTATACTTGTTGTGCACGATAAACGAATTTAATTTGTTCTTTTTTGTTATTTTACTGTGACACGTTGTTTTGCTAACTTTATTCAAAACAACTTGAAGAAACCTAAAAAGGTATATTTCCCGAAAAATTCCTCCTAAAAATACGAAAATGTGATATAGTCGACGAGGTGGGCCGGCAGCAGTCACTGGCTGAAACATTCTTTTGGCTAATTATTTTTTACGGTTTTAGTTTTAATTTTTTAGTTATTTAATTTAGTTAAAGAGGTGTTAATTTTTGTCTTAGCTTTGGTTTTATAATTAATATAAGGAGATAAATTTGACAAAGTCGGGTAGGTACGGCTTTAAAAAATGATGAAAAATAATGTTTCTCCGATATTTGATTTTTCGAAAATTTGATTGGAGACAATGGTCCTGCTTTTTTCTGATGCCCAATTTTATAAGATACACTTTATTTAGTTTCAAAAATAATATAGACGCCTTGAGAGATTTAAATTGCTGAACTTTGGTGTTTTAAGAATGGCAGTAAAGAGCGGCCTTTAGACCTCACTGCACTTTTATAAAGCATCTCCTCTAGTAAAATGCTATATTTTTTTAATCGTCGTAAAGAATAAATTAGGATTTGCCATTAAGATTTTAGTGATTTAAGGGTTGAAACCAATTTAATTTAATGCCTAAAATAATCAATAATAAAAAATACCTTTCATTTTGCGGTTTCTCGACATCCGGAAGTCCCTCCTCCTCGAGAATGATCGATAGGGTATCGACAACCCCGCTCTCGGCCTCCTCGGCTTCATCATATCCACAGCAACCCCCCGAGCAGGTACAGTAACCACAGCATTGACTGCAAATAATAGACTAGATCGAAAAAGGTGTAAACATTTTTTTTCATAAGGCCTTCAACTTTTGCATAAAAAAATATGTTTCGAAAACTTATGAATTGCGAGAAATTTGACCAGCCGGAATTTCAAGTTCTTAACCTTGATTCAAAGTTGCATGAAAAAAGATGTTGTAAAAAGCCTAGAATCACATATTTTTTCAAGAACTAAATTTTTAAAAGCATGGAAATTCTCCATATCGGTACCGTTTCTGTCTATCCTCGGCCTCATTTTGCTCTTGCTCCTCCTCGTTCTCCTCGACGAGCTCGAGCTTGACCGCTTTTTGGGTGGAGAGCTCTTCACCATCATCGTACCCACAACATCCACAGCATCCCGCACAAGTTGCGCACGTACAGTAACCGCAGCATTGACTACAAAGTACAAAGAAAATTAAAAATCAAGAAATGCGATTTAGCTTCTACTTTTCGTCGCCGAAACCTCGAGCGCATTATTCTGACTTACGGAAATTACCTGAAAGATCAAAAGTTCAGAAAGCGCTACAAAATGAAGAAAGCGTAAAAGTTTTCTTCTTAAAGCCAGTTGAAACATTGAAATGAAAATATTTCCCCCGCAAAATTCACCGTTTGCTCCTCTCGTTCACCGGATCGCCCAGCTCCTCCAGGCATTCCGGGCAAATCGGATCATCAACTTCCGGTCGGAATGGGGCTTCCTTAAATTGGGTAGCTTCGTGTGTTTTTCGCTATAGGGTAGCTTTTATCTTAGCTTATCTTTTTTTGTATTGTATCTGCCCTTTTATAAGCTTTTTGCGCTGTTTTTGCCGATACTTTCGGCTTAACAAAATTGTGTTTCATGTACCTCTGAAATAAAAAAAATAGCGTGGTTATTTAATCGGTCGAGGCTAGCAATATTTTCAACTAAATATTTAAATGTAAACACACTCTGCTAGCTTGCCGACAAAGCGGCTATTAATGCGCAAAAGACACAATTTTTGGCTTGTTACTTTTTGCTTTTAACTTTCTTCCCTTTTAAGCTACGAAAACCGTAGTCGAAAAAGAGTGTTTTATGGCTTTACGTGGTCGTAAATTAAGAATGGTGCGAAATTTATGCCTCTCGGTGAGCTTAATGAATCCTATATTTTATTTGCTAACTTGCCTTTTTCTCCCTCTCCCTCTCCCTCTCCCCCCCCTCTCTCTCTCTCTCTCTCTCTCACTCACTCTCTTTCTCCCTCGCTTACCTTATCTTCCCCATAAATCTCAGCATTATTGATCGGCTTCACGAATCGATCGATATCAACGGGAACTCGGCTACTCGCCAGCGGAATCAATAACAGGGGAGAGAGCGAGAGAAGCAGACATTTTGGGGCCATTCCTGGAAAGTTACGATTATGGTAGGTTTCAAGCAACACCGATTAATGTCAGAATTGGGCGCGCAACATTCATTTTATGGGAAACATATATTTTTCATGACGACAGGGGGCCGAAATTTCGGTTCTTTAGCATTATCGCGGGGCCCACATTTTTTGCATAAATCTAATTGCTTAGCAACTTAATAGAAAGTATTTTTATACTGTTTCTGATACAACAAAAAAATATTTGAACTTGAAAAACATCTAAAACTGCGAAAAAAATTTTCAAAAAATCGAAATCCCGGGCAAAAACGGCAAATTTTGGTTGAAAAATCGATCTTTATTGAGTTTTTAATAAAATTCGCAGATTTTTTTAGTTATCAGAGTAGTAAACCACGTTTTCGAATTGATGTTAGAAACAATTTATAATAGAAAATCTCCTGCCAAAAAGAATTAGCCCCCCACCGATAATGCAAAAGCACCCGAGTTTAATTTTACTGTTTGTTTTAAAAATTTAATGTTTTGTTGGACGTCGATACCTAGAAAAATGACCAGCGACGTTAATCCAACATCGTAAAAATCTATGTTTCATCAATTTTTAAAAAAAGTCAAAATTGTTTTAATTTAATTGTGGAGAAGTAGGCAAGTTCACCAAAAAACTGATGAATTCCCATGGCTAGGCTGCCATTTTATACACGCCGTGGAAGTTGCTTAAAATTCGGGGTAAATAACTAAATGTGAATATAAGTGGGCAAATAAATAACACGGCTGCAGCGGACAAAGATATGCAAATTTGGGGTAAATACAGCCGGGGATCAAGCTGGCAGCGTACACAAATATTGGGGATTTTTTAAGCTTTTCTTTTAAGGTAAATATACCTTACGTAATCTTGGAGGCGAGATCAGCGCCAGCTTTTCTGTTGTATTTGCAGCATACCTTAGCTCTCTTTATGAAACCCCTAAGATTTTATAGTTGCATATTTCCCTGAGTAACCAATTTTTCGAAAATCAATAGGTTTTGGTATCAACAATTCCCTTTCTTAAAATCCAGGGATTAATTTTTATAATAATGATGTAAAAAAAAAATAATAATCCTACTATATATAAAAAAATAGTGTTTGTGTGTGTGTGTGTGTGCCACTTTGCATGCAACTTCCGTCATTATGTTCCAATCGTATCTCGATAGGTGAGGAAGTTAAGGGTATGTTTGATACGCCAAAAGGTGCGTAATGGTCATGACACGACTGCACACATATCAGATTTTACAAAAAGTGCTATTTTCGACATTAAAATTAAGTTTTATGAAAATCCGGGTCCCCCTCTTTGTTAGGAAACAATTTGCATGCGCCGGAAGTGGCGATAGCCTATATAAAGGGACAGAAGGGGATGTTTTTCATTTTTCGGCATGGGTGATTCCCGAAAAATATGCAATGTGCAGAATTTCATCGGATCATACGCGGCCAGGGTTGAAAAGTCGCGAAGCGGCTTTTCAACCCTGGTTTTATAATAATAATGTAAAAACGTGTTTCAGGAAATTGCGTGCATGATACAATTTTTATTTGAAGAATAGATGTGCGAATGGGTATTTTCCACTGGGGGCGAAATTTCAGAATATCGCAAGTTTCATAACCATATTTCCCGGAAACCCTCAAATACTATGCAAAAAATGCCGACATTTTAAAATTGAGACATTGCGAATGTCGACACGACGAATTTTGACATTATAAATTTCAACACGGATGAATTTTGACATTACTATTTTTAGCACTATCATTTTGGACATTATGAAACTTGGGCCTTATGAATTTATACACCATGAATTTGGGCATTATGACTGGACTTTAATTGCAATATTTTATTTTAAGAACTGTAATTTTGACGCGAAAACGCAGCTAAAAACCTAAAATAATGGACAAGAGAAAACGATAATTAGCATAGGTTAATTTTGCTACAATGCCAAGTGACAATAGTGCATTGATTAGAATATCGATTTGAGTATAACACGCGTAATTCCTCATTTTTCCCCACTCGTTTTCCTACTCGACCGGCCAGATGGGGACCGAGGTGCGCAAATTCCAGCTGCAGTGCGAGCCCGCCGGAAAGGTATCGACGTTTTTTGAAATGTTGGAAATGCATGCACACGGATTACGTTGAATTTTTGGAAACTATATTGAATTCGGGCTGAAACATTCAAAATTAAACTTCGAGCATCACAACCACTTTTCGTCGGAATTTTGGACCTTAAGTTTGCACCTGCTTTTATTTTTCCACGACTTTTTCATCGTTTTTAGGTATGTAAACGCCCACAAAAGTTAAGAAATTTATATATATATATATATATATTGAAGTTATTTAGGTTTTTGGTAAGACTAGTAAAATTTTCTAGATTAAAAAATATTTTCGACAAATTTCTAGAAATCAAGAACTGCTTAAGAACAAGAACACTTTAAAATACACTGTATATTATCAACAGGTAAGCGGAAAAATAAACAAAAATTACCCCCCGCTAATAAACCAGTACCATTGCAGCTGAGCTTCACGCGGGACGCGGCGACGGGCGCCGTCCGCGCCAAGCTCAAGATCACCAACAAGAGCGACACGCGCCAAGCTTTTAAGGTATCTGTTTGTAGTTTTTAGTCCAGTGCAATCCTCTTTTCAGGTGAAATGCACGCGGAACGACCTGTTCAAGATTCGGCCATCGATGGGACTGCTCGAGTACCGCGAGGAGGCCATCGTCGAAATTGAGTACAGGTAATAGGGTACTGGACTGTTAGCGGGGGGGGGTGCGGTTTTAGTAGGTGGAAAACTCATTTTTGTTTTTGCATATTTATGTACTTGTTAGTCATAAATAGTATATTTTTACAATGTTTTAGTAGTGATTTATTGCTAGAAAGTTACAAAAAATATTTTACACATTTTTGTAAATTCGAAAATCTTTACTTTTTTTGTCATTTTTCATACATTTTGGATCAACGATTCAGAAATCTTCCTAAATTATTAGAATTTTTGGGACTGTTTAGATGTAAAAACTATGTAACATGTTATAAAAATTGTCTAGATTTTTTTATTGGGCCGTAGAGAATGACAGTTCACAGTTTTTCCACATGTTCGGCATGAAATGGACCCATCAAGCGTTGACGACGCATTAATGACTGTCATTATTGGCTAGCCGCGCCTTTTGAAATCGTAACACCTGATTTTTTTCAGGCCAAAAGAAGGCGAGGTGCCCGACGAGGAGCGCCAGCACTTTGGCGTCTACCATATCCCCGCCCCGGAGGGTATCTTGCTTACTGAGGAGTGAAACATGCTCTTTTCTAGGCTGCACGGCTGAGGGTGCGTGGATGGAACACTACGGACAGCCACAGGGCGATACACGCCTTCGCGTTCGCTTTGACGTCCCCAAGGTGGGGATAGCAGAGATTCTTGAGGAAAGATCAGGGCAAGCTAGCAGAGGTTGTTAAAGAATTGAAAAAGACAGACTAGCATGGATTCTTGAGGAATTTTTAAGGGCAGGCAAGCAGAGACCATTCAGGATACGAAAAGTGAGGCTAGCATGGATTCTTGAGGAATTTCGACAAGAAAGCAGCTAGCAGAAACCCCTTTGGAACAGCATTTTTTCAGGTGGCTTTCGAGGGCAAGGAGTGATCCGATCAGCCGACTGCCCATCTCGCTTAAATGAAGAAACAGAAGGAATATTCAATCTCGCGCTCGTCTTGAGGAAATAAAACTTATTCGATTGTTGCTTGTGTTGTTCGCATTTACTCATGTTCTCTCTCTCTCTCTCTCTCTCTCTCTCTCTCTCTCACTCTCTCCCGCTCTTTCTCGCTTTCTCTCACTCCCTTGCTTTATCGCATGCAATTTTGGAACCATAAAAATTTATTCAACGCTTTCCAAAACTTAAAATGTTTCTCCGAGATCTATCCAGCAGCAAACTTCTTTTCCGTCAATGCATCCCTGGCAGTTTTTCTATCCTTTTAATGTTTCGAAATTTTACCTTTTTCTGGCCATCCTCTCCACGGGTTCTCTTCTCTCAAAACTTTGCTGATTTAGCTGAAACATCGACTTTTTTCGTAGATGTGAGACGACAGAAAGAGAAAAATAGCGGTCATCCCTCAGTGTTTTTTTTGGGAATTTCAAGGAAGAAAAAGGCGAGGATTGTGCCTTTTTAATTTCCTTTTGTAGACCCACAAAGTGAAACACATTGACGGCCCAACAGAAAAATACAAAGTTCGTCGCCCAGAACTCGAGCAGCAACGAGGAGAACATCTGCAAAAATCATTTAAACGGGAAAAATGTTGTTTTTTGAAAAGCGAAGAACCAAAGATACAAAAAAAACTATAATATTTGCTGGATAATCTGGCTTTTTTTGCTTTTAATACAATCTTTCAGAAACATCACAGCCCAGCCCAGGTCGGCGAATTATTAATGTCACTTGCAAAACCTGATGCCGAAAATGATTAAAAATCATGCAAAAAGCTTCATAGATTCATGCAAAACTCTGTTCGTGATTAATATTTAACATTTTGCGAGAGTGTTTCATGTTTCACCAAAGTTTGCGCAGGTCGAATCGTTATTAATCCTTTCAAGCGAAGTGCCATCAAACGGAGCCTCAACAGGTTTCCAGAAATACCAGCTTCGTTCCCGAAAAAACGTTTATCGGTTCTGTTCTATTTCGCGTGGGGGAAAAAACTGTGCGGGGGGAATTTTCTTCGTTTTTTTTTATAACTCTTTTATATGCTGCTATTTTGAATTGTAATTAAAACTCTTAGTATATTTTTTCACGCTCTATCGAATGTCATTAAAGAAATTTTTAAAAGTTATCGAAAATGTCGAAAACTAGCTTTCGACTCCATGATCCCATGTGGAAACACCGAATAAACCTTCTTTTTGCTATAACTATTTTATAAAACAATATTTTTAGATGAAATTCAAACTCTGAGTATATTTTTTGATGCTCTATCGAATGACGGGTTCAAAATATCGAAAAACTGGCGAAAATGCTGAAAACTAACATTCCGGAACCAGTTTTAATAGTTTTTTTGTTTCTGCTATAACTTTTTTATATTACAATATTTTTAGCTAAAACAAAAACTCTTAGTATATTTTTTGATGCTCTATCGAATGGCGTTGCAAAAATCCCGAGAAAATAGCGAAAAGATGGAAGGTTCCGCGAAGCATATTTCCCCCCGCACAGTTTTTTCCCCCACGCGAAATAGAACAGAACCCATTTATCATTTCTGTTTTTTTTTCGGCAAATGTTTCAAAGCTTGAAAATTGCCGCGGTTTGAGTAACTTTGAATTAGCTGGGCAACATTTTTCCGCAAAAATATCAAAATGCGGGATATAAAAACCACCATTAAAAAGCGGCACTACGAAGCGCTAAAACCGCTAAAAATTCTTCAGTATGATCATCAATACAATTAACGAAAAAGAAATGCTCGACAAATTTGGTAGGTACAGTCACTGATTTTCGATGTTTAAGAAAATGTTTAAATTTTTTAAGGACCGCTGGGGGTCGAATTATTTTCAATAGCGGTATCCTATGCCTTTCTGTGATATAACTCTCAAAAATTGGTGCAAAATCAAGAAAAAGAATTTTTTGCGTCGCTACTTTCTGATCTTTCTCGGGGCAACATAGAGCCGGCCGTAAACATACAAGCGGGACCAGTGGTTTTTACGGATGCCCTGATAAGGGATGAGACTATTCACAGAGCAGCTTCAAGCGGAAACCACGTTTTTTTTAGTCGGAACTAGACTCTTCGTAAAGCGGAAATATGATCCAGAAAAGGTTTTGAAAAAATGATTGGCTTTTACTCAATTGGGGCAACAAAAAGCTAGCAAAAATGGATCTGAAGTGAAACATTTTTTCAGAAATCCTGAAAAATTAACTATTTTTTTTTTAGCAAATAGAAAGAAAAACTGATTTACGATCTAAAAAAGTTTTGATTTAAATAGCGTTCAGAATTGAGTGCATCGATTTTTATAAAAAGAATTGAAAAAATTCGAGCTGAAAAATGATTTTCTACAGCGCTTCAAGCGGGTGCGCCGTTTCGATAGAAGAATCGAATACCGTAGGAAGGCCTGGAAAACAGAATAAATACTTTCGCCACATTTCTACAATGAGCCAGCACGACGCTAGTTAGTGTCTAAGAAACATGCAACATTTTTTTCTTGATAAATACCCCAGACTATACTGCTCTAAATCTAATGCTTTGAAAAAGAAAGCCTTGAAAAGTTTATTTGCGGATGTTACTGGGGAGAATCCAGTATTCCATAGAGCGCAAATAGTTGTCCAGCTTTGAAACATTTCGAGCCATAATTTTCAAATAAAGGAAAAAGGCTCCCTTTAGCGGTCAGTAGGGAGGTCCGATTTATACGATTAGAATTAATTTAGATTGATATAATTTTTTATAGTGTTTTTTTTGTAGGTTTTGCTTTCTAGAGAGTTATAAAAATATTTCCAAAAGCTTGTAAAATTTGGAAATTATCAACTTTTTGCCCAGGAAAATTCAAAAAGGCAGTAAAGAGCAAGCGAAATTCCGGAATTGCCGAGATTAACTTAAATTTCAGAAAAAAGGAAATGGAATTTAAAATCTCAAAATATTCGCCAAAGTCCCTACGCAGGGTTGTAAACAGCGCACGAACAGTGTGTAGTGTAATTTTGGCCAATTGCCAGCTATGACATCGCTTCTTTTTCACGATCTTTACGGCGAAAGTGGCCCTGCCAACACAAATAAATCGAAGTTATTGATATAAAGAGCCAAAACATGTTTTTCTCAAACGACTTTATTTTTGAAATGTTAATTAAAAGTCTAGGTTCTTACGAATTATCGGAGGAATCGATTCATCCTTAAGATTTAATTTTTCTAAAATAAATCGATGAAGTGTTTTTAAACTGTTTTTTAATATCGCCAAACGCAAAAACTTAAAAAAGCTGAAGTTTAAAACTTAAAAAACTTAAAATGTTTCTAAGAATTTGTATGAATAGAGCCTGAGCTCGCCCTGCGTGGTGAAAGAAAGGGCGTGAGTAACGCGATGAGTAAATATTTGGCACGCGTAAAAAATGTATGTTTCAGTTTGGTACAACCTTAGCAAAGCGGCAAATAGGGTTATTCCTCTTGAGCAGTTGTTTCAAAATAAAGAGTTCAATGGTTAGAAATGCTACTATACAGTGGTGGCGAAAATTCTATCATATTTCGGTTTTTAGGCTATAACTTCGCGGGGCTGGGGTGGTTCTTACTGAAATTTACATACCGTGTTGGCTAAAGTGTAATATAGTTGCTGTAGCGTTTTTATAATTATTCGATTTAGCGTCGGCGCGTACGGTAGCATTTTGTCGAGCAGATAATAGGGTCCAAAAATTAACCTTGTTTCAAGGAGTTTTCAGATTTCGAAAACATGACCAGCGCGTTCAGCGGAGTCGAAAACCCTTACTGTATCGTAAAATTTGGAAGCCGGGAAGTGGCTCTAATCGACCCTGGAAGTTAGTCGCGCGGGGGTAAAAATGTTAAGGGGAACCTCCGACAGGCCCCCAAGGTGCCCCATTTCCAGGTACCCAAAAAGGCCCTTCCCGGCTCCCAAATTTTACGAAATCGCTACAGTTTAGTCCTTGTTAATTGTCAATTGAAAGAAGTCAATCCTTACTCCCCCGATAATACCAAAGATGCGAAAGAACCGACTGAGCCATCGAAATAGACAAAAAGCATAATAAATTATTTATCGCAGAGTATCGATCCGTTATCAGAAGTACAAATACTATAAGGCGAACAAAAAAAAAACTGTTTTTAAATGGTGTCCTTGACGGGGTTGATGACAGTCGGCGCCGGTTCCCAGATTTTGATCTCGATGAAGTCGTCGTACGGCGAGTCGCGATTTAGCTGCAAAAAGTGTGTTTTAGGCCAGGAAAGAAAGAAAATTATTTCGTTTTTGACAATCGAAAGGCTCCCCATGACAAGACTATTACTGACCGGAGCCAAAACTGACTGCTTGTTTTTTGAAAGAACCGGGAGCATTGTGACCAAATGTATGGGTTTCGAAAAAAGTTCCAAGAAACGGGCCAAATTTCAGGGGGCCATACCTCGGCCATCCAGTGTCCGATTTTGATGATCTCAACATTTATCGATAACTACTCCTGGATAGCTATCGATTTGCGGTAAAGGTATCGCATGCAAATTGCTCTATGCAGAGATAACTTGCAAAATCCGTTTCGTGCGAGTTTGCGAAAAACTTCTCGAGCCTGTATCTCGAAGCCCATCAATTTTTGGGCCAGTTGAGGGCCTTCCCAGGATCGAGAGCTGCGAGACCTATCGAACCATACATCATACTCCAAAATTGGCAACATCTGTGATTTGAACGAGCTATTTAAAAAAATTGTGACAGAACTTATTATCCAACCTGATATTTGTCCTCAAAACTACAGGGTGTCCCTTCAAAATTGCTTGGTAAAAGAATATAAACCTATGTTACTGTTCTAATCCTACATTACTCGTCCTTGAATACCGCAATGGACCCATTTTTTACCCAATTTTTGTTGAAACTCGCTATTTTAACTGGAAGCAAATCCCAAAAAACGCCACCAGTCCATCGGGCCCTCGCCGCGCAACGTCCAGAAATTTCAGGTATTTCCCGTGGAACTAAACATGAAAATAAGCTTTTTTTAGTTGAATTAAGACAGCAACTAATTAGTTTTTATAAAAATAAAAGACCTTCAAATAGGCCGAGCAAAATTTGGCGTCGCCCCATTCGTCGTCGGTGTACTCTTTTTCGAGAATCTGCAATTTTACGCTAACTTTAAATTTAATCTAATAAATTTTAATAATTTGCGTTTAATAATTTAATAATATTTATTTAAAGGTACTTAGTACCTTTTTCATCTTGGTCAACGTCTTACGGTACTCGAGGTGCTTTTCTGAAAATGTTGTTACATTTAACCGGACTGCATAATAAATGTTTCCGCATCACAACGCTCTATATACTTTTTTGAAACATATATTTCACCAAGTTACTGGCAACATTTCCTATTTCCATTTTCTGCTAAGTTTGTTAATATTGTTTTTAGTAAAATTTAACTGAATTTCAAGTCGAAAAATTAGCTAAAAAATTCAAAATTTACGTCGAAAATGGCCAAGTTTGGCCGAAAAATCGAAATTTTCGTATTTTTTAGCTAACAGTTGGGAGGTTTTAGCGTTTCAAAATATTAAAAAAATAGTGGAGAAACAATATTAGCAAAATTGGATATAAAAGAAAAACGGAAGCGTACTTACTGAGGGCCTCATACGGGGCATGGCAACTCCCAACAATCTTCCAAATCGCGAATAACACGCAGCAGACGGCGATCGTGATCGGCGTCAAAATGTTGCTCCACTGGTAGTACAGCCGCATTCCCGCCCAGATACTCAAAGAAACATACATTAAAAGGCTTAAGTGTAGTTTACCCCCCCAGCCGACCCCCACCTACCGTATTTCGGCTCCCTGTTCATCTACAGGTGCGTAATGCATACCAAAATACTCGCCAGAGCAAGACGAACATTTTCGTATAATTTACACACCTGTAGATAAACAGGGAGCCGAGATACAAAACTCGGACGCGGGCTGGTGTGGTCAGCCATGGTGTTCAACCAAAATGTGTTTCACACACTTTCAAAGTCGACCAAAAAATCTCCCTGGGTAATCAAGTTCTGCGCATGGGGATTTTCAAAACGGGGCCGAGCAAAAATGTCGAAAATACCGCGTAAGAAGAAAGACGAAAAAGTCGTGCAGAAACCCCATCGCCAACGAGCAGCACGTGGAAATGATGTGTTTTAGAGCGGAAATATAAAAAAAATGGAAATTGCGGATTTAATATCTAGGCTTTTATGAGTTGCTAGTGCCCGTCGCTTCCTTAAGATTCTCTGCTAGTCTGCTCCTTTCTTTTGGAAATATTCTCGGCTGGTTGCCCCCTTTCCGCTAGGATCCCTGCTAGTTTTATCAGTTTCCGCCAGAAGCTGTCCTAAACGAGAAAGAGAGAGAGAGGGAGAGAGAGAGAGAGAGAGTGAGAGAGACAGAGACAGAGAGAAGATAGTGAGAGAAGAAAGAGAAACTTCCGCAAGATTCTCTGCTAGCTTCCCCCCAACTCTGAAACGATCTCTGCTAGCTGGCCTTTCCGATTCCACAAAATTCTCTGCTAGGCGGACTGATAGCTTGATCACTATTTCCTCAAGGATCTTTGACAGTCTTCCCGCATTTCCTCAAAAATCTCTGTAGCTGCCCCCGAGTTTCCGAAAGAATCTCTGCTAGTTTAAGCTTCAGTTTCTTAAAGGATCCTTGCTAGCTTGCCCTCCATTTCCTCAAGAATATTTGCTAGTTTACGCTCACTTCCTAAAAAATCCCTGCTTCCTTGCTTCATCCTCAAGAATCTTTGCTAGTTTGCTAGTTGCTTCTTAAAAATCCTCCAGCTCCTTATCAATCAGCGAATTTCCTCAATGAACTCTGCTAGTTTTGCGCCCTTTTCCCCAAATGATCTCTGCCAGCTTGCCTCACCTAATTTTCAGACCAGACACCCACTCCCCTTTTCCCTTTCCAAGCCATGCTTCCGGTGGTTGTTTGAAGAGTCACGAAATGGGTGCCCCGAGGGCTAGAAGAGAATGAGAGAGAGAGAGAGTGAGAGAGAGAGAGAGAGGGAGAGAGAGAGAGAAAGAGAGAGCGAGAGAGACAGAGAGAGCGAGAGAGAGGGCGAAGGGCCCGAAATCGATGTCCTCCCCCGCTCTTCCTCTCGCCTTCTTCTTCTGCTCCCTGGCCACCAGTCCGAATTCTTAGGGCCCAACCTCGGTCCCGAATTTCATAACTTTATCTGATTTATGCAAATTTTGAGATTTTCAAAAACATCTTTTTAATAAAATAAGTCATTTTTAAAATCATTTTAATAATCATTTTTTCTTTTAACGGCTTTTTGTGTTTTGTTCTTGGTCACCGAACTTGGTTGACCCTTAGGGCCCAATTTCATAACACCACCAGATTTATGCTAATTTTCTAGAAATTACTCAAAATAAAAATTTTGATGATAGGCGCTTTAGCCTCAAAATTAAAGCTGTCGGAACATTTTTTAAACCGAAATGTTTTGAAACACATAATTTTGGAATTTTTTATGCTTCCAATTACCCTCCCCGGGTTTTTCTGACAATATTTCATTCAAATGTTTCAGATCATTTACAAGATTATTTCATCAGATTTATTCCAATGCATTGAATACTGGCTAACAAAAAATCTAATGTCAAAGCTTTTTTGATATTTTGGTTGTTTGCATTTTGCACGCTTGCTTGCTTTGCTTTGTGTTTCAGCCTAGGCTACTTATCAAACGCCGACTTTGTAGGGTCGAATAAGCAAAAAGCAATGCACAAAATTGCATCCGAAAAAGTGTTTCACCGAGGGCAATGGTAGGGAGGTAGCTAAAACTCTAATAAGACCTATTGCAACATCTTTTGAATATGATTTTTTTCTTCGATATTTTATAACAACCGCAAAAAAGACAATATAAGAAAATCATGCTAAAAACCATGTTCTTTTTCCCCGAATGCCCATCCCGTTTTTTCTGCCCCGTTTCTTCTGTCGACTTAAAAAATAACACAGTTCCCCTTGTTCTCCGGCTCTCTCTCTCTCTCTCTCTCTCTCTCTCTCTCTCTCTCTATCTCTCTCCCGCTCCCTCTTTCTCCCGTTCTCTCCCCTGTCAGCTGTCAGCCAGGGCTCAATTTTCAACCAGCACCTCCGCAAATTCGACCTTGCCCTCCACAATTGATTCTTTTGTCGATATAACCGATTTTTTTTCTTTTACCGTCTTTAACCCGACCCAAACAAATCCCAATCCATTTCGAAGAATGTTTTTCAGAATTTTCAAATTTTGAAATGCTTTTGAAAAGGTCAATCGTTTCATTTTCCTAAGTTTTCTTACTACTTTTCAAACCCCGTCTGAAATGTGAAAACTCAAAAACGTCATACGGTCTTGAAAAACGCAAAATTCTATTCTTCAAAAGTGTCCGGAAATATTGTCCTGTACATCCCAGATTGGCTCTAAAAATGCGAATCATAATTTTTTTTTAATTTTCTCTGTTTTCCATCAGGTGCATCATCAGGCATAAAAACAATTTTTTTTGCGTCATATTTTTCCCCATTTTATTGAGACTTTTTCTGGTCCCCAAAAAATTTTAATTTTAAGTTCGACACAAATTCCATACATTTTACATTTTTTTGGTGCATCGGTCAGCTTTGGCGAGAAATAAACTAATAAACTTTATGCTGGAAGAGGTCAGCGTGGATTGTAGACGCGCATCCTTCCCGATGCTCCATAAAATATCAATCATGTTTTTGCGAACCTAACATCTACAAAAGGGTTTTTATTTTCGTCGTTTCAAATTAATTTTGCACAAATTAAAAAGAAAACGAGTAAGCATTCATTTGTGTAGTTTTTCCACAACGCAATAAAGTTCTCAACCAGTAGCTCCAATTAGGGTTTTTCAAAATTTCCTCAGTTTAGAACGGCTTGAAACACTTTTTAAAACCAAACTAAATTGAGATAAATTGGTTCTCCTCTCCAACCACGAAAAGCCAACCCATTAAATAATTAGGCTCGTTAAAAAAACCATTAGCCTGCCCTCATATTTTTTGTTTCGATTTGTCGAGTGCAGGTGGGGGGCAGGGGGGATGGTGGGGGCAAAATGAGGCGGAAACGGCCGGTCCTCTGCCCCCTGGTCGAGCACTCAATTTCTTTTTTTTCTTTTTTGCCCCTTCCCCCTTTTCCCCCACCTCCAAAAAGACCAATACCTATCCAGCCCCACTTGACAAAAGGCAACTTTTTGCGGCATATTCTGTAGGTTTGTTCGATTAGGAATGTGGTTGTAATTGTTCTGATTTCCGCATTTTTTAATTAGTAAATATCGTGAAACATGGTTTTGAAAAAATGGCGGTGTCATGAGTAATCATATACTCTTCGCGGAATATTTTTCAATGGTCCGGCTGTGAACCAAACTAGATTTGCTCCCGATTTCTACGCGATGAAAACCCTTGAAACATTTTTCTATCAAGAAGTATGGTCGCATATTTTCAATTAAAATTATTTTTCGTTAATTTTGGGACATAAAAGGTTTGCAAGATGAGTGTTTTCATTTATCATTTATTGTTTCCTTTTTACCCTCCTTGTCTCAAACATACAGTATTTTACACGGTCTGAGGTCAACCTTATTGAATTTGTTCCCGATTTCTGCACTATTATACCTCCTGAAACATTAAAAATAATGGCGTTACAAAAATTAGCTATGTTTCTTTATTTAGTCATAAGGTCTTTGAAAAGTTTTTTGAGTGTCTTCGTTTTCTTTCTTTTCCTTTTCCCTTTCCCTTCCCTCATCTCCGCTCGACCAAACTCGCCGAAAACTAATTTTGCCGTATATCTTGGATGATGTAGGTTGACATCATTAAATTTGTTGTCCCATTTTTGCACTATTCTGCTTCGTTAAAGCGCACGTTCAGGGAGGGGCCGTGTACTCGTCCCAACGTGGACACCCTATGGACGTTGGGACCGCGCGCACTGCCTGCCCGTGCTGTGACAGGCCATTGCCCTCCTTTGCGGCATGGGGCGCCCCTCGCCCCCTCGCCGGGTTGTAGCTGTGGCTGACTGGTATCCATCCGCGCCTCCCGAGCGGAGGGCCCGGGTTCGCCCCCGGCCGCGGCAAAAATCTTTGCTTTTTTCCGAAAAACGTCCCGGAACGTGCCCTTTAAACACTTTTTTTAATGGTGGGTGCAGATTTAAGTGTTTTTCTTTATCGAAGCTCCATGGGTTCTTTAAAGCACGTTTTATTTAAGTGGCTTCGTTGTCTTTTCTTTCTTTCTCTCCCTTGCTTTTCCCTCCCTTCCGTACCGATCCGCCGGACTCGGCAACAACCTACTTTCGTTATACGTCTGGAGGGTTGTAAGTTAATGTCATGGTTTTGTTCCCGCATTTTCTAAGCAGCTCCACATCCCCTTCCAATGCTTCTTAAAAATGCAATACTTTCGGAATTCCCAAGCCCCGACAGGCTGATTCACACCCAAATACAGCAGCGCGCCCGGGAATACGCTTTGCTTTTCGGAATTTCTAGTCAAAGCAAAAAGGTTGCTACCTGATTTCTAGTGATACTTTTTAATTGATCCCATACATTTTTAATATTTTTTTAGCTTATTGCGCCGCTGTAACTCAAGGCCATGGGCAACTTTTTTATTGAAAAACGCCAATGTTTCAACTTCAACTACATGAATGGCCTCCAAACGTCTTAATTAGCTCCTTCGTGCGTTGTAGAATTTTTATAAGGGCTTTTTGGCAATAATCCCACAGAAAATTATATTTTAATAGGTGTTTGACACGCGTTAATTTTAATAACTCGCGCGGCGATCCTTCGGAAAGAATTTTCTGGAAAATCAGTTGTTTCGCTTAAGTTGCCTAGCATTGCAATAGTTTCTGTAATTGTCGAGAACGGAGACTAATTTTATCAAGGTTTTAATAAATCTCATTTTTTTCACAGTAGTGCCACCTATCGGAATCGCGTGCAAATATATCCTGCAAAACACAGGTTTCAAAAACTCTAGGTCGGGTTGAATTTGGCCGATTTAATTCCCTTTGAAAAGATATTGTTTGGAAATAACGCTTTCAAAGCTTATGCATAAAATAACAGGTTTGAAAAAATTCGGGTGCCATGACGTCAACGGGGCTTGTAATTATTTTCCTAGCAGCTCCGAATAATTTTCATGGATGAATAAAAAGACGGTAT